TGGGAACTTTCAAAAACATTTCCTCTTGCCCATGGAAACTTTGCGAGCATTCACTTTTTGGATCAATATTAGTATCTAGGCAACCGCCCACCTACCTCTCCCCTAACCCAACAACAGTCAATTGATAACAATTTAGGGTTAATGTTGGGTTAGGGGAGGGGTAGGTGGGCAGTTGCCCAGATACTGATATTGATCCCACTTTTTTAAGTCTACCAGCTACCAACACATTTCTAGAGTGACCTCCTTATAATTTCTAAAAGCCCTGAATCAAACATTAAGGTCAAATGAGAAAAAGGAAATGATCACCAACAAAAGAGGGTCTTCATTGTCAAACAGAGTCTTGTTGACAGTACCATAGTAAATGTATGGAGAACAGTATGGAGAATATGCATACTGATGTTTGGATGTAATAAGCTAACATCGCAAAACAAATGCAAAAAATATCTGAATTTCCCTCTAAACGTTTAGAATATTTCAACCAGGCTACAAGCTTACTTAGAAGCAAAGCATATAACTTGAGTTAGGAATAAACTGGATGGAGAAAACAATTTTCCATGCAGTTTTCGACTTTTAGTCTTATTATGCTCACCTACAACACACATGGTCTCCATTTTGGTCTTCTCCAACCAGTGTTGCTATTATTCCATCCTAAGACCACAATACAAAAAAAATATATAATCTGAGAGGCAGCTGATATTCGAATTGCCACCTTCCGCCTGGCTTTGTATTAAAAATAACAAGATTTGTCCATCATTGCCTCTGGCCACGTCGCCATTTTGGCTTTACTTCACTTATGCCCAGTACTTCTCGATAAAACGCGTCGCGCTACACGCGAAATTGCAGGTCAACACGCAAATCACCTAGAGATTCCTTAATTGTACGGCTCATGGCCAGAGGGATAGGATTAACATGGGTTTATCGAATATTATGACAGGACATCGTTTTGATTCACGGACACGAGACTTTGATATTACTATATTCACGAGCGAGCGAGTCTGGGAGATTAAGGGCATTAGGATTTTAGTCACTCTCTTAGCTTGGTTTTTCGGTTTTGGTTTTGTCGCGGTTTGCGGATTTTCCCCTTTTTCAGCTTTTTTTTTTTTTTTGGTCCTCGGCCAAAAAAAAAAATCCAAGAGGTGTTTCGGAACTGGTATACAATAATTTCCTCTTTAGAACTGGTTAGTTCCCGGTGACGATTAAAAAAATGTAACAAAATGTATCTGTTTGTTTCGTCTGTGAAATCGCATGTTATACCATTTTACTATCAATTCAAGCTACACGTAACTGATTACCAACCATTTCAATTTAATCTTGGAATTTGAGTTTAGGTTCTCAAAAATTCCGGATTTTCGAGAGATTCTCAGTGTCGAAGGTTATATTTTTTCTATCGCAAAACTCCTCTAGGGTGGGGTATTGTGGTTATGTAGAGGACTTTGGCTCTTTTTCTCAATTCAAAAGGACATTAGAAGACGTAGGGCTGATAATATAATTTATATTTTGATATATATATTTTTCGACTTTTCGCTGCAACAGCAGTGAGTAAAAGGCATTAACATGCGTTATTGACATGTTTCTATTAATACTATCGAATTAACAGGAGTATCTATAAGAAAACAATAACTGCTGGAAACACCTGCCGGTCACTTCAAATCTATTCCCCACTTCCCCCATCCATGAAGAGTATTTTTAATTCCGGCATTTAGCAACGGAAAAAATGGACATTGCACCCTTAAATCTTTGTCTGTGTCCAGGGCTTCTGAGCATGAATAATTTTGCGTTGGAGCTCTAGTCTCAAATTTCTTCGTAGTTCATCCTCCTTTCTCTTGTAACTAAGCTCTATTGCATTTTTCTCGCCCTCAAATATTTTAGCGAGTTCATCTTTCTGAATCCTCAAACAATCCAGTCCTTCCTTGAGTCCATCTATACTTTGGAGCAGGTAAGCTCGTTCATAAGTATACCTCGCTCGACATTCGTCTTCGGTAAGTTTCCTAACCGTCATTTTGTCTTGTTCGAACCTCTCTGTCATCTCGGCTTTTTCTCTTTCAAATGATTTCAACAAAACTTCTTCTTGTTTACGTAGCACGCTCAGAAGTTCTTCACGATCGAGGTTCGTGTTACCATCGCAACTGCCTTCTCCTTGAACTTCGAAATTTCCGCGCTCTCCTGAGCTTGCACCCAGGCCCTTTAGACAATCACAGTCGCCCGGATGTTGGAGCGCATCTCGATGGACATGTTTGGTAAAAAGATCGAACGATTTCCTAAGATGGCGGAGTTCATTCAGAAAAAAATCCTTCTCCTCGGTGAGAACCCGGATGAGGTCGTCTTTTGTCTTAATAATCTCGCTGTACTCATCCCTCAACTTGGTTTCAAGGTAGTCTTTCTCTTTAATAAATGCTTTTTCCATTTCTTCTCTCGCTGGGTGAAACTCATCTTTCAAAGCCTCCAGCTGTTGATGCAAAGTTTCATAAAATTCTGTTTGACTCGAAGAATCTTCTGTTTTCGACTTTGCGTGTACGGCTTTTTCAACACAATCTCCGCCTTCGTTATGATTCTCGGCATCCTCTCCTCCTCTCGAATCGTTATCGTCGGATTTACAATCAGCTTTCAGCTTCTCCATTAGCTGACGGACTTTTTCTGACTCTTCCCCGCTGTAGCTGTTCCAGAGGAGGTAAATATCTTGAAGAAAATCTTGCCAAAGACTACGGTGTGTCGGGGAAAGCTTAAAACCCAGGACGCTTTCAAGTTTGGGGAACGAGCTCTCCTTGCGAAAACTTGATTCCCATCGGAATTCACTTCATCATAGTCAATATTTTGCAAGAAGCTGCAAACGACAGCAGGTGTTAAAATAAGTCTTCAAGGTTCTTCGTTGCCCTTTGTGTGAAGTAAAAAATACCTGTATTATTAAAGGGATAATTTGCGTAAATGACAAACTCCCCGACTTAGCAACCATCGAAAGCGACAGAATCCCCTTATTAAATTTTCATGAAAAGTAGTTTGGAAGGCCGTCTCGTTATAATTTCTATGCTCTTTTTTCAAAACCTCGTTTGATCAAAGTAACAGACATGGCTTCGTTCTTACCATGGAAAACAAAGTACTTAATATAGTATCAACTGCACGTTTAACCCACCTCTACTCTCCCGAACCAATTTTCTCAAAGCAAAACAAAACAAAACGAGTATTTGTGTTAGAAATGTGGGCTACTGGCCAATATTAATTCTATTCATCTGAAACGCTCTGAATACATAAATAATATTAACCATTTTGTGGTTTTTATTTTCAACTAAAGCTTTCTCTATTTCACCAATAGTGCGAAGAAAACATGAAGTGTAAGATTCATTAACAAAGTAGAAACACTGAGAAGCATAACTCGGTTATTCAAACACCTTGTGGCTCTTAAGCTGACATTTTTGGGAAGGAATTAATAAAAAAGCCTAATTAATAATACACAGATCAGAGAGGCTATTTAGATTTTCTATTAACACAGTGACAACTTTGGAATAAAAAAATTACCTCAAGGTGTTTGTAATAAAAGATGACGAACGAATCATGTAAAGTAAACCTTCAAAACAGCCGTTGGAATTTGTGAAAACCTGTAGATATTACCATATATTCCTTGACTTGATAATCGTAAATGTTTTCATATATTATCGATTGCAAAAGCATTGACATGTAAGAAAGCGTTTGCAATGAACGATGAGACCCTAAAGCTCTTCATGTACACATGTACACGATACCTACCATTGGTACGTGGTGAATGATGGAAGCTATTCACGTTCTCCTGGAAATAAAGGATTTCGTGAAGGGTGAGAGATGTGAACTGATTTTGTATCTGCACAAACATTTCCCATAAAACCGTTTGGTCTCATCGTTCTTGGATCATGTTTTTGGGGTGTCAACGTTTTTGTAATGGAGCGTTTGCGTGTGCCCAGGCGCTTGTAATGGTAAAATCATGGCAAAGTTTTCATAGAATCATTTCACATGAAAATTTAATCGGCTTTTAAAAAACTGCTGTGACGGTTTTTCAAAATAGTTTTTGACGCCTACCGGTTGAAAGGACCTCACTTACGCATGCGCCTTAGAGCTCCGACAGCGGTTTGTGACTGAACGAGCAGAAACCCGATAAATAAGGCGAGAGACAAATTTTTTATTAGGGCAGCCTACATATGTTTGCCGCTTCTAAAATGAGTACCATAAGTCTTGGCACGCTCCTCTTCTTTTTAAATTTTTTTAAAAATTTTTTTCCCTCTCATTTGAAACGATGCCTGATACTGGTTTTGGTGTTAAAAGTAGTCACCACAAGACAACATTGTGTGGGAAGAGAGGGGGAATTTCCCGGAGAAATTTACCAGATATGAATTAACGAGACTTCTGTTTATCACGTTGAATAGAGAGTTGTCGACCACCTGTTAAGGGAAGGCATGCCAACCAATTCAGTCTTTAAGGGTAGCCCAACTTAAATTAGGACTTCAACCTCTTAAATACACTGCTGTCAAAAACCTTTCTGCTGAAAGGAAAATGTATTAGTAAATTCAGTAAAACTTAAAGGCGGAAGTTATCATAAAAACCTGTTCAACGTCATTTCCCAAGAAACGTTCTAAATGGTAAAAATAGCCATTTGTACCCCGAAGAGCAAATAATAACAGCATTCAGATATTTAAAAAACTGTTTAGAAGTCTTTGTTTGAGTAACAATGGAAAATTGTATGTTCTCAGAACATACAAGTGTCAGTGTCCATACAGTAACAGTAACAGTAACAGTGTCCATAGCTTAAATATCAAAATATTTGAATTTTGTTCAGAGAGATGAAAAATACTGAACAAAAAGACACTGTACATACTGCACAATTCTGTTACTGTAAAGACTTGTGCCAATCGACAGAGATCTGTAAACGTTCCACGGTGTAGATTACAGATTTCGTAGACCTTTAAAATCGTAACATCGTGTCGTATGAACAAGTTTATCAAAGAACGCACTGAAATCCTTCGAAATCCTTTTTCCTTTCAAAAACCTGAATTGCTAGGACAGTCCTTAAAAATACACCGGTAGTTTTCCCCTTTTGCTCTTCCGCTGGACTTTTGACTGTCGTAGATCTCTTTAGAACCTTTGGTTACGTATGTATCTTCCAGCCTCGAGTCGAAATCTTTGTATCGATTATCGCGGATTCCGTCATCTTTGTCATCGTACTTAAAACCTATGAATTTTGATGACGGGTTATATGACGAACTATCCAAACTCTCTTTATCGTGTCCACTGGCATATTTGCTTTTGTATGTGGAGTCGAGATAGTTTGAGGATGCGCTGTATGAAGCATCACCAAACTCCTTGTTATCGTTGCTTCTGCTTCTGTGTTCGGAATCGAAGTATCTTGGTGATGAGTTATGTGACATAGGAGGTAGCTCATCGTGGCTGCACAAATCTCCGATTAGATTCTGAAGAGCTGATCTCTGATGACGCAGTTGCTCGTTCTGTAAATGTGATGTTTTCTGTCCATCTTCCAAATCTTGCAAACTCTTTTCTAAGTTATCATTCCTCATATGCAATTCCTGAATCACTTCCCCTGACATTCCTGCCATACTTTCCACGTCCTGCATCTATGAGAAGAATCAAATATAACGTGATTTTGATTGATTTTTATTGCTCTATATTGATTGATTGATTGGTCTATACGACATGAACCATACTTTCGACCAATCAGTTGAAAAACTGAAGCCAACCTCAACTCGGTTATTCGCGTTTTCCTGCGCTTTAGGCCATTTGTCGCCTCCACTCTGAGTTTCTATTAGCTTTTTGTGATATGTTCTCTGGTTCTGAATGGTGGATCATAATCCTTCTATTTTTTAGATTTGCAACACTAGATTTATAGAAAAGCGCTAAAAACAGTATTGTCCCCCCATATTTAGCATTGTCTAAAAACCATTTTGAAAAGTCTTCACACGATAAGACTTACTTATGGGAGGTTAAATATGTGGTTATTCAGGACAATAACTATTACCCTTTTATCGCTACAACTGACTGTGTCCCTGAAATGGGGTGCAACTGAGATCTTATTATATGGTGACATCAATTATCATGATGACAGAGAAAGGAGAATCGTATTGTGTAAAAGGTTCCCAACCTTCTCATTTAAACGTGTAACGTATTCATTCATAGCTTCCCTAGCCAGGGAAAGCTTAGTCTCCAACTCCTTTTTCTCCACCTCCAGTTGAGCGATCCGGGCCGGGTCCATAGCCACTGATGAGTAAGACAAATCCTCTCTGCTACCTTCAAATTGAGTCCTGATGATCTGACCAATGGTGAAAATTTCTCTTTCGATTCTCTTTAGTGCATCAAGGTCCAGTTCTCCACGAGAGCTAGAAAGCTCTCGGCCAGTATGCAAGAGCCTATCTTGTAAGCCCTTAATGTTGTGAAGACTTTCAGTCTTGCGGGTGGATATTTCTGTCTCAAAACTGGTAGCCTAGAATGAGAATGATGAGTAAAATTGCTAGTAAATATCTGTGGGCCTTATTATCAACAGAAGCGCTTTATTTCCCATACACAAAGTAGATGTGATCACAGAGTGAAATCGTCAAGACTTCAGGCGAGGCATTTTAATTCTTAACAGAAAGGGTAAATAACCTTATTGATTCAAAACTGACACCGTAACAGGCTCAGACGCAGCGCGTTTGATAGTGAGGAATGAGTTAAAGTTACTTTCTCTCGTCACTTCTTGAGTTTTCTGCTGAAGCTGCTCTTGGTTCGTGCCATGTATCAATACTTACACTTACAGAAATTAATCTATTTTCTCACCTTTTCTTTCTCATTTTTCAGTTTTTCCAACAGCCGTTCCAGTTGATTTTGCAATTCTGAAGTTCTTTCTTTCAGGGAAGAATTCTCAGAGACCAGGCGCTTGATTCGTTCAGTTTCGTCACTTTTCTCTGAGGGCTTTCCTTGTTGCTAGAAACGGAGAAAACAGTGTTATAGTGTCATATGGTAAAAAGAATTAATAAATTTGTGTAGAGTAAGCTGTCGGACAAGTTGTGAGCTCACCGAAGTTTGATGAAGTAGCTCAATCTTCTTTTGCTCTAAAGTTTTGATTTTCAGTTCCAGTTCCCTGATGACCTGAAGAAGTCGGTTCTTTTCTCGTAATGCTGCTTCGTATTTTGCCTACAGAACAGAAAAATATTTCACGATTTACGATCAATACCCACACAACGAGATGCTAAGGAAGTAGTCGATATGTCAGGTCGACATACAGTTACAAATTAGACTAACAGCTTCCATCAGTCAGAGGAATTCATTCTGCAATTTTTTTGTGAAAAATCGTAGTAAATCGGCATTCATTGTTTATTAATCTTTCAATTTACAAGAAAAGCTATCAAAACTAGACTACCAAAACTAGATTGACGCTCACCTTGTATGAAGAATCCTGGGTGTCATATCTTGCCTCTAATTCATGCTGGGATTTACCCTGCAATAAGCCAACATAATTTAGGATAAATATCGGATAACTTGGCCTTTCAAGGATAGCCGCTGATAAATCAAAACGGTTGTTAATCTTGCAGTTTTAAACGACAAAGAGCTATGTGCCTCGATTTATGCTAAGTATTTTGCCTGGGAAGCCAAACTTTAGAAATCCAGCAAAAGCAATAAATACCTTGGAAGGAGAGGACCATCATTATGAGTACAGAGACAGAACAAATTATCTACCTTTTGTCTCGGGCTCAATACACTCCGTTGGCCTTGAATGTCATCTTTATGTCTATTGGAATCTTGTCTCCTCTGTTCTCTTCTTCGCTCTGCAGTGAGCTGAGTCTTGGTGTCGTAGTCTATTGAGGTCTTTTCAGCTTTGGCAGCTCGAGCCTCCAGCCCCCGTAGTTTCTCTTCTAAGTGCCTATCGGTGTTTTCGAGCCTTCTGGCCCTGTCCTCATGAGTGTGGAAGCTTGTCTGGGCATTATCAAGTCGTTTTCTATCATCCTCTTTTTCGGTTTTCATTTTACTAGTTTCCTCAACCTGCTTGGTTCGGGTCTTTAGCCTTAGGTCTTTGTCCTGGTTCGCTTTCAGGAGTCTTTCCATTTCAGCCTTAGCTTCCTCTTTGTACTGCTTATGAAGGTCGATGTTTTCCTCCAGCGCTACAATCTTGGCTTTTAAACCTTTATTTTCACTTTTCAATGCATCAATCTCAAATCGTAACGCCGATTCGTTGTCTGTCGTTGTGTGATGAAATGACATACTCCTAGCCTGGGGCTCCTCCATTGATCTAGTTCCAGAATCTGAGAGTCCAACTTGACTGTTGCTTGGCAAAGCTCGTTTTTCATGATACACGAGGCTGGTGTGAAATTGTGACTGCAAAGTCGAGTCATTCTTAGAATTATAATCCGTACCTACATGCTGTCCATGGATACCAGTGACAGCAGGTTGATCGACATGGGAGTTGCCAGCTAACGTTCCGGTCCCTACACTGTCTTGCTGAGGGTGTTGTAGTTGCTGATACGATTGCCAGTAGGAGGGACCTGCTTTATCACTGGCACAGTCATGCTTTTGTTGACTACCAGTGAAGCCACGTTGAACAACACAGGAGTCGGCATCATATGCTCCTGTCCACGTGATTTCTGTCTGTGACCGTTCTTGTTGTGAATGCTGGTGCGATTTCCAGTTAGTAAGACTTGTCACATCTCTGACACCATCAGAGACTTCTCCACGATTCGCTGACAATCCAACAGCTCCACTTCCGAGTTCAGCCTGACGGTTTCCCCTTTGATGTTCAAACACTCCTTTACTTTCTGTTTCACCGACACGCTCGTTCTGTAGGTGCCCCAGAGATGATCTCGTCCACTCACCATCACTTCGTTGCCTTTGCGAATTGTCTACTTGGCCTTTTCCCTCGACCCTTAGTCTTTCTCTTGTTTTGACAATTTCATCCTTCTCCACCTTAATTTTCTCTTTTTCTCGATCAAGCTCTTCCTGTATCTGTCGTCTCTCAGATTGTACTTTTTGATCAAGCGCCTCTTTTTCGGTGTGGAATGTCTTATCTAGTTCCGTTTTGTGATCTGCTAACAGTTTTTCAAAGTCATCCTTCAGTTTGCCACTGAGTCCTTCACGTCCTTTTGAAGTCAATGTTTCCTGAAACAACGTTATTTCTTCGTACACTCTGTTTTTCTCCTCAATTTCAAGGCGTAGTACCTCGATTTCTTTCCAAAGGCGTTCGTTTTCTTTTCTATTCATCGATTCACCGTTGACAGATTTCTCTCTCTCTCGCTCTAATTCTTTTTCTACATCAAGTCTCAACAGCTTCTCTTCCTGCAAACTGTCCTCAAACGCCTTACTCTTTTCTTGGAATTCTTTTTCCTTTCGAATTTTTTCTTGTGTCATGTTAGCTTCAAATTCAGCGGTGGATCTCTTCAAGTTACTTTCGACCTCAGAGAGGCGTAGATTGAAGCTACTCTCCATTTCGAGTTTCTCATTATTTATGCGCTGTTCCGTTTCTGATTTTTCACGTATCACTTCTTCTTTCACGCGTGAAATTTCCCTCTCTAACATGACTTGATATTCAGCCTCCAATTTTTCCTTGAGCTCAATTTTTTCTCTTGCAAAGTTTTCCTCCATTCTTCCTTGCTCGGTTCCTAATTTTTCCCGAAGTTCTTCTAACTTCTCCTTATAATACTGGTCAAGCTGTTGTCTCTCTTCACGAAATGACTGAGTCAGTTTGTCAATCTCTTCAGCGAATTTCCTCTGCATTTCCATCTTCTCCATAGACACGTTCTTCTCAAGCTCTGCTCTCTCTGCTCGTATCGCCTCGTCCCACTCTAGTTGTCTGCTCCTGAATCCACGCAGAGTTTCTTCCATCCTCTTCTTGAAATACACTTCCAACGTAGTTCTTTCTCTTTCAAATATATGCAGCAGCTCTTCTTTCAAGGCCTCTTCCTCACTCTCGTTCAGTTCGATCCGAAACTCCTCTGTTACTGAACCATCGATCTCGCCGCTTAGTTGACTTACACTGTCACTCTCCCCAAAGCCACTGTCCTTGCTGGTTCGCATACCACTTTCATTACCATCTTGTCGGTAAAATCTTCCTGCTGCCTGGCTACTTGTTATAACTCCAGATGACGAGTAAATCATTTTCTGTCTTCCTAAAGGATGACCGTCCCCTGTAAAGCTCTTTGGTTTCTGCTCGTCATCGTCAATGACTCCACAAGAGTCCATTTTCCTTTCAATATGGCTGTTTGTTGTTTCCGATGCGGAATAGGTTATCTGGCGTCCCCCAGAGACGTATTCATGGTTGTTTGAAGCTTCTTTACTGCTGTATATTTCAACTTCTGTTACTCCATACCCTGACGATTGTTTTTTGCTATGCTCACTACTTACATTGGCTGATGACGAGTGCATCAGGATTCGCCCACTGCTCTGCAGAACAGGAATGTTTGATTTCATACTGACCTTGTTTTCATTCCCGTTTGAATGCATTGCAGCAGCCACAAGCTCTTGTTTCATAGACTAATGGAACATACGCATCGGAGAAAACCTGAAAATTTTACCTTAAATGCACCTACTATACTCAGATATTCAATTTACAGCGCCCTTCGAATAGCCAGAAAAGCAAAGAGAAAGGGATTGAATGAACTATTCATCGCAAGTTTTATGCCCATGATTTATGTTTAATGAGTAAAATTGAGGTTTACGCCACCAGTAGCGTAGGCCGCCGAGGGTATAATAATGTCACCAGGGAAGTTATAAACAAAAGATGTTAGTGAGTTCCGCTGCAAGTAGAAAAATCGTCACTCACACGGCGAATTAAATCAACCGCCATGTCACCAAAATTGAGGTAAAAGTTTAAATTAACGGGTCCAACACGAGAAGAACAAGCCTGTTACCCACATATCCAGTTGCGGTTTTTTGGAATACCACCTTACTTGGTACAAGTTGCGGTTAAGGGACAATAAAGAAATGAATTATAGTATTTGACCTACAAGTAAGAAATTTCGCTCGAAAAAACCATAGAAATTCAATAAATAAAGAATCTGCGGTTTCAACAAAACCACATAATACACCGAGGTAAGCTAATTTTAAGGTGTCATTTAAAACATTTCCAACTTATTTCACGCCATTTTCCGCGGTTACAAGTATTCATCTAAATTTTCAAGGAAAATTGTAGTGCGGCGAAAGTATGTATCAGTGTATATTCGTAGATATCGACTCGTCCTTAACAATTTGAATCTGTACGTTAAATGCATCAATTGAGTATGGATATCTACTTCCTTAAAAACACAGTCGTGGATCACTCAAACATTAAGTTGATGGTTTCATTTATGTTTTTTCTTCTTTTTCGTTGCTTTGAAATATTTCCAAGGATGGTCCAATACAATCAATCCATTAGGATAGTTATTTCTGATGTATGTAATATCATAAACCAATAATTGCTCCTGATACCTGTAAGGAACCTGTCATTTGTCGGCAACGTGCCAATATCCCACACAGTAATGCACTCTGAGTGCTTTTGTGATACACAGCAGCCAATTGTGATTATAGATGACGATGAGATCGTAACTTAAAGCGATGAAGCCTTGTATACCATTATGGAGGAAGAGATTGTTTAACTGTTCCTTTTTTTCCATATGCTATTTTATAATCATAGTTTTTTGTTTCTAAAGTCCTACTTGATGAACGTTGCCATCTACGATACCAATATTCAATCTAGGCTTCAAGACAGCAGTCAAATAAGAGATATCATTTCAACTCAACATCTATACTTCAACATTCATATTTTCATTAGCAGAAATACACGTCTTATTATCATAACAAGAATACTCCGTTTGCCACAGTTGAGTTCTAAAAGTTTGATGTATATCGATAGACATACCTACGTATGTTGTGAAAGAAGCTTACCTAGCTCAGGAAGTGTCATCCACAGTCACTCACCACAAACTTTCCGTGAAGTGACACATATCTGTGCTCTCTATATTCTAAGTATAACTATTTCATCATTTACACCTTTAAAATCTTTGTTTTCAAGAACTCACAATATGTAGGATGTAAATTGTTAAGCCTAGCTGAATGAATCAGTAAACAAGCGAGTCCTCGCCAAGAAATAACAACTTTCAGCAGTACCAGTTAATATCATACATTGTCAGAATTGTAAGTAGAACTGTTACACGAGACATAAACTAGCTCGTATAATGGAGCTCTGATATCATATGGAGGTGTGGCTCTGGAAACGAGTCCAGCAGACATCCAAGCACTGTCCACTTGTAATGACACATGGTATCACTGTTCACTACTAACTTCCTCTTCTTTTCCATCATCAGAGGTCATCAAAACGCGAACGGTGGAAGAAACAGGCTGTTTTGGCAGTATAGCGTTTAAAATCCTATAAACACCTTGATCAGGTTGTTTCTCGAAAGTGACATAAACCAAAATTCTTTTACGCTCGTCAGGAGTCAAACGCAACTTAGAGTCGTAGACTTTAATCATCTTATCAGTTTCCAAAGTAGGAGAAGCCAACGCCCTCGCGCTTCCCTGTTGATTCCATGCACTTGATTGAGCAGTGTTTGCACTAGATCTGTCTTCGCTGTCTTTTCCTTCTGCGGATTCTTGACTCTTAACACTAACTTCACTGTTCCTCTTTACTCGTTTTTGAAGGTGACGAGTTAAGGCATGTATCTTGGTGTTACTCTCTTGATTCGCTTCTTGAAGCCTTTTTATTTCGATGTTTTTACCCTTAATTTCCTCTCGAAGTACATCGATTTTGCCTCTAAGTTGTTCATTTTCCTTTTCGTTTTGGGCCTCTATGTTGGAATATTTCTCCTTCACTTGCTCAAGTTCGCTTTCCACTTCTAATCTCTGCCGTCTCTCTTCCTTCAGCTTCATTTCAACTTCCACTGCTCTTTCCTGACTTTCTTTTTCCATCCGCATACTCTCCTTCAATTCACTCCGAACCTTTTGCAAACTTGTCTCAGCTTCAGTCAACTGTTGGTTGAAGTTCTTTTCGAGCTCAAATTTCTCTTTGTTAAACCTTGCCTTCATTTCTGATCTTTCCCGCAGTCCTTCTTGTTTTTCATACATCACTTCCTTCGTCAACATTACTTGATATTCTGCTTCAAGCTTTTCCTTGAGCTCCACTCTCTCTTTTTCAAATTTCCCATCAACTCGCTTTTGTTCTAGTGAAAGCTTATCTTTAAGATGTTTCACCTGATCTTCGTAGCACTGCTCAATATGATTTCTTTCCTCGCTGAAGGAATGCGTTAGTTTGGATATCGCGTCAGCAAATTGCCTCTGCATTTCCACCTTCTCTTTGGCCAGTTTACTCCCAAGTCTCTCTTTCTCTGTTCTAGAAGCTTCTTCCCACTCCATTTGCCTGCTTCGAAAACCATGCATACGTTCCTCCATTTTGGTTTTGAAATACACCTCAAACAAGCGCAAAAGTTCTTCCTTAAATGCTTCTTCGTTGCTCCCTTGAGCCATGACGAGCTGACTTTGGATGTCTTCAGCTGTTGGTGAAGAACGGGCATGGTTCTCAAAACTCCCGGTTTTGACAACATTCATTTCCATGTAACTTTTAGAGTCGTTACTATTCTGGCTCATGTTGTCGTGTTCCCTAAAGCCACTATCCGCTTCGTTGCTTTTTGCGTCACAATCAATTCCACGAGCAGAGTTGCTTCCTCCATTAACATGACCACCATCGAGCACACTTCCTGTTGCAGAAGGAATGATCTGCCTGTTTTTATGTCCTGCGAAAGCGAAATCCTCTGCGTTCTGGCTCATGTCAGCTCTTGGATAATTGCTATCTAAGATTCCCAATGCAGAGTACATAGCTTTCTTATCATCATTTGGTTGAGAAGGTCTAATGGATTTTTCTCCGACTTTCCTTTTGTTTAAATACATGGTGGTTGCCAAGTTTTCCTCCTCTATGGAAGGTGCGACCTACATATGTTTGAGTTAAGAATTAGAGCAGTTCTGTTCGACAATCAATGCTTGTAACGCAACGTAGGGATGAGAACCGAAAAGCGATAACTCTAAATGATTGCAGAGTGCACTGTACAACTGCACAGGTGATGTTCCGATCATTTAAGATTGATGTCGAAATTGAGGTCCCCAACTGCGCAACGAAAACATAAATAGAATCGTGTTTATCTTCCGCAAAAATCAATACAATCAACAAAAATTATTTGATTAATATTCCTAACGCTGCATTCAGTCTCTGAGGTCCACAAGACTTAACATACTAGCGTATTTCAAAGGTAATTTATTAAGTCCTTGCATACTTTTCAAAACAATTGCCATATGGACAAGAGAAAATTCTTCAAAAGAATTTAGAAAGGTTCATAAAAATGGAGATGTTATCAAACCATTTCATAAATTAATTATGATATTTACAAAAACAAAAACCGACGAAAGTGGATTTAAAGGATAGTTTGGTTTCCTCTGTGGAAATTTGGGTTACCCACATACAACGAAGTCGATGTAGCAACCCGATGATCCCTACTGTCGTAAAAGAAACTTTGTCAATCACTGAAAAGTAAGTGACGATAGGTCAGATAGAAACATTAATAAAGCCTTTAAAACTCTTTATCTTTCTTCGTTGTATCAATAGGAAACGGGCGGAAAACAGGTGCATGGAAAATGGGGCGGAGCAACTAGTTATTTTGGCGCCGGGAAGATATTCGAGGATTTGGCGAGATAATCTTTCAGACGAAGTTTGTATTTGAGTTAATGATTAATCTTGAGAGAAACCGAAAGCGAAGTGAAGAAGAAACAGTTCGTCTAAAATGCTGTTACTCAATGGAGATTTGCATATTTTCAGTAATCAGGATATGGATTTCGCGTTAAAGATTTGTCCCCTCTCGAGGTAAATTTCAATACAAATAAATGACCAAACAGGAAGACAAAAATAAAGTTAGAAAGACAAAGACAATTCCTTGTATTCAATTGTATTTGATTAAAACATTTACACCTTCATCATCCGTCCATGAACAAACTTGTTTCCGACTCGAATGCAACAATAAAGGACTAGAAACCGAAAACGAAGCTCTACTAAGACTCACGGTTCCGAACCAACTTATTTAACACAGAACTACCATAAGCTATCTTATTTTCAAGTTTGTAACTAATTAAAACGTATTACTGTTACAGACACGTATCGGCTCGAACCTTAAGTTAATTAATCATGAGCGGTAGAAAAAGAAGCCCATTAAAAGAAAATGATGCTTGGTGGCAGTACCGCAAAATTACCAAAACAACAACGAAAAAAAAATTTAAGAGGACCATTCAATTTAAATTTCGAAAACTTTTTCAGGCCGCGGCGTCAGGGGAGGACGGCTTGGTAGGGCGAGGAATAGATTCAAGTCAAAGCGATCCCATAAGCTTGCAATTCAATTCAGCTCCATTAAATTTTATAACAAACCAAATTTAATTAAAAACCGGTCATTCAAACGAAATAGGAACACCGCATGGCTGTGTTTATTCGAGATATGACGCAGTGAACAAGACAACAGATTGTTTTGTTATATTACAAAAGGACGAACGATTCAACTGATGCACTGACTATATTTTCAAATTTCTTCACTAGATTATTTAATCCACTCTAATCAGATGGACTCAATCTGCATAAAAATGTTAAATATCTTAGTGCATTAAGAAAAGACAAATCGTGTCTTCAGATTCGATGAAATGATTTCTCTATCGTTTCACTGATTACTTGCAGACTGATTGTTTGATTGATTTATGAATTGATTCATTGATTGATCAGTGGGCGAGGTCAGTTAAGCGAATACATCGAGTGGGTTTCTTTACGTAATTTCCTGTACATCTTTACACAACTAACAATATTTCGTCGATTCAAAAAGGCAATAGAGATCAAATATAGCAATATCTTTCTTTGCGTAAATAAAATTATTGAGAAACAGTTTTTCTAAATGATAAGTGGCAAAAGCTATAAAAGTTATGAAAACTATGTATGCAATTCTATATCTACGCAGTGCTCGAGCAACAAAGATATAGATCACAATTGTGAAATTACATTTACAAAAATACTTTTAATCCTAGTATCAAAAGTTGGCAGGTTTAAAACCTTTGATCAATTCATTTGAATAATGCTTACAAATTCAAGATCTGGATCTTTGTAAAACTGAGATAAAATGTACCACAACGTCAGTAAAATTTTCAAATAATCTAGCCAGACAAAAATGGTCTATTAGATGGAAACATTGTCTCGTTAGGGTCCACATAGTAAACTCCAAGAAGAGAGCAGCGCTGATGATATGGGAAGGATCTGGATCAACAACACGATCTAGTTGTGAACCAGCTCTTTGTGAAAAATCTTCTCATCAGAAAAACATCCAAGGAATCTAAGAGAAGACTCCCACTGACAATGATTTCTCGCTTGGAGATATATTTACTCCTCTTTCTCCTTCAGTTACACATGTTGTTGCTTTTAAGCTATAGCATTGGCTCCACATAACTTAGAGATGACCCTTTGCAGGGCTTTCTTTTGTTCTGTAAGCTGTCGATTTGCTTTCTCTGCTCTTCTCTCGTTGGCTTCCGTTTGTTGAAGAGCTTTTGTAAGTTTGGCGTTTTCTATGTACAGTTCCTGAACAAGATTACCTGAACGTGTGGCACTGATTTCAGATTGTTGAAGCTGCGAGCAGGAAACAAAAACAGATAAAAAATTCATTATGAATAGAAAAGGGAAAATTAAGCATCGCGTGGTTCAGAAGAACTTAAAAAAACTTACGGGCCATTAGACAACTACAGTGCTATTGACAAAACTGCATAGACATTAACAAAACTCTCACAAGTAAAACGTTTACCACAAAAGATCGCTTATAATGCTCCATAAAATTGGAGCAAAAAGGATCGGAAATTTACCTACTTGTCTTGAATAACAAAGAAAAACCTAAGTTTATAATGCGTTCATACATCATATTGAGATAATAACAATAATAATAATAATAATAATAATAATAATAACAGCAATTTAAAAACTTATATGGCGCATGCTACATGACGTAATGATCGCGTGTGCTTTACAAAAAAAGTAAAACAAATATTGTAATAATAGCAGATACCGTACCACAAAAAACTGAAATCGCTTAAAATTACAAGAATGAATGAGTGAGATGAATTGGGATAATTCTATATTGTCTATCTTGATTAACGAAAACTATCACATGGTAAACATTGGAAGAGAATCATTTCGCACATATCACCTGTTTACTCAGCCTCGCCACGTGTTCATCCAGTGCTTCTCGCGTTTGTTTCACTTTTGTTTCCAACTCAAGTTTATCCTTTTCTAGTTGTCGTATTCTCCCTTCCCACATATGACTTGCTTTTTCAAGTTCTCTCAGTCGTCGGGTCTTCTCTTCGAGCTGTTGAAAAAAGAAGAGCCAATGGTACCGTGAACAGACAGGTATTGGTGAAATGGGCCATATTGCTTTTCCATTTGTCTTCTAATGAGAGTACAGGAGGAAAAGGAGAGTAGGAAAAGGAGAGTGGGAAAAGGAGAGTGGGAAAAGGAGAGTGGGAAAAGGAGAGTGGGAAAAGGAGAGTGGGAAAAGGAGAGTGGGAAAAGGAGAGTGGGAAAAGGAGAGTGGGAAAAGGAGAGTGGGAAAAGGAGAGTGGGAAAAGGAGAGTGGGAAAAGGAGAGTGGGAAAAGGAGAGTGGGAAAAAGAGAGTGGGAAAATGAGGAAACAACAGTTACCCCAAAGAACAGGGTTGACGATGTTTAGCTTACGCCACCACAACTGTACTACCATGGTAATGGTGATTCTTAGAGCAACACCAAAAAGAATACTACGCACATAAAAAAACTAAAAGAAACTGAAGACACAAAACAAAAGTTGAGAATAATTCTATATACCTTTTTGCTGAGTGCCATAACCTCTGCCTTCGCCTCATTAAATACTTTTTCTCTGAGAGCCTGATCCCGTTCACTGGCCAAGTTGGCTCGATGAACCTGTTCCTTCAGTTCACTCACTTCACGCTGATGACGAGATTTCATGGTTGTCATTTCCGTATTTGCAAGAGTTGACTAAAAGATGACAAATTTAGATCAGAAAATCGTCTCGTGGGCTTTGCTGACGTGTAAATGAAAATCACAAACGACAACAACTTACCCGTAACGAAGACACATCTTACCACACTTCACATTTAACAATTCACGGAACATCACGCACGATACAAGTCACAAAGATCACGTAAGGTTAGCTGAAACGAAATCTCACAACACGTACGTACATGTGAATTGACAACCAAAACATGATAATAAACGAAAAGTCGTTGAGAAGCTACGGATGAACGAAGTAGACTCAGTTAAGAAATGTTAAGGATATATTCCCTTTCCTTTGGGCAAACAAATTTACTTGTATTCGACCCATGTTCCTGTAGGGTCCCTTAAAGATTACAAGTATCCATTTTAGCGACATGCATTTATAGCCCTGCTATTAAAATCTGACTGCGATAAAATCGCAGCAGACCTTAATTATCCTACGTTACAAAAAGTTGCACGAGAGTGTAACGATAGATGAACTATTCCAACCTGCAGTTTAAATATTGAGCACCACCTTTCATCTCCAACTGTTAATAACTTCATTCGAGATGAAATCCAAGTTCACTCAAATCCAACTCCATACTTTTCGTTCGGCTGTTGTAGTTGGACGCTGAACTCATTAATTCATCGCGGTCTCGATTCACTGCTCTCATTGGGCTACACTGTTCCCATGAAATGTGCTCAATGGTACTCCCCCTTACTTACCTTTTGTTTTTCTGTCTCCAATTCTCTTTTGTGGGTTCCCTGTGCATTAGCTAATCTCTCTTTTAGCACATAGACCTCCTCTTGAAGATGATTTGCTTTAGCGTTCTTTTCTTTAAGAACTTTTTCTACCACTTGTTTCTTTTCCTGGACATCTTGCAGCTTCTTTTCCATGGTAATAAGATCATTTTTGGCCTGCAAAACAGATAGGGAAGAGTTAATACCATTATGGGAACAATAATAAGTTTTAAATCGAGTCATATGTTCAGTACTGAAAACAGGCATTGCCGAGCATCCCTTAAGGTAGCACTGGATCAATGTCAGTATCTAAGCAACTGCGCACCTACCCCTCCCTTAATCCAACATTAACCCTAAATTGTTAAAACTTCCTACCGATGTACCCAAGTGAGGTTCGACTGAAACATCTTCATAACTTTCACGTAAATTATAAATGAAGATAGCAAAAACTTCACAACAAAAAGCATAAGTCATAATGATTAGCAAAGTAATAATACTGCATGTACAGGAGAGAAAATACCAAGCGAAGTGTAGAATGGGAAATTACGAAAACAGATTAAACATAACATACACAGCTGCGGATAGTTACAGGTCTTTACATTCGAAATTAACCAGTAAATGAAGCAAAATACAAGCAGATAAATCGCTGAGTGAACAGGCGACTTCACACATTTGTAATACAAAGGGAGGGCGATAATGAGAGATGACTGTTGCTTATTTGATAACAATTTATGGGCGTTACAGCGTGCTTAATGCAGTCTACACAGATTAAGTTTTATGGTTACGAAAAATGTTTACAAAGAACTTTTAACAACATTAACGATTTCTTTGCAATAACTGACATAATGGTTTAGCATAGATACAATGTAATGTCTGTTACAACACTGTAGCTTCAGTGAACACTTTCTATTGATGTTTAGCTGTTGTACTACCAAGAAAAATAAATTTAATTTTTCATGTCTTTTAAGTTCACTAAATGTCTCAGTGGTTTATTACGTTTTGAAAACACAACAAAAATGCAGTTACAATAATAATGACTTTTAAATTTAAACATTAACTTCTTTTAAAGAATTGTAATACCAAGTGATACACTTTTCAACAATGAATAAAAATTTACTTCAATCAGTCAATGTCACATTTTTAAATCTCCGGTGATTTTAAAGGTAAATAAACACATGTTTAAGCTCGCTCTTAGGTTAACCTTGATAACGTCTTTAGGTTTCCATAGCAATTTGTTTAATTATTCAGATTTCTATGACTCCTTTCTAGCATTTAAACGCACTACGACGAAATAGGTTCCAGCATTTCGTGATTGTTTATATTTTATGGTGCTTAAGATAAGTTGCATCACCAGCAAAGCAAGCTACGTTTAGAGTCGGCTGAAGTGGGATCCTTTCCGCAGTTGGGGAGAAAAGCTCTAAAAGTAGTCGTTTAGAAGACTGTCGGTTCAAAGTTGTATTACATCGAGCGCAGTCACACAGATTAGAGTTATGTCGGGCGAAGTCACACAGGTTATGGTAAAATGGCGCAGTCACACAGATTAGTATTTGATATAGCGCAGTCACACATATTAGTGTTACATAAAGCGCAGTCACACCAATTAGAGTTAATTGTCAAACATTACAAATCATAACCACGCCGGCATACGTAGTGTCTGAGGGAAGCCACACAGAGATTTTTAATGTTTTAAAGCTCTGGGGTCAGTTGCTCAAAGGGTGGATAACGCTTTCCGACGGTTCAATCGCTACACAGTGCATAGCTGTAGACAAAATGTGCTGCGCTATCCATTGAATACGGATTCATTCGGTGGAAAGCGTTATCGAACCTTCGAACAACTAGTGCAAGTAAAATGAAAAAAGGTGAAGACTTTAAAAGCCAATAGCCTGGTTACGAAGCCGCAGCAATTAGAGGCATTTGGATTGTTCTTAAATTCAGCAGTATATTATTGCATTAGATTGTTAAAATTAGTAGCGTTTAGTTAAGTGCAATTAAGAAGCTTTGAAAAAAAAAAAAGACTAACAGATGACGACACCTTCTCAGCCTCAAACTCCCTTTGCCGCATGTTTTCCATGTTCGCAAGCTTTTGGGCCAGCTGAGTGACTTGTTTTTCAAGTTGGGCTGTTTCTTCTACGCGGTGCTCGAGCCTCGCCTCGAGGGCCTGGTAGGCAGTTTCTCGTACGGCCAGCATGCGCTCTAGCTCTTTCACCCTGACGTCATCCTTGTCGGCCATCTTTTTGGTCAGCAGTCTCACCTTCTGCTCCAACTCCAAATTGTGTTTGTTGCGTTGATTCAGCCGCTGTTCCAAATCCTTATTCTCAGTCTCCCAAAGGGATAAGCGCGTGTTCAGTTCGTGAAGTCGAGTTGTTTCCACGTCTGCGAGCTGATTGGTCAGCTGCGATGCCCTATCCTCGAGTTCGGTTTTTTGCTTATTGTATTCGTTGACCTTTCTTTCCAGCGTCTGGTTTTCATTTTCTTTCATCGTCAACAAGGCATCGAGCTCTTTATTCTTGACCATGGATTTTCTCAAATCGCTTTGGAGTTCCGCCACTTCACTTTCAAGCTCAGCATTGTTATCTAAGAGCTTTTTGTTCAACTCTTGGTTTTCTAAATCACGACTGCGCAACATGTTCTCGATCTCCTGACTTTTGTCCATGATGTCCTTGAGCTCGGCTTCCGTTGAAGCCAAGCCATTCAGCTGCGAGTCTCTTGCTTTTAACTTCTCCTCAAGTTGTTCTTTGGACGAATTACTCAAATTCAAATCGACCTCCAGTTCTTGGAGTCGCAATCTTGCCTCTTGAAGCTCTTTTTCCAAAGTTCCACGAGTTTCTCTCAGTTTTTCGTTTTCTGAGCTCTGCTCACGGAGCTTCGTTTCTAAATCCTCCACTTCGGAGGCTCGTAGATTTAACATCACGTCCATTTCGTCGGTTTTAAGTTTTAGTTCCTTCACTTTGTTTTCTTCTCCTTCCTTCTTTACCTTCGATAACAAAGCGCCAACACCTTACCAAAGATTGCACACGGAAAACTAACACGATCTCAATTCAGCGAAAACAAAGTTTAAAAATAGCGGAAACGCGTGCTATAACTGGGAAATAAAACATTTTAGTTCTTCTAGGAAACAAAATCCTTACATGAACATAACTGAAATAGCACACAACAAGTACAGAACAGGTCACATGACAGGTGCCTTGCTAAGACTGAAGAACATACTTCTTAAATTTTTTTCTTTTCTTTGGCTTAAAGATCGTTACGAAGAGTTCAGTTACGAAAGGCACCTGGGAACTTACGAGTGAATTTTTAGAAAAATCCGATTCTTTTCGACGGAATTTCCACGGGAAAGTTTCCCATTGCTTTTCCCAAATGTCTCGGCTTATCGTTTTGAAGATAATAACCATACTACGGATTCAGAAACATTTCTCCAAATGATTATCGCCTTAAAACGTAACGTGTAAAATCATAGTATGAACTTAACCACCGTGGGTCGTCGCTCTGTTTTCTCCAGAATTAACAATGATCTTTTAACTACCAAGAGTTTCTCGTCAAATAACCATTTTTAATCATCCAATCATCAGTACTCAACAAGAAAAAACAGTTGGGGTGATTTTCATGACAACATAGAGAGTAAAAAGTTTCATGCTCGCTACAACTGAGCTCTTTGGAGAGAGCAGGAAATAATCATATTTATTTGATGTTTACCCCTGAGCTTGAGGAGTTTTTTCAAATATTCCTTTCCACGTGTACTTACCTTTTCGGCTTCCAGAAGTTCTCTCTCTCTTTCTAACGCTTCCTCTTCCATAGCAGCTTTCTCCCTTTGAAGCTCGTCGAGGTGCACTTTCTGCTCAGTAATTTCCTTGATACTGTTTTCCAAAATGTGTCCTTTCTCATTTTCAAGCGACTCCACTTTGCTTTCAAGCTCGGCCACTTTCTCGCGCGACAGTTTCAGCTCTACGACTTCTTTGTCGCTGCGAGTTAAAGTCTTGAGCTCAAGAGTTTGAACTTTAGCTTCCAGCTCACGTTTCTGCTCTTTGAGGAAATTGATCTCATCTTGTAAATGCTTTACAGTTTGTTCCAGTAGACCAGTTTCGGTTTTCAGTTTAGTGGCGTATTCTCTTTCTAATTGCGAGCGAAGTTCAATCTTCTCCTGCACGTACTCTTCTTCTAGTTCTTGTTTTTCGCGAGCGTTATTTTTCTGTAGGTCTTTGATTTTCCTCTGGTAACTCTCTTCAAGTTCGTTTCGCTCGCTTGAGTAAGTTTCTCGTAGTTCCTGCAAGCCTACCGTTCCACTCTTTTGGAATTCCTGTTTTTCCCGAAGGTAGCTTTCCTCCAGCTGTGCTTTCTGTGTAGCAAAACTCTCTTCTAACTCCGCTTTATGAGTCGCTAACAAACACAAGAAATCGTTTTTCAGCTGTCCTTTTAGCCCAGCCTCGCCATCGGTGAAGGCTTGCTGCAACTCGGTTATTTGATCTTTATAACGTGCTTCTAATTCAACCTTCTCTCGAGACGAACCCTGTAACAGCTTGGCCTTTTCTTCGGTGTAATGTTCTTCGATTTCAGCTTTCCACTTTTGGAAAGTCAGTTCGCTGTGAGTCGAATTTTCCTGGAAGCCTTCCTCGATTTTCGCGCGTTCCTCGTCAAATTGCTTTTCTAACGCTGCTTTTTCCTTCAGGAAACCATTTTTCAATTCAGCTTCTTTCAGAGCCAGCGTGTGATTATGTTCATTTTCGAGATTCTCCTTCAAATCAACCTTCTCCCGTGCAAATCTTTGTTCAAGTTCATTTCTCTCGCGGGTAAAAGACTCCCGCAGTTCAGCTTTTTCACGGGCAAACTTCTGTTCGATTTCTGCTTTTTGCTCGACAAAGCTTTGCTTCAGACTTGCTACTTCCTTAGCATGAGCCTTCTTAATCTCCCATGTCTCGTTGGAGTATTCTTCCTCCATTTTAGATTTTTCCTTCTTAAATTTATTTTCCAGCATACTAATCTGCTGTTGATGTGCGCTCTCAAGTTCAGATCGTAAAATTGTCCATTCATGCTGGTTCTTTTCCAAGGCTGCTACTTTGGTGTTCTTCTGCATCTCCCATTCAGCCTTGTCTATTCTAAACTGCTGCTCCAGTTCTGCCTTCTCGTTCATCAACTTCAACTCCACCTCAGTTTTTTCCGCCTCGACGGCTTGAAGCTTTTCTACCAGTCGTTTCTCCTCAGTTTCCATTTTCTCCTTCTCCTTGTCTATCTCTCCCTTGAACAGCCTCTCCAGCATTTCTTTCTCTCCTCTGTGCTCTTCTTCCATTTCAGATTTCTCGCTCTCGTATTCCGATATCAGCAGCTCACGTTCCTGCCTGAATCCATTCTCCAGCTCCTTCCGGAGGCTTTCCCGCTCGCTTCTAAGCGACCGCTCTAAATCCTTCATCTTATCTTGATACTCCTTCTCCAACTGCTCCTTCTCCGTGTGAAAGCTCTTCTGCAGTCCTTCCATCTCTCCGGTAAACTGCGCTGTGAGATTCGCCAGCTCGGTGTCATATCTTTGCTTTGCTTCGTAACTCTCAGAGGTAAGAGAACCCGTCAGACCCTCAATTTCGTTCCTCAGATCTTGAATGGAAGCCTCTTTGGCCCTCAGCTGAGCTTCCTGATCCTTCACCTTGTCACCAAGCTCTTCCACTTTTCCTTGGAACTCTACTAATGCGATCTTCTGATCGGACAGCAACTTTTCTTTCTCGCTCATCGACGATTCTTGTTCTTCTACTTTAGCTTTATGCGCATTGATCTGTTCTTCTTTTTCCTTCAATTCACTCTCCAATCTCTCAATAACTTCTGAAAAAAAAAAATTAAAGCAAACAACTATTTAACTGTCACGACCGATAATGCAAGAAGCAAAACAAAATATTGGTAATCTAATATTCACTAATCGCAGTATTTCACTGCAAGTCAAACTGAGTGGATAGTTTACTGGAAAAACTCAGCACACTATTACTGCATTCGTAACGAGCCGATAGGTTCCCTTACTAAAAGTAACAATGATTTATAGAACAGGCCCCCTGATTACAAGCAACTTAAAAATACTCTTGTCATATCACTTCTGACAGCAACACAGTTTATCTGTTAACTATATTGTAACTAACTTACTGCGTTGTTCCTGCAGTTCAGCGGAGTCATCTGGGGAATGAGGAGAAGGTAGAGTTATAATCAGAAAAGTCACATATGAACAGAAACGCGCAGAACTCATATTGTAGTTATTCTGCGGGAGAGTTAGAGGAAATATATTTTAAGTTCAAGCTTTTTTTTACGATAACATCTAAGCAGAGCGAAAGTTCTTGTTTATCAACAAAGGAGAAGTCTTAAGAGGAACAAAACTGAAAATAGCTAATTTTCCTTTACTGAAGGCAAAGAGAGCAAGAAAATCGAAGAAGCCAGTCGTAGGACCGGTAAGAGAAGTGTCAACTCAATTTTGTACACAACTACACCCATGTCGTTAAAAAAAAAAAAAATCAGCCAAACAAAAAAAAAATACCACGAAGACGCTAACAGGAAAACAAGAGTTCTGCGATAAGTCCCCATCTTCTTAATCAAGAAAAGAAACTAATCAAGACTGAGGAATACAAAAGTGAGACCAGAGATTTCTCCATTTACGTGTCACATACGAAGAGAAGTTAGGAATGGATAACTCAAATAGACCAGTTTAACTGGTGCTTACAATGAAACTGTTACAAGAACACAAAAAGCCCACAGGATCACAAAATAGACCAGGCAGAGACAGAGGAAAAGACCTTTAGGATTAGTAACGAGGATTTCTTCATCGACCTCTATTGACCACGGCAAAGGAGGAGCATCATCATCTGTAAACTGACCTGCTAAGATAGCAAATTGAAGAGAAACATAACATGGAAAGTTAACGGATAACAGCTACAAAGAATGAGACTGGCAGCAAAGAAGCAGTCACAGATTCCTCAGAAATTCAGAAAGTAGCAACACAGGAACTAAAGACAAAGGTGTTGAACTGTACTTTGCAGATTTGAGTTTATCTACAAAGTGGCAAACTTTCGAGTTTGCCTTAACCCATCTTTAGTTTGGTTGTTGTTGTTGTTGTTGTTGTTGTTGTTGTTTTTGTTGTTTTTTGTCGCCGTAAATTTACACTGTTTTCTTCTCCTACAAAATTGGCCGGCTACATTGTAAAATGATGGTTCAGGGATTCATCTTAAGCCTGACGATATCGTGAATAGAATGGTAAAGAATTCACACTGGCCAGAATATAAAGGAAGATTGAGACATTACTTGAAGACTTATCAACTAAAAACAGTTAAAGAAGAGGTAAATGGTAAAGGCATTCAGTAGTCTTAGGGAACAACACAAACGAATTAGATTCAACAAGGACATCATTTTCACTTTATAGTTAAGCTGTCGAGCTTAAACGTCATTACCATCGTCTCCGTTTGTCACTCTCCGCTGGTCAAGAGTCTACGAAGGCGATGCCAAACATTCGTTCTTCTATTGTTAAAAAGTGCGTTTATTAAGTTAAAATATCGTTAGCAGGACGCCAACAACGTTGCATTTGTTGGAAATGTTATCAACGTATTAAGTAAGTAAATGATTACTACTGGTGCGGGTGGCAGGTCAAACAATTCAGCACGTAAGTATATTCCTAACTGCCATCAAAAGTGAAGCGCTTTAGATGATGCATAATTTTGCGCCTTCGAGGAGCAGAACTGCACAAGATAACCACTGTGTTAGTCTTCCTAACTTTTCAGCCGAGAGGTAAAACTCGTGCCGAGTATTTTGTTTAATTGGTTATTTTCTCTGCCTAGCAGAATAGAAGAGTTTGCTTAAGATTTCTCGTCTAAGAAAGGAAAGAGCAGAAAGGAACAACAGCTAGATATTAGACGAAAGCAGACCCCATTAGTTGAGCCAGATAAAAAAAAATGTAAGGACACAACGAAGAAGAAAACAAGTTACGGTGATGTGTTCGAGTTTTAACGTTTTCAACTTCTTTGTGTTGGAAAGAGTAAAAGCACAACCAGCAAACCTCACAATTAACAGCTTTTAAATTCATAATCTGGCAACCCATGTTAACTCTATCCCTGCCCCCTTTAATGCTCAAGCACCTAAACACCCCTAAAAAAAGAAGAAAAAACCCTCTGAAGCATAAAGTGTGCCGGAACAAGAGCCCCCCAAACAGATGCCAATTTGCGCGCGCATCGGTTGCTTACCCGCGTCCTCATTTGACCCGCCATCACCGCTGACTCGCACAGAAGGAACGCGCGTACCGTCTGGCTGGTCAGCTGTATCCGACTCCTCCGATGATGTCGCACCCTCTGTTGCACCCTCCTTTTTCCGTTTAACGACCACGGGTTTCGTGTAATCGGAGAGTACCGAGCCGTGCCGATGTACTTTCTGGCTGTCCTGCCGTTTCCGATGACTGGGTCGTCGTTTCACCGAGCTGTTGACCTGCTGCGTGAGAGCTTCGCACTGAAGACGCAGTTCATCGTTCTCGTCTCGAAGTTCCTAGGAGAAGAATGGATAAAAATACGTGAGTGTTGATGAATTTAGCTCCTTATGCTAGTAACGTCATAATGACAACGTAAAAATATCGAAGAAACATATCGATGAAGCCAGATGGCTGTTTACAGACTGCAACAGAGTAGTTTAACCCCTTCACTACCGAGATCTCTTAAGTAATTCTCCTTACTGCCTGCCATACATTTCTTACGATGTCAGTTCGGAGAATTTGGCATTGGACCAACTAATAATTCCTAATTGATATTAATTTTTCTCAATACTCATCACTTGTCTGCTTGATATTCTATAGATATTGTAAGGAGAAATTCTATCTTGGTTGCTCATGGGAGTTAAAGATAGACAAATCCAGGTAAGAAGCAGTAAGAATTATGTTAGCCTAACACCTCCTAACCGTCGTCAAGTGCATGATAGGCACCATAGCCTCTATCATTTTCCTCTCACTACCAAAAGGAAACAAGTAAAGCCCAAGATAGATTCCATGAAACTGATAAGTCCAAAATGGTACGGTGTCAAATTGCTTCGAAATAAAGGCCTTAGTGCAGGCGTATTTGATAACGAACACTTAACCAGAATCATATCATGTTTTCCCAGTAGCGTAAAAACTTTTCGTATTTGACTCGTAACACGAAAGCGAAGAGAGGCCAAAGAGCGCCACAGCAATTATGTTCGTGACAATCGTACCAAGTCGCCATGCTTTTTTTAGTCAATAACGAGCCAAACTCACCCTATTTATACGTTCCAGTTCCCTCACGGTTTTGCTGTTTTTCTGATTCTGCTGCTGTTTTAGAAGCTGTTGCTTCTCGACTTCAGCCAGCTGAAGAGAAATCAATAAACCAATATTAAGAGTCAAAAGTTAAAACGCAACGAAAACAACGACCCGAAATCTTCAGTTACCCTGTGTGATAAATCAGACATGGATTCCAATTCCTTCTCCAGTCTCTCTCGGTTGTTTTCTGACTCGTTGAGTTTTTCCTGAGCATCCGATAGCGTCTTCTCTAGTCGCAAAATCTCCTGTTTAAGATACGTAAACATAAAAATTCAAGGATCAAGATGAAACATCAATATAAAAGAAATAAGCCATAAACAGCTTGAACTGGGGGCAAAGTTCACGCTGGTACAGGATAATTAATGTTATACAGTTTATAGACACTTCTGGCCCCCAGCGCGGGAAAACGCGTTCGGCCAAGAGTGGATCGTCTCTGCTTTAGCATCTGATAGGTTGCGATGGCGCGCGGGAAAACGCGTGCGACCATGAGGCGATGGCATATGGTGATGTTTTCTTCAAGTTGAGAAGGTACCATGCCTAATAATCTTAGTAACATTAAACCAAATTCATTTTCATTAGATTCGACAGCTGAATTTTTTAAAATCTCAGTATAGGCTGTGTTGTCCTTCCCTTGGGCGAAGTATACGTTAGATAAATATACATGCTTGAAACAAAACAAATCAAAACAAAAAAAATCTCACCTCCTCAGCCTCAGCGAGTTTAGTCCTCAATCGCTGTTCTTCACTCTTTGTATGATGAAGTGACTCCTCCAACATAGATTTTTGTTGATTTGCGTTCATTACAACTTTATCTCGTTCCTCTGTTAACGTTTGTTGTAAGTTCTGCATTTTTTCTGTGTAGTGTGATTCTTGATCCCTGGAAGGGTAAATGCGGGAAAACTTATTTATCACACTGTTAAATCCCTTGGGTATACACCCCACCAACCTCCAAAAGATAGTGTAGTTATTAACTCCCATAAAAAAGCAAAGATGGCCATCCATCAAATCTATCAAATACGCGTTCAATGTACGCATGTATGTACTTAGGAATCAAGTTTAACACCACATTAGCGAAGAAAAACTCAGCAGACAGTTATTTGAATTTGAGTTCACCGTCATCCCCTTAAAATTTGATAAACAATTTCCCTCTCAGAAGAGCTGCACGGTATCTGGTATACAGTCTACAATATGCCGATTTATCAAGTAAAACCTCAAAGATAAGTGTCACCACAAGTTTGCTGAACTATGTCCTTAAGTTGTGAGGAGTTGCATTTCATCAATCCTGAGAGTCAACAGGGTTACCACACACATTGTTCAAATATTCTTCTCTGAAGTTCTTAACTGAATAACGGCTAAATACCGCGGAGATTCTTTCTTCCATACTAAGCTAATTTTTTAGCGGGTTCGTCAACAGGTGACAAGAACTAGTTTGTTAACGACCCCAGTCCATAATCTCCCTTTAATTCCGGACTACTTCAGGAAACTCTTTAAGATCTGACTGACTCTTACAAAGCCATTGTGTTCATGTACAGTTTCTGAATGCTGACAATATCAATATTATTACTTGTGGTGGAGAGGGATAAGAAATCAGAAGCTAAGAGATGAAAATGTGATTCAAAACAAAATGGCAAATTAAATAAATTAAGGAAGTGATTGAAAGAATTGAAATTTAAGATTGGAACGAAACCGCAGTTCAAACACCCAATGTCCTCTGTGACAAACAGGCTTCTTTCGCGGAAGATAAACTTAAAAGTAATTGCTTTCACTGTTTCAAATACTCACCTCATCTTTGTTTCGTGTAGTTTCTCTAATTTCTGTGCCGTGTCCTCGCTTTCGACAATAAGCATTTCTTTCTCTTCCGTGAATTTGACCAAAGTCTCCTTGAGGGCATCGCGTTCGGCGGCGACCGACTCCGCTTGAGATCTGAAAAGAAAAATTTCTTATTCGACGATTTTGCAGTTAAGTGTTTTGAAAAAAAAAATATTAAAATTTTTAACGGGAGGTGCAAACAATATTTACGACATTCTGATTTTTTCCTACACCATAGACAAAGCAAACCAGGAGAGCTGTTGCTCGAGTATAAAAGGGATCTCCCGCATTACCGTTTACCCAACAATATTACTTAGCCCCGCTTCACATAAGGCGCAATCAAATTCCGCCATAATTTTTTAATTACACATAAAAAACGCAAATAAGCAGATGTAAACGCGGAGAAAAAATAAATCTAGGCACAAAGTAATTCCACCTCAGTAAAGAAAAAGCAAGTTATAATTGATTTTCTCCCGAGAGTAATTAACAGAACATTTAAAACGGAATCGTTGTCATAAAACTGTCAGAATCTCATCAAAAAATATTACTTTTAAAAGCTTGGTAATTGTGAATTAAGAAGCAGCAAACAGGAACAGGTTGGAATTTTGACAACACGAGATTTGTACCTTGATAGCCGTGAAATGAAATCAGACAGCCGTTTGCTTTTGTCCTTCTCTGACAAAAACGTTTCTGACTCAGCCTCATATTGCAGAGCCGATTCCTTTCCTTCGATTTGTCTTATTCCAAGCGAGGACTTCGCCATTCGTGCTACGAATTTACAGGCCTCTACGGGTCAAGTATCGCCATTATTAACTACCTACAATTCTAACGAGCTAACAACGCGACAGCAAAAACAAAACTGAGAAGTAAAGCATATGCGAAATCGTCTTACACAACAGAAAGGGGATGGACAGTGTTTCCATTTGAGATCATTGCGCTTTCAAATAACTACACCCTTGAAAAACCCGCCAGAAGTAGGGGCGCGGATGGAATATGAACCAATCACAACACGGCAATTTATCAAAGCCTCCCCACCCGAGCGCTTTTAGCAAGTAAACAAACTAGTACCTGTTCCAAAAAACAGAAATGACGCAATTATACGCCCAAAAAGAAATATGGGTCGCCTCTTCCACCTTATTAAACAAAAATTTATTACGTCTATAAAAAGAAAACACAAAGACCTTGCCGGCAAGAGTAAACAAATTCATTTAAATTTTAAGATTTCCTCAATATTCTTTCGCGCATCAAGAAACGCAACATGGGTATATAAGCCAGTTATCAACGGGCAATAAATGGATTATTTCTGGCTTGCAGGAAACTTTGCGTCACTTTATGAGTTGAGATCATACTGAATGATACGAGAACACGACGCGGCCCTAAACTCAAGTTACACAGATGATTTCAAGCGAAATCCAAATCAAGCAAAGGGTTTTGGCTGAACTCGGATATTCTTCACTGTTCTTCAGTTTGTTATCGCGAGTTCTTGGAGGACAATGCTCGAGAACGACACGAAAATATCTGACAAGGTACGATGGGGTTTTTTCCTTTGTATACACACGAAGCACTGTAGTTATTTATAACAAACCCAATGTTTTCAAATTTGGAAACAAGCATTCGTTGCAAGTCGCGCATTGTCGCCCAAAGTAAAGTTAAAGATTTTGAACAATCCCTCATCCTTGGAGCTGGCACAAGTCAGATTCCAACTTACTTTAAATAGACTACTTCGTGTTTGTAGATATTCACTATAGCTTTAGGTACGCCTGGAATGCAACAAAACAAAGCAAACAAGTTTAGTGTCCCTAAATTTTACATAATTTAATTGACTTGAGCCTTTTTAATTCAGGAGAAGACTATTTGTCAGTGATCATGTCACGCTATTCCACTCACCATCGCTCTGCTCGTCCACGACAGATTCCAGTAAGTTTGTAAGCTGATGAAGGCTAACTTTCCCCTCCGCATCTGCATCTAAATCCTGTAAATAGACAAATCAAGGTTCACATTTTGGCCCAAAAATAATCAATTGGTGGTATATTCCTTGGCTAAAATATCATACAGTAATGTAGAGACGAAGTGACATTTTGTACAAATAAAATACTAAACAAGATCTTCGCACCTTAAGTAGGGTACAAAACCTTATTAAAAGTATGATAGAGCAGTTTTTAACTGTGTCGAACGTAATCCGAGATTAATTTTGTTTTTTCTTTACTTCACTATGTGATTGGTCCAGAAAACTCGCGCCAGTTTCTCAACCAATCAGTTTCAAACCGATAGCCAATCGCGACTTGATCACTCGCGTTTTCCCGCGCTTTAGGATGTTTGCTTGTTTTCACTTCGAGTGATAGCTTCGGTTTCGGTTTTTAACGACTCTCAATCAAAAAACGCTGACAGTAGACGGTACCTGTAACAGTGGAATTGCCTCGTTCAATCCCTGAGCCTGCCAGAAATCGTTGATGTCTTCTTTCTTAGCAAAACTAAAAAGTAAGGATGTACAGTTATTTAAACAGTTGAAGAGTCCATAACAGAAGAAATCAAACCATGCACCGTATCACAAAATTTTAATAGAAATTTGACAGAAGTGTAACCGTTCGTAATCCATTAACATTTAGCTATTGCTTACCCCGTTCTTTCTGGATCCAGCAACGAAAACAGATCTGCAAGAAGCAACACAAACAGGGATTAGTCAAAAAAAGGAAAGAAAAATAGTATGTCTTCTGCCCATCAAGACTTCAGAATTTATGGGGTTACGTGGTTCAATGCACCAAATACAGTTAGTAACAGAGCGCTCTTGTATTTCAGACAGTAAAGTGTATCATTATACTTTGCACCGCGGCTTGTTAATACACCACCCCCCTCCCCCTAAAAAGAAAAACAAATACAAATATTTGCATGCACAGTGACCCATTTTCATTTCTTGTCTCATAACTGTGGTCAATTTATGTGCTTATCGCTACTTCCTGTGGGCACAGTCCAACCAACCTCTCACCACCTGCCATCTTAGAGATAGAGGGGAATGGCTCAAGTACATGTAGAGGGCTGACTGTTACTGGTGAGTGGGGGGAGGGAGGAAGGGTATTGTTGGAGGCAGTTTGATACCAAATTTTTCAAAGGGTACAAAAATTTTCCTTAAAAAAATACTTTTGGTTCAAAAAAAAAAAAAAAAAAAAAAAACCTTAATACATTTTGAAATAACAAAAATATAAAGAAACCGAAAATTGATGGCAAATTATCAAGAGAAAAGGTAATGAATAAAACGTTTGCTTTAAGTACTGAAGACACCTTATTTCCTCTTTCACAAAATAAACCTGGCAGCTTATCCTTTTAGGTGTTTTCAGGTGATTCTCACGTATTTTGCTACTCCTCTGTCAGTCAGAGATTAACTTGTCATGGCCAAGAGGTCATTCTGATTGTTTGGAAAATGCTTTAGCAGCCATTGTCATGCAGGAGACTGAATTGGCCTTTTTTGAGGGTCAGCAAAAAGTGGCCACAATGGGGAGGTAGTTTTTATGGAAGCCTGAGGACTGCAATGATTGTAAGGTTCAAAAGAGTTTTCTGGGAATAGCCCAAGGAGAAATCCCTGAAGATGGAATACATGTACACTGTAGACACAAATCAATCACTCTGGCAAACCTGATTACATGACAAAGACACTGCGATGAGATTGAAAAGCCTTACCAAATGTTGAACTACTTCCTCCAGTCCTGGAGAGAAAAAATGAATCATCATTGTTCAAGGATCTCTGGCCCTGCAAGGAAAAAAATTCACCTCAGTCAACCTTGCCAGTTTATTGCTATTGCTATTCTCCATTCACATAAAAAAAAAAACAACACAAAAATGCAATCCTACATCTCAATTCCAAAAAAATTCCTGCAAACACTGTAGTTCCTTACTTTAGTAGTAAAATCTTCGGCTGGTGCTCGATTATATGGCGTGGACTGTTGTTTTTGTTCCCATTCAGGCTCTATGTCAGACTGTTGAATGTCTTTAGCCACAAACAAGCCATGAAGAAACTCGTCGAAACTCACTTGACCATCACCGTCATCATCAAGCTCCTCAAACAGGAGAGCCAGCTCCTGAAATGGAAACCAAATGCTGGCTAGGAATAAGTTTGTCATTTTCAACAGGGAAAGGGAATAGTGCAACTTATGTATATATGTCATTTAAAAGGCAATAAATTTGGAAATAGACTTGAAACAACCACCAGTTCTCTGATAGACGGTTGCTTCCTCATGTGATGATTTGTTTTTTCTTTTCAAAATGGTGTCAAATGAATTCCCCTCATCTCGCACAAAGATGAGATCTATTTATTTTGTCACCTAAGGTTACTACTACAAGACAGTCTCTTAACACAGTAGTAAGTGCCTTAAGGTAAAAAAACAAGTGCAGCAGTACCCAACACAGTATCACAATTAATCTTTGAAAGTTTTAAAAGATCTGCGCTGAAGTTGCAGAGCCATACTTGGGATTATTAAATGGTTCCACAAACCTGTTCATTCATGGAGTCCATGCCAATGTGATCGCATACCACAGACAATTCATGTCTATCCAGGTAACCATTTGCACCAACATTCACTTCAGTCCAGATTGCTCTCAGCTGCTCTTCTTCGGTTGGTGATTCATACCCTAAGAAATGATAATATTCCCATTCCTCATCATAATCTCAAGTAAGTTCCCTGTTTTTCTTTCTCCCCTTTCCCACTTTATAAGCCTCTCCCTTTCAAATGGTCAAAGTGCTGAAGCCCCATCTCTTTCTGATAAGCCCCATTATCATAGGGAGGAATTGGCATTATTTGATTATTCACATCACCATTTGAAAAATGTAGAAAACATTTTCTTTTAATGATAACATCTTGATTTAACATTGCAGTAACTTAATGCTGACATTTATTTGGCAAAAGGCATGATCAGTTCCAACTGCCACAATTTTTTTCCAAAGATTAGTGTAAACTTGTAAGTATACACATTGTGCACGTAAATAATACAACATAGAGCATATAATCTTCAAACATGGTGATTTCAAAAGATAAGGGGCTCACAAATTAAATCTTCGAGAGCAAAATCAAATTGAAATGTTTTCTTTTAAATGTTTAATTCAAAGTTAAATTACCTGAATTAGGCTGTGGAGAACTCAAAAGTCCATTGCCCTCCAACACATCAGAGTCACTGGCCAAGATAGAGTCCTCACGAGACTTCCTCTGTTTGGAATTATGTCGACGTATGCTGTTCCTCAGACTGCTTTTTCTGCTTGATAGTCTTCTTTTTAACCTTGGTTTCTCCTGTATGGAAGAAAAGCGTGAAACATAATTACATATTAATTATCAGAAAAGAAATGTACAATGCACTGAGTGTTGCACCCCTGGTTTCCAATAAACTAAGACCAATAATTTGCTTTTCAGTTTTTTTTGTGATTTATTGTAAAACTTCAAACTTACAGTTGTTTTTCAGTGAAATGAACTCTAGTTATGATCTCTACATGTATATGGCTGGGATAAATGTGTTTCTTCATTTTTGTTGTTGTTGTGCTTTTACAGTTGGTGGGACCTGCAGGAGAAACTCTCTCAAAATAAGGGTACATTGTATCTATCAGTCTTTTTGCTCAAGAGAAAATTTACATTGATTTTTTGTACTCCTGAGTTCATAGCTTTCCTGTAAACATTTTCCCAACTGATTTATTGTTCTCTCTGAGCAGAAGAGATTGTACTAGTTTATGCAAATGATATGAATACAAGTATGTTCTCACCTCTCTTGTTGCGCTTTCAACACGATCTGGCTCTGAAGTGATGTGAGCATCACTCATACGGCTCTCTGGTCGACTCTCAATCATGCTCTCATCATCTGCAGAGTACAGATCTTCAGAGTAAGATGCCTCTGGTCGTGACCATCTTCCATAACGTTTCTCATTCACCACTAGCTTGGGTGGTTCTGAAATAAATTATAATACAAATTGATGTTTTTGGTAGTTACACTGTACTTGTTTGGAAAAAGGTGCATTAAAAAGCTCTAGGAAAGAGAGGAAAACCACTGTAAAAAAATAAACACCTGTAACAGAATCAGATGGTTGTTCTTCATCCTCACTAGAGGATAACTGTTCAATTGCTTGAGAAAGCACAGCTACAAATCCTTCCTTGAAGTCATCGAATGTAACCTAAAACAAAAATGACAACAGTATGAAGTTCAACACAGTTTATGCATTTTGCTAACAGTTAACAGACTAAAACTGACAAAAATTGCACTGCAACTTGGGATGTACATGCAGCCTGGGTTACTTCATGAATTTGCTTTCTGTGACAAACAAATAAGCAAAAATATTGTGACCAAAATTCACACAACTTGCATCAAATACTGCATTACACACTAAATGTATGTAGGTTACACAGAATGGGTTTCACAAGACAACCAGACATAAATTAATATCAGAATAACTCAAAAGAGTTTATGGAAGAGTGAATAAACTACAAATGTATTAAATTTGAAGGAAAAAAATAAATAAAGAAAAATGTACTATATTCTAAATTGAAGATGTTTAGGTTCACTGTGCATAAACCTACTTCAAGTTTTCTGCCATCAACAGTGACCTCTTTAGTTCGATAATCACAAACTAGTTCTTTCATAATGACAGCCAACAGAGGAAAAAGTAAATTTTCAAAAGTTTTCAGCAAAAAAGCTTCCAAGCTCTGAAGTTGAACCTGTAGTGAAAAATTTAATCCTCACCAACAAAACAACCCAGGAAAAAAGGGCACACAAATGATGTCACAGTACAGGTGCTTTGAAGCCATTTAATATTCATCACACAATCTTTGCAACTGTACATAAGAACAGAAAGGAGAAAACACCAAAAGATCTCAACAGAGGATGCACATCAAATTCTGTTTTGTCACTGACCCTCTAAATTAAAGTTATCCACAGTTCAAATTGTGAATCCGAGTCTAAAAGCTTTTTTTTTCTGCTTCAATAGCATTTCAATACAAACACCAACCCACTAACACAAGCTAAGCCACAAGCTGTTCTGAAGCAGCACACTTGTGTCACCTGTTGAATGTGACAATAGCTCTTGGTTTGAACTTAGAGAAATCTCTCTTCACAATCATAACACCAGTTTTACAGACATTCACCAAGTCATTGTTTAACATCATCCTTATTCGATTTGGTTTCCAGCAGAAAGATGCCATGATTTATGAGCTGGCCAAATGACACTTTGATGCTTTTATTAAACTGCCAAAATTTTTCTATCTTTGAGTTAATCTTGAAAGAAGCTGTAGATTATGTTTTTCATTAAAAGCACAGGTATATCATGACTTGTTTCCATCATTTGGTTACAAGCAAAGGTTGGATGAATCTTAATACAATATTTCCTTGAGAAAATAAAACAGCTGATTCTGATTTTTTTCTGATTTTCAAACCCTGACTGAAAATGTAAGAAGCATACTATCAGTGCTCGCAAAACACATTTATTGCTAGGGACAATTAGAAAATAGGCTGTGAATTACCCTCAACAGTATCAACAGGGTTACCATTTCTAATTGCCAAAGTCATTCAAGGCTCACTACTGGAAATCTCCTGGCAGTTTGCCCAGTTTAAATTCAAGACCAAGATATTTTATTGAACAGGTTGAAATTCAAACATTAAAAATATCAAGAAACAAAACAGATGGATTTGTATTCTAGGTTACAGTGTTCCACTATTCCAGACTTAGATCTTCAAACATATCTTGGGCCCCATAAGAGACCAGAACTTACTTTGCTTTAAATATTGACTGTAGATCTGAAATTTTAATTTCTTGTAAATGACATGCTTGGTTATAAATTTTCTTTTTTATCTTCAAGTTGGTAAAAAAGATGTATAAAAGAAAATTAGTTTTAAAGTATTAAACTAAAGCAAACATATTGCATTACTGTACAGAAGATGTTCATTTGTAAATATGTGAGTTTATATACATTGATAAATATAAACCCCTTTTAAAAATGCTGCCATCAAAAAAAACCTACATGAAATATATGCACCTTTTGTTTTGTCATTAAAAAAAACAAAAAAAACAAAAGGTAAATGTATATTTCATGTACATTTTCAAATTGCAATGTTTTTGAAATTTCACTCGTAAGTTTGTTCCATACACAATACAACGCACTATAACCATTCCCAGTTTTTTTTTAGTCAAACTGATAATTAAGGTGGGTTTGCAATGCTACAACTCACAACTGATGCACTTTCAAATAAACAGAATTTACATAATAATAATTCATGGGTGGAGTACTTGAACTATTTTGAAACTCCCAATTTATTAATAAAAAATGAGACCCCATCTCTGTGCAATTTTTAGCCTTTCCTCTGCTCTTCATTCCAAGTATTTCTCACAATAAGTTGAAAAGATATGAATTGTGAAACAGTGTAAATAATTGTAATGCAAGAAAGTAAGTTAAAAATTGGGAAAAACAAGTATCTGAACAAGGCTAGAATTGAGGAAAGACTTCAACAGCTGTTTCAGTGTGAATAGGATGGTACAAGGTATCAAGGCTTAAAAGAAGTATTAATCAACAGACAGTATGACATTTCAAATGAGAAAGGGATTTCACATTTGTATCAGCTCCTAGGAGAAGAGCAGTTAAATGTTCTCTTTGAAATTGGTATACTGATTGCATATTAAAATACATGTATTTTCTTTACATTCTCTGACAATAGTGTAGATAGGCAAAAGCTTGAAATAACAAAAAAAAAGACAAAAAGAAGCACATTAGCTCAAGGCCTAAATCGAATGGTCCATGGATTGCAGTATTTAGGAAAACTGCTGAGGAGCTTTCTACAGTCTGAACTGTTAGTATCTGTATAAACATTGAAGTCCTTACTGAGAACCTTCCCTTGGTCTAGAAAAAGGTATCTTGTTGACAGAGGTAAGTACATGTACACATACATAACACATGTACATAGAGAGAAGTAAAATGGAATTGGTTGATCATTGTCTAATACTCAACCATCAGTCTACAGAATCTCTGTCCTCATTTCAATCAACTCTTGATGGCATCATGAGATAGTTTGATGTTGTCGACTTGGTTGATAACACTAATTGTCCACTGCAAAGAGTTCCTAATGCTTTCGTTTTGAGGGTTAACCTTTAATCAGGGAGAAAGTGTTAGTCAGGTACTGACTGAGATTCAGTTGACTTTCAAGTGATCAAGAACCCATTGACAGCCAAAATAAAGTAAGGACATCCTCACCCTTTCAATCCCAAAATCTCATTGGTAATTCCCCCTACTGTCTACTGTACAATTCTTATGATGTTGGTTCTGAGAATTTGGTATTCATTCAGCTAATAATCCCCTTACTTATATTTTTCTGTATTTTCATCATATCACTTGTCTGCTTGATATTGAATTGATATTGTGAGAAAAAAGTCTGTATAAGTCACTCATGGGAGTTAAGTGTTACACATGCAACTCCTCTAATAATTTCATTTCTCCTCAAATGAGTGACTCAATCAGGAAAACCTCAAGGGTGTTTTGCTGATATCTAATAGCTCCTGTACCAAGTTGATAATCATTTCAGAAGATTCTTAGGGTTAACATGAAGGAGATGAGCAACCTACAGTTTATTTAGAACCCAAAATTTACAATTAGAAGATCTGTATAACATTTGAAACGTGTGGTTCACTATCTCTGCAATTTCTATCCTTCAACCATGTTTTAAAAATACATGTTTTAGCTGATATTGCTCTCAGGGCAATATTACTTTCATCTGATTACAGCAGGTCACAGTATACAATTCCACTTCTGAAACCCTAACCATTGTTATACATGTAAATGGTAACTAAAATGCTACAACAGATACCTCTAGTTCTTGACAAAGAAAATGTTCCTGGAGAACACATAAAAAATCAAAGTGTTATCACACAGATTTTGTGCATTGCCTAATTGCCTATGCAATGTTGTGTTGATGTTCAATTGAGTCAACAAACAAAACACTTCAGCTAATATGCTAATTTAAGTGTAGGCGAAGAAGTTCAAGGGTTTATTCCTTGATCTCAGAGACTATTGCTGTGGAAACTGTAGCTTTATGACGAACTTTGTGTTTCTGCAATCTTTATGCTCTGCTTAAAATCTTGATGTACAACCCTTTAGTTCTGAAGAATTCTATTTCCTGAGCTGAAAGATTTGCATCTTAGGAAAAGATTAAGAACTTTGCAATAAGCCAATAATTGGATGGTGAACAAAACCCTCATAACATTGATTCATTACTCAGGAATTTCTCATTTCAAACAAGTGTAACAAGTCTTTGAAAAGCTGACAATCATAATCAAGACAGAAAATCAGCAATGTAATGTGCAGTGAAAATTTTAGTATAATTCATACACAGGAAATGACTGACAGGAAATACACTAGCCATCAAAAAAAATATCCAATAGAGAAAATACCATAATTTGTGAAATAACTTGTGTCAGTCTATCTGGTCATTCTTTCATCTAAATCATGAATTACTGTAAATGAAACATTCACTTTGTATGCCTTTTAAGACTACACTGATCACATAAGCCCCAAGCAATAACCCTCTAAAAGAAACACATTTGGTGTCAATCATAACAATTACTTTAACGAATTTTCACGACAAACATGCTTTTGTATTGATCTAGTTTGGTGATAAAAGAAAATCCGTCGATATTGTTAACAACTGAACTGACGGAATGTTCGAACTCGATATGGAATATTGGATGTTGGCATTAAAATTTATATCCCAACATCATTAGTTTCAAAAGAGGTTCAGTGCGTAAACAAACCTATTGTAGTGCGGTTACGAGACGCCATAAACAAACTGATTTAGCTGATATTTTAATATATTTACGAGTCAAGAAAGGAAGAATGTTGAACAACATTTGCCCCGAAAGAAAGCAGAATACTCCAATCACCGGGAGATATAAACTTACCGTAATCGATGAGCTTGGAATCGACTGGTAACAAATTAAACTTAGGGCCAAGCCCGCGCCGATGATTATGAATCACCAGCAATCATTTATTACCTTGGTGTCGTTCGAAGCTTATCAACGAAGATACGAGAAATTTTTCTCCATACCTGTCCCTCCGCCTCGACGCTCCCCAATAACTGCTGGAGTAGTTGCGGAACTTGGTCATCAAGCTGCAGTTTTTTGCACAACTCCACAAGTTCGTTCCTATTCAAAAAGCCCTTTCGAGCATGGTCACAACTATCAAATACTTCATGAAGTTGTGCCACATAAACATCCTGTTCGTCCTCATCCATTTTACAGTTTAGATAAATATATCAGCTAAATGAAATCCTAGCCCAGGATTCCAGAGCCATGTTGACAGGAAAATAATAAAAGTTTAATTCCTATTTCGTCGATGATTACGCCACGCCAAAATAAAAAGCTTTCGAACGTTTCACGGCAAGCGATGGGTTTGTGGTTCTTTAAATTCAGGTCTGACACAACCTCTCAGCAGAACAAAACAACGTCATGGCCTAATTTCCACTGAATAGTTGTCGGCTTTCCTTGACTTGTATCAATACAACGGTGTGTTCCCAATACAATCAATCCTCTCAGTTTACTCTACAACTCTTGAGCACCAAACAACACCAAGTCGTGTTAAATTATCGCTCGGTAACGTAGTAACGCGGGAATTCTAATCGCTATTTTCGGTGACGGTCGCCTCGGTGAAGACCAAACTTCACTACAGTTCGCCGAATAACAAAAGCGTTCACCTTAAAAAATGTAAGTATGTGCTAAAATTTGAGCCGAAGTTACCATAACCCGCGAGAATAATTTCTTGATTCAGTTCGTCTTTCGTTACTGTTCGGTCCAATTTTCAAACTTGGCCAAAAATAGAATTTGAGTTTGACCACGTGAACACAAAGGAATCTTCCATTTCATTGGACAGAATACAAAAGGATTCCACCAACTGGTCGTGTAGGTAACCAATCAAATCTTTTATTCATGTTTGTTCAGTTTCAACGACTGTGTGTTTGCTTCCACATTTTTGGAATTTCTAGATTTTCCTTAAACTTTCTATGATGCATATCTCAACCTGGAGCCACAAAAAGGTTCACGAAATACCTCACTTCTAATTCAAATATTCTAGAACTCTTTAAATAGGATTTTAATTAAATTTTAACTAAATTCGTCCACAATAATCAGTTAACAGTTTTCCTTTACATTATTAAGCTGATACGCTCGATTTGTCATCTTTTAGAACACAACTTTTAAAAATCAAATGATTGAAATTTTCTTGGTCAAACAAAGCTGGACCCAGCATTCTCTCGGATTTACATGATAAGTTAGCGTTCCGTAGTTTTATCTCAGTGTAAGGAAAACCTTAGCGTAAAAGAACACACCTAATCAAGAAACCAGTTTAGAATTTTAGAATTTGAACCAACTTAGCCTCTCTTGAGCAAGACGATAAACGTAACAATAGTCCCGTACCCAATTACAACTCAGGAGCACAAAAAAATTCTTCAAAATACATTTTGATTTGTGTATTTTGTTGGGCTCATATAGAGTTCAACGTCCGAATCGAAACTGCTCCAGATCGATATCTAAATTTCTAGAGGGAATAACGGCTGAGCTATTCTAAATCAAATTGCATGCCTTTCTTATTAGATTCAGACGCCGAACGTTTCATCTACTCAGTTTTAGGAGTTCTAGGTATAGTATAAGTTTGACTCGCTCATCTCATGAAAAATTTAGAAGCCTTCGAACAGAGAGTTGATGTAAATACTGCTGGATATTGATTGAGATGGCCGACCAAAAGAAAACGAGGCGATCGAAAATTAAAGGCGATGGGAAAAGGGTTAAAGAGGCTCCGATTCTCGTCTCCTCTGAACGGGAGCTTGGGGAGAGCCAGAAAAAAGCACGCTAGGGGAGGGTGTGGATCGATCGTGTTATGCACACTTGAAGCATATCTTTGAAATTTTAATGAATAACCATTTGATTTCTTGACAGCATGAAATATATTTACAAAATGTAGAGATATTTATTAGCGTTTTCAAACATGTTTGTACATTTCAAGAATTACTTTAAAGCTGTCACTAAATTAAAAAATACAACTTAAGCTCTAGTCTAACAGGAACGAGTATGACAAAAATATCAATCCTGCCTAAAACTAGCAGTAAAGCGCGCGATTAAATGCCTCATTAACCCTCTACACTCTAACATCAGTTTGTATATTCTCCATACTGTACTTTTTACACTTCCCAAGGTGCCGACAAGGACAATTTGTTTAAAAATCAAAATCTTCTTTAGTTGGTGATTATTTCCTTCATTCTCACGACCTTAAGGTGGTAGTTAACCCTTATTTTGAGAAAAAAGTCAACAATTTCTTAAATTCTCCACTGGGGCTTCCTAAAACCCTATTTATTCAACTTTTATAACCCGCTTTCATTTTTTGAAAAATTTGAAAATCCCGCTTGAAACGGCTAATTAATCAGAAAGTGGCCTAATAATTGTCCATAGCAACCGTCTGTTTACACTTTGTTTATTATGGTTGCCATGGGTTTTTTGACCCTGCGCTGGGTCAAAAGTCTCCGAAATCCGTTTCCACAGTCCTCACAAGCCGAATTCCATAGACTCCAGTGCTGATTTTCATTAGCGTAACCATGATGCAGCGGGAGCCAGTAAATTCTCGTTTCTTCGATTTTTTCGAAAGCTTAGAGGAAGGTGAAGTCGGATTATTCTTTCAAACATTTTTGCTTGTTGTACTTTGTGAGATGGCGAAGCATGGTGAAAGAAAATTCAGATCCGTTAGGAGAAAAAAAAGGAAGGGTTTTTGCGGCACTACTGGGTCAAAGAAACGTCCAAAACTGACTAAAGAACCAGATCAAGATGGCCTTGCAGGAAGTAAACTCGAAGTTAGTGACAACAGCGACGCCAGTGAAAGTGAAGAATTGCCCATGGAAGTCAATGTTTCCGCCTCAAAGCTTCAGAATTCTTCGTTTTCGATGTATGAAGAGCAGGAAGGCATTCTAACCCGTAAGAAGTCGATAAATGTTGGGCTCGGAGTTCCATCAGTAAATTGTGACAACATTGCAAGTGGTTATAAAATTAAAGATGCCACTTTACTTAGAGATTGTATCGCCTCAGCAGCAATTTGCAGTTTCTGCCGCAAATCTCAATCAACTTTGCAACTTTTTCAGCGAGATTATCAGAGAGAAGGACTTGCTGAATGTCTTTTTCTTAGATGTTCAAATTGTCATCATGAGACTGAGTTGAAAACAAGTAAGAGACTGGGAGGTGTTGGTGGAGGGGCTCATGAAGTCAACAGGAGGTCGGTATTGGCTTCTCAGAAACTTGGCCAGGCTGGGTTGGCTGACTTTTGTGCTAGAATGAATTTCTGTCCACCAGTGACCAAGAAATCTTACAATGATCATTTGATCCAAATTGAAAAGGCAGCTGTAGAACATGCTAGAACTCAAATGCAGGATGCTGCTGGGAGGCTGTCGGATCTGACAAAAAATAAACATCCTAACAGCATTGAAGATGAAAATGGAACCGAAGTGGCTAAAGTAGCTGTTACAGTTGATGGCACATGGCAGAAAAGGGGCCATTCCTCAAAGATTGGTGTGGTGTTTGTCATTTCAGTGGCAACTGGAGAAATTCTGGATTATGAGGTCAAATCTCTTGTTTGCTATGAGTGTCGAGCTCGTGAGCATATGGACAGAGATTCTGAGGAATACAAAGCTTGGAAAGCCAGCCATACAAATTGCCACATTAACCATTCTACCAGCTCTGAGGACATGGAGGCTTCTGCAGCAGTAGAAATGTTTGGCAGAAGTGTAGAGAAGTTGCATCTCAAGTATACAACTTTTGTCGGAGATGGTGACAGTAGTTCTTTTGGTCGAGTGCGAGAAGCCATGACTGCAAAATTTGGAGACAAATATCCTGTAGTCAAAGAGGAGGTGTGGGCCATGTGCAGAAGAGAATGGGTACAGCTCTCCGAAAGTTTAAAAAGGAAATGAAGGGAAGAAAGCTGGCAGATGGAAAAGGTGTCGCTGGAAAGGGAAGGCTCACTGACAAAGTTATCAACCGCATTCAAAACTATTATGGTAATGCTATAAGAGAGAATTGTGGCAACCTTCAAGGGATGAAAGAAAGCATTAAAGCAATTCAGTGTCATATGATAGTGGATGAGGACATGTCACTCAAAAAGCAGCACAGACACTGTCCAAAGGGTAAAGACACATGGTGTAAGTTCTGGGCTGACATGCATAATAAGACAAACACCTACGACAACAGCAAGCGTCTTCCTGCAGTTTTCATGAAAGAGCTGGACCCAATTTTTAAAAGATTGTCAGATAATGCTCTTTTATCAAGATGTCTTCAAGGTTTCACTCAAAACCAGAATGAAAGTGTCAATTCTCAATTGTGGTCCAGATGTTCCAAAACTACCTTTGTTGGAGTTCGTAAAGTTCAAATTGCTGTTTGTGAAACTGTGGCTGTGTTTTAACACTGGGGCAGCCAGCAAAGCAGTCATTATGGATCTCAGTGGGGTTAATCCTGGTCAAAGTATGTTGAAGGCCCTGAGAGATCAAGACAAAGAAGAAGGATCGTAACTGCTGGACGAAAAGTTTCTGTGAAGTACAGAACACAAAGGAAGATTTTACGGGCAAAGTGAAGTCAAAAGGGAAGTGTCATACTCTTCAGGGGCTTTTGGTCTTGATTCAAAGCCTGAGATATCAGTTAAACAAGGAATCAAGAATATTAAGTCCAAGAAACACATTCAGGAGTTACCATCCACTAGTAGAGAGCAAACTGTGGAGATAAAATATGTGGAACCCATTTTTGAAGTTGTGGTCACTCCAAAAGAGTAGGGTTCATGAAGAGGACTGAACTTTTCCACATTTAACCATCTAATCTAGCTGGAGAAAGGCCTTCAAATTAATATTTACTTCCTAGTGCAACACAATTTCAAGAAAATAACTTTCTTGACAGAATGGGGGGATGTTATGGTGAATTTTACTCACAGCACATGTCTTGGACTTTAGAAGCAGTTTTCTTAAAGTTATATGTTTAAGAATTGTCTATCTTGTGGCAGTCATATTTTTTTGCCAGTTTTCAATGGATTTGCATGATTTTTTCACAGGTTGTATAGTTTTGGCTGTACTGTGCAATGAGTGAACTAGTTTTAGTCTTTTGTGAAGTTTTATTTTGTTGCTATGGAAACGTGCTTCTTTATGTCAGAGCGACATTGATTTGACGATACTAAAAAACTGTTTCACTCATTGCACAATTTGTAACAGTGTTAATGTCTCTAGAAAGTTTCATTGCTTTTATGGTATATGTTTGCTGAGATAACTTTGCCATAATCTCAGAAGTTGACTTAAGTTTTCTGGAGTTACCATGGCAACCAATGGGCGTGGTCTCACACTTACCATGTCAATCTTTCAAACTTACTTAAGTCTATATTCTGTTCAAATTTCATGGAGTTTGGTCAAATCCTAGGGAAACAGGCCACTTTTTCATTTAGTTACAAAATAAGGGTTAACTACCACCTTAATATGAATTCAGGGGTGATATTGTAAGGAGAAATTAGAGGCTAGTTACTCACAGGGTTGAAACAAGTATACAAACTAATCAGCCAAGTAAAAACACACCTCCAATGGTTAACTTCCTCGATCTCTTCATTATTTGATTAAGCTAATTAGTCCAACGAATGAGCTCCCTTCACTTGCACGATGCTTATCGTATTCGACTAGGAAAAGGGAACTGCATGAATTCCAGTCAATTTGTTATCAGGTACCTAAATATTGAATACCGCGCGATGGTGATCAGCGAAATTTTCCTCGCATATTTCAATGTTGTCCATCTTTTAACAACGAGCTTCATATCAAAGCATTTTTATGGCATTTCATTATTTTTAGTTTTACCCTATTTAATTATTTCATAATTCAATCATTGGCCTCGCTGTGGGAACGATACTGAAAACAGAGTTGAAAACAATCACTGTGAACTTTTATCTGTGTTTTATGTGACTACAGTGAGAAGCCGTGAAACATCTTCATAACAAGATTTGTTCTACTAAACTGAAAACTAAAGATGGCGAGTTTTGAACTCGGTAGCGAAATGAAAAATACTTTTTATCTTGTCACGAGCGTGAGACAAAGAAAAAGCTGTGAGACCGATGGTCTAAGACTTGATTCTTTATGGTGATTCAGAATTTCTTCCTCGTGACAAGACGAAAAACATTTTTCTTTTAGATTAGTGAAATGAAAAACCTCCTAAAGTGCTGTCTTTGCATGTATACCGAATCATAACTAACTGCTAGGAAATGTAAAAGTGCCAATACAAATTGGTAATTTCGGAAAATCTGAATAATAGCAACTTTAGATAAAAGAGACCATTGACGTAGTGTCTGTTGTTCCTCATTTGGGTTTCGCATTATGTACCTTATTACTCAAAAAATCATTTTAAAGTGCTCACAACATTTCAAAAAATTCTCATCCTCCGGCTGCTAACAGAACTAAGCCAAGGCTAGTTTCTGTATGACCTTTTACTCCTATTACTGGAAGAATAGTTCTTTGCTTTCTTCACCACGAAATTGTGAATTCTTCAATGAACTGGAAAGCGTGCATTCTTAACCGCTCATTGAAGGCACTGTAATTTAAGACCGGGCCTCTTTGATTTTTCCAACCAGCCACTATAAAAGAATGAAAAGGGAAAGAGTCACTTAAAAATCTATTTCTTTACTGATAAGTACAACTGAGGTGTTATAAGCGACCGAAAAAATTATATTCCACGACAGGAAGTTTTGCGTCATCCACGTCTTTTAGGTCGTACCTTTCAGTTTCTCGAGTTACTTCCACTCACATGTAAACGTTAAGGAGCTCAGGAGCCACTCCTTATTTATCGCCGGATTGGAAAGGGGGGAGGGGGGGGGGTTTATAGGAAAATTTTACTATGACACATCCAAAATCCTCCGTCTTCCCCCTCCTCCCCCCTCTAATGATAAATAATGACCGATCCCTACTATCGAGTGAAAATAACATCAAATTTTACCTGAGCCACTTCTGGGCTGGGCGTAAAAATTTTCGTATCGTCTGACTGCCGTTTTAACATGCCTTTTGTTTTAGCTCTGACCTAAAAGAGAACAACAAGGAAAGAAAAAATGTCAAGTTCAGTTTAAGTAAAAAACTGAGGCGCCCCACTCACAGAGTACTGCGCTACGCCCTAATATCGGTTTTTTTCACTAATTTATTTTTTCCATTCGCGCGACGGACTTCGCCGAGAAGGAGGGTCTCCTTGTAGTCTACAACGGAAACCAATTTTGACTTGGTAATTCCTGTTTTCCTACGCTTAGGGCAATTTACAGGTTTTTATTTTTTTGAAGTCTCATTGAGTCCTTTCATATCTGCCTTTGTTCTAATTGGCGGTTGTTATTGGTTTGGTTTTGGTTTGGCTTTTAACCCTTCAACTCCCAGAAGTGATTAACTTGTAAATTCTCTCTATAATATCCATACATTATCTAGCCACCAGGTAATGAGAATACTCAAACTTATCAGGAAGAAGTTGTTGTCTTGATCTAACACCAAATTCTCATAACTTATTTACATGGAATTGTGTGCCAGTTAGAGGGGAGAGGTAACGATCAGATCTTGGGAGTTAAAGGGTTAAGACACTCGTCGTAAGTTAACATAATGTTTGGATTAAGATTTTTAGGTTCTTAGGATATTAGTCCTTGAACTGGAATTTTTTGTACCTTATGAATTTTTTTTTACCGTGTTTAAATATCGATTAAATAAATAAATAAATAAATAAATAAATAAATTCAAATCAAATAAAATGAAATATAAAATGCGCACAATACTATCGTCGACGTTAGAGTCTTACCCGCACATTTAGAACAAGTCTTTCTCCTTCAGTTCTCGGTTCACCCGTGAGTTCGTCAAATCTACACATCCAATCAATTTGCCACGCTTCAAACACATCTGTTTTACCAACAACTATGATGTGTCTACCGAAGGTGATATAAAAATTTGTAAGAACAATGAAGGAAAAGAATGAGCGTTGTTCAAAGTCCACTGAACAACCTTGTTCATTCGACGCACAAGAAAATAAACTTGTTACCGACATTTTCCATAAGTTTAAAGACTAAATACAGAAAAATGAAATTCCCCTCTGCAAACACTTATTGGACTAAGTTGGGCAAAATATCGTGAAGCCTCTGGCAAACAACTTAACCGCGAGACACTGCGAAATCATCATATTTTGCGAAAAATTAATTTGATACATCTACGCATAAGTAGGAAGACATTACATGGAAAACCCATTCAGACAGTATCACGCATGAGCAGAACATTATGTAAGGACAGTTATTCCAAGGTCACGAAAATGAAGTCTCGATTATTAAAAAGGAGAATCTGAAAATGTATTGAAGAATGAAAAGATCTGGCGAACACAATCGACGCTTTCTCCTTAGTATCAAAACTTACTTGTTTGTGATAAGAAGTGTTTTCCTAGTATTAAGACGACTATGACAGAAATAAGTGTCGGCCACCAAGACAGCTCTCGTTTTCTTAGTTTCCTAGTTGAAGGAAAGAAAAACACACCATAACTCAACATTCTCGAAGAAAGCGTACACGGATAGTTTGTCAAACCTAAGATATTATTACGACGTTACCTGCAGTACGGCGTTTCCTAGGGCTTCGTGCAGATTATATGGCTTGATAACCTGAACAAATACATCAATTTATTATATGGCAAGGCAGTATTGAGGTAAATCCGAGCGTACTGATTTGTTCTTACTTGGTTGGGATTTTGCCATACGGACGGTTTCCACGCTTGGTAAATAAGAAACTCATACTACAAAAGAGTACCTTTTCGCGCCGAACAGTTTAAGTCTCTCTCTTTGACGTAATGTGTCGATCAATTTCCAATCGAGTACCAAAAGGAATCTTGGAAAGTACTGGCTTCGCTCCGGTCTCTTATTGGTTTCTAAAACCTGCACAATTCTCTAAACCAATCACAATCTCCGTATCCGCGTTTTCCCGCGCTTGGAGTCGTTTACATCTAATTCATTTCAGTTTTTATTGGCTCCCTGAAAAGGTAACCTTTTTCTGATTTTGCGTTATGATTTTTTTTAGGTATGGTTTTACGGCACTCTTCATCTGGTATGATTAACCCTTTAATTCCCACGAGTGACCAAAACAGAAATTCTCTTTACAACATCATCAATACAATATCAAGCATACAAATGATGAGAATGAAGAAAAACATCTCTTTATAGGGGATTATTAGTTGATTCAATACCAACTTCTATGAACTAGCATCTTACCAGTTGTATGGCAGACAAGAAAAATTCCTAATGAGATCTAAGGAGTGATAAAGTTAAGGCAAATTAAGTGTGTAAGTCACCTTGTCAGCGTAGAAACATCTGGGTGGTCTTAATCGTTTAACTTCACTTCCACTGATGGCAGAACTGCAAAGTAGGAAGCTCAGTTTCAGATGACGGATAAGCATGAAGAATTCTAACACAAATCTCGGAAATTTTGATTTGTACTCATACGTGACATTATGGCAGAAAAATTTCGTCATCAGGGCCTTGTAAACTGACAAGTTGTCGTCCAAAACATTCTTAATATTGGTGCCAGTGTTGTATCCAAAATGTATTTCGGATTCAACTCGACAGTAGAATGATTATAGAATGATTAGGTTCCACCATTTGCGTTTTAAGTTTATATCAAGGTAAGTAATGAAAGAGAGAAGGTAATGCCAACTATCCCCACACGCGCTTCTTCAAACTCTCTCCAAGAGAAATTGTCAATCGAGTATCAAACGTCTCCCGGATTTTAATGGTTATGCTTCACTCCGCTCTGTGCTTCGTCAAAATACAGGAAAAAAGGAAAAGAAAAAACTTTCAAGTCAAACAGGTGCAAAAGAAAAACCAAACATAAGTTGGTCACTTGGTGACAAAGGTTTTAAGACTGGACCCAAGAAGACGGCAGAAATCGAGCCCATCCTTTGTGATGCTAATAGGAAAATTCTTTGCCAACGTTGTCGTTTACCGAACGACATAAGGTTGAACCAAATGAATCACATATGAATCTAGTAATGGCCTAACTCGCCATGGAACTCTCGGAAGCTCAGTGGTTGAACATCGGAGCGCGAAGTCCAAAGGTCTGAGATTCGATTCTTCGTGGCGATTCTTGTTTGATTTCTTTCTCCCACGCTCGTGACAAGACGAAAAAAATAACGTACTTTAAGAAGGTGTTAAGTTCTGAAATGTTACTAACCCTTTAATTCCTTCGAATGTGCTGCTCGCAAAGTCAACCAAACCTCCCGCAGGACGTGCCACCACACCAACCACACCCTTTCCCAGTCCCTTGAAAAACCCCGCAGCACCACCAGCCTTTGCGCCTATAAAAATGAATGACAAGTGAAGGAAAACAGATAACTCCGTGAAGATGTCCTGATTTGGGAGGGGTGGGAGACGGAGTTCTTAGGTACGAGAAGAGAACTTCCACATTTAATTGGAAAGTTACGGAATAAAAATTCATGCGAGTCTTTTTACCCTTGACGGTGTTTAGAGTTTGATCAAAGCCGAACTAGTAAAAATAGACATTCCTTATGAAACAAAAAAACGTAAAAGACCCAACTAGCAGAAAAAAACTACTTGGAAATTTAGAAAAACCGCTTTTGTAAAAACGATATTTGGTGCATTTTTTAAATGAACTCACCCTGCATTGGTTTGGTTATTATTCCTGTCACACCTCCCAAAACGCCCTAAAAATAGACAAAACAAAAAAAAGACAGAAATAAGAAAGTGCAATGGTTTCTTATCACTCACTACAAGCAATCACGACATGGTCACGTGCACTTTCTGCGCGCTCGAACCAATTTAATTGCCTTTTTCTTGCTTTTTCGGTTTTGATTCGCTTTGGTTTTTTTTTCTCGAAGAGGCCCTATTAATTTTTCTATGAAAGTTTCCTTTGTCCTGATTTGCCGGAGTGACTTCTTTGGATTAGATGTTGTGACAATCATTCGAATAAGCGCATAAGTGCCCGATGTATAAAGTTCACATCTACATGCCATAAAAAAAAAACCGAAAAAAAAACATGTTACGTCGAGAAACCGCCTGCTAAGTAACAAAACATTCCCTTATTCCGTCTAGAACTTCAAGTTCTCATATTTTAATTGACCTCCAATTTTAAAGTCTTTCCTTGAGGTTATGAAAGCACTCTAACGTTAGCACTTACTTCAAGTAGTCCCTTCCCACCCCTTGTGAGTCCTTCTTTGACATTAACAGGTTTCTTTCCCATCGCCTGCCTCCTCTCCTGTTGGTATTTATCATCCATTGTTAGTGCAGCGATACCTTTCCCCAGCGTTCCAGTTATACGAGAGACTGCACCAGCCGCACCACCTGAGAAACAAACAAACAAACAAGAACATTTGGAAGATCAAAAGACTCCATATGCCCAGGGGTTAATCACCAAAAGAAGTCAGGTAGAGCAGTCAAAAGGTTGCGTTCAACGAGCTAAGTGGCTTGCGATGCTGGATCTTCACCAAGTTTCTGTATTACATAAAGACTAGCACTATGGCCTCTCCTCCAAGACGGAAATTAGACCATCACTACTAACCTTCCAGCAATGTGGTGTGGTTTTCCTGATAGTATCACAGAATGGAGAGAGACATAAAGAGTAAAGTGTCTTCCCCAATAATTTAACTTAATGATCCTCCAGGTTTCGACTCCGGACCTTTCGTATCCTGAGTCCAGCGCGTGAACAAGTTCAAAAAAAGAGCGAAACCTAAGCATAGATTATCATGAACATACCAATAGTGTGACCTAACAAGCTCGTGGCGCCAATCAGCAAACCCTCTGCGAACTCGCCAGGACCCTGGATAAGACCCTGGAACAAACAGAAACAACAGTATTCGGACTTGTCTCAGTTTTTGCAATTCTTTCCACTTCTACCTTTGTTCCTATCCACGAAGATACTTTATAAAGGATCGCTCATTTTCTGGCCAATGACTGAGAAGGGCTTGGACACAGTCCTTCAAAATGCTAATTGATACGTACAGAAATGTTTTACATCTGTGAACTGCAGTTTTTTCAGTTAAAATCAGATGAAAAAAAAAAGAAAAAAGAAACGGCACAGAACAGGAAACAAGTAATTATCGATACATAATGATAATTATGAAGGGGAGATTATGACAACAATTTGAATTACAAACGCCAAAGAATAGTCCAATATTTTGGTCTCTCGCCCACTCTCTGAGTTAAATTCGAGTATCATTTGTTTTTTAAAGTTATCCATCAAACTTACTTGGTAAGGTTCGTAAAAAAAGTCTCTCGCTCCTTCCTTCAGGCCGGTAAGCAAAGCAAATGGATTTCCTAGTACATCAAGCCCCAGTACTAACACGTATAACTGCTTCAGTGCCTGAATTTAAAAAAGGCCGAAAGAATTAATTATTATTGCTATACGAACGATTCACTTTTTTACCTGCCACAATCAATTAAAGTTCGGTGGCGAGTAAAGTTAAGTCTTAGAAGACAAGTAGCAGGTGGTTGTTCTGGTTTCTGTAGCATGAAGCAATTAAGAGTATGTCTACCACTACATGACAATTTAATCCATCGCAGCCCCCACCCTGGGATTTCGTCACTTTTCCCTGAAGGTTCGCCTGTACCCATCTATACAGATGGATTAAAGCACTGTAAGAGTAAAGTATCTTGCCCTAGAACACAACAAAGTGACCTGGCCAGTGCATGAACCGAACTCCCTGACACGGGGTCCCGTGCGTCTCCCATCATAGAGTACTGAATAAATTCACCTGACTACGGTAATGCTTGATGGCGACTTCCATTAACTGCTGCTGCGTATAAACTTTGTCCTTTATTTCGAAATAAGCTAGCCTGTAAATACAACATAAGCGTAACTGTCTGCCAAGCTCCTATTAGAAGTGTGACATGAAAACACTGGATAACAGGCAATAAATATGTGACAAATCATAAGAGAGGGTAGGTCACCAACCCCTAACCCTTTAACTCCCACAAGTGACCAAGACAGAATTTCTCCTTACAATATCAATACAGTATCAACCAGATGAGTGATGAGAATAAGGAAATATATCAATTAGGGGATAATTAGTTGATCCAATACTAAATTCTCTGAACTAACATTATAAGAATTGTATGGTTGACAGTAAGAAGAATTACAAATTTGATCTTGGAGTTAAAAGGTTAAGTAAACAGTTCACGTCAGTTCTGTTTTCTTTTTTTCCTAAGAACTAAATGCAGAGCCCAGATTTGGTCATATTTTCTGCTCTAAGAAGTAGCTGTATATTTGGTTGCATGGCTAAAGGTGGAATGGAAGGTTTCCACACGGGGCGGGGCTAGTGCTTCAACCTACAATCTTTGTTATAACTCATGGAGACAAGCACCGGCTCAAGTTTTTTTCCCCCTCTTATTTCCTTTAACGTTCAGTCAACTTCTAAGACATAATGGCATATAAATCTAAGACCTCATTTTGAGCCAGGTATCATTGTTTGCACCAAACGGAAAGCAACACTTTTGACTGGGGAACATAGCGTCACGATAGGAAACGACAAGTGTGAAGAGGCATTATGACAAAATTATCGAACAAGTTCATGGCTGACGAAAATGTTACCCACTTGAACTCTACATCTTGTACTTCAGTGACTGCTACTCCGACACTCTTGAGCAACAAGCTTACAAAACTGCCACCGATAGCTTTTTTGACCTCGGCGCCGCCACCCAGCTGAGAAAAACTAACATGAATCTACAGGAAAAATCATAATAAATGTCCTTAGGCTGGGCGAAAGAGTCTTTCACTCTCATTAGTCACGTGATCACATCACCATTCGGTTAAAATCAATTCATTTGAGAGAGTAACTGAATCTTTTGCCATCCAGGATAGCATTGTTTTAAACATTAACTAATCAAAGGCGGCCCAAGCCAGCAGGAATAACAGTGATGGCAAAACAAGCTTAAAACGGCAGAAATTGCCAGAAACTACAATGGATACACAAGATGTGAGTGAGTTCTGTTGATTTTAGGTGTAAAATGTTCATATTTCGAAATGTTTATCGTTGTAAATCGATCATATTTCGTTCCCCACACTATTCCTTATAACGTGTTTAAATTCTCAACGGTTCCTCCCCTAACTTAATTAACACCGAGTCACACAACGCGTGACGCTTTCATGAATTAATAGTTTCCAAAAGGTCTGTATAGAAGCAGATATGTAACGAATTTAAGAAAATAAACGACTGTCACACTTTTTAAAAACCTTTTTGGACAGTTGGTCAGTGATAGGACCTCTCACATTTTCAGACTTCTACATAATTCTCCACAGTATCGCACCCTTTGTTCTGATGAGTGTTTTAACATCTTAGATCACGCTTCCACAACTTTTCAACTTAAAATCAAAGAAGCTATCCACATTCAGTGGGAGAAACCAACACTTAATCATCAACTTTATCATGTTAATTTAAAACTTTCCTTGTAAATGCTTTCATTGTTCCGTTACTATTGTTTGTTTTGTCCAATCAGCATTTTGTTACACACTTTAAATTACGCACTTTAAATTCAACAACAGAAGAACTGTCGAAACATGTTTTTAAAAGTGTCGTTCATTTTCTTAAATTTATCGTTTGCTTTTTCTCGAGACGTAAGCTTGGGCTGCCTGTGATAGAATTTAAAAGCAATCAGCAATGGCAATGGCTCGACTTTTCTTCGCACTGTGATTGGTCGAGAAAACTCAGGCCACCGCCCCAACCAATCAAATACAACACCAAGATCAATCGCGAAGTCACTCCTATTTTCATCGTTTGAGTTTCAGTTGGCATCTCACGGTAATTCCCCTTTTTTGTCATTCGAGGTGCTTTCTTTCGTTTGGTTTGATAATTTTCAATCGAAATGAGCCCTTCATGAAGTGAAATTGGATTGGGTAAGCAATCTCGAAATCTTTTACGCTAATTCAATAAATTTCCTGTGTGCTGATGCGTCATTAGCCCTTTAACTCCTGAAGTGATCAACATGAGGCTTCTCCCTATAATATCCTTGCATTATCTAGCAAACAGGTAATGAGAATATTCAACCTTATCATGTAGAAGTTGTTAACTCGATCTTACACCAAATTCTCATCACTAATTTACAAGGATATGTGTAGCAGCTAGAGGGGAGAATTAATAATCAGATCTTGAGAGTTAACGGTTAAGTCGATATGATTATAGAGTCGGGCTAGAGGAGGACAATCGGAAACGATACCTTCAACGGTGATAGATGGAAGAAGTCGAAAAAATTTCTGTCTGTACTTAGGGCAGCCTGGAGGAAAAAAAAAGGATTAATAAGTGGGAATTTTTAAACGGCTACAATATAAACAGGCATAATTTCAAGACCAGTAAGTTACCGACCTGAACGGCAAACGCCTCTCCAAGCTTGCCATGAACCATTTGTTTGTCCAAAGCATACTGGCTGGACTGTGAAGACAAACGTTCGACAAGTTCTAAGTATACTGCGTTTCTATTTTGAGATGCCTATTTAACAAGCTTTAAAAGATGAAATAAAGATATTTTCGAAAATAATCCACGTGACTTCTTCCTGTGATTGGCCTGGGGTTTTGGGGCAAAAAAACTTCCAGAGGAGCCTGCGCCCCATTACGTCACACAGACTTTATTTTGGCCTGTTACGCAACATTTCTAATTTCAATTAACATATTTTAGTTTTTTAACCCTTATTTTTTTGAATAAACGATTTGATTTCTTTTATTTTTCAAAACTCTTTGTTTTTTTTCCTCGATCCGTGATCCTATCCGGTCCGATCCGGTTCGATCCAGATTTTCTCTACGCCGACCTTTGTTTTGGTTTTATCGTACCCCCGTGGATATGCAGCCCAATGCAGTAAACGCATCCTTACCTCTTGGCTTCTGTCAATAGTGTCAAACGAAAATAATCCAATACAGGCCATGATGAAGCTCATATCGATCTTTACGTCCATCTCTTGAATGAGAACCTTGAAGTACCTGAGTAAGAAGAACATAAGAAGTAGAGACCAGCAAACTGTTTAAATAAACCAGATGAATCATTGATCTGAAACTTCAATATTATACATCAGTTCGGGTAAGCTAAAATCCGCGACAAAATAGTTGACACATGACTACTGAGATCACAATATTCTGGAAAAGCACATCAATTTTATAATTTTATTCCTAATTCCCTCGTTGACACCCTCCTCTTCCCCTCCCCCCCTACAATGTTACACTAAATTTTCCATGAATGGGGCAACGGGAAATTGCAGAGAAGTGTAGTTCATTTTCAATGTTCTTTCCTGGTAATTTCTGCTCAGGTAGATTAGTGAATACTATGTGTCATCTCATTTTGTCGTGGATTTTAAAATAGTCAGAAGATCATAGTCCTAGAGTAAACGCCATTTTCCAAACCACTCACTTGATCTCATTCACGTGCGTGTGCTCCTCCTGCTTTGCGACTAAACTCACTTCAATGTACGGCTTTGGTTCTAAAACACAATCGTAGAGATTACTGCAAGATATTTGGTTTTATCAACTGAGTTGGTAAGGTAATTTCGGTACTGTACAGAGTTTCAAAACTGACGTTTCGAGCGTTAGCCCTTCCTCAGAGCGAATAATTACTGATTACTGAGCGTACTGATTACTGACGGGTAAATTGTCCCATCAGCGCTCACATCGAGCTGCCAATGACAAACAAAAATTGAGAATTTTGTTACAGTTTTGATAATCACTTTGCAAGGAGGATACTGGCTCAAATTCACCTTCGTCACTTACCACTATCAGCGGCGATTGACTTTGGAGGGGGCACTGGGAAGAGTACGGTCTGGAAGGTGGCACCTGGGACTTGGCTGTCAATCTGCGAAGATACAAACATCCTCATTCAGACTGATGGAGTCTTAACGATCATACTGCACAAAATCAACAGGCAAACAAACTTTAGTTAATCTTAGTTTTAAGACACTGGATTAGTAACAAAGCTTACAGTGTCAGCAGGGTTTCTGAAAGAGGCAGAACTTAGTGTTCTACTTCCCTGAGCTAAAATGATTTAAGTCTTGTTTGCCACAATTCTTCTCCCTCTATTTTTCTCTCGCTCACCTGAACTGAATTGATCTTTGTAGAAAGTGTGAGTTCATTTGGCGAAGATGTGTACTCTAATGAAATTCCAGGAGTAAATGTTCTTCTGATGTGCTGGCGTGTAGGCCGCACAATCTCCATTTGTTTAAAATCAACCTGGAAATGGTGGACAACATTTACTAAAAACGTGAAACAAAAAGAGCAAAAAATATGAACTTGCACTTTAAGTTCTTAAGTAAAAATTCGTCGCTATTCGAGAAAACATGAACAGAAAGGTAACGATCCCCTGAGCTCTTCCGGAGATTTTGCTCTTTCACGGGCCAATCATTCGCTCTCAGGGCTTATTTCCGTTTCCATGGCATAAAATAACTAGGGGTTTTGCCACTCCTCCTTAGTGGAATGGTAAGCCATCGCTGATACACATTTGTTCTCCTGGGCGGACAAAAGCACTGTGACCATTAGCCCACGCGGTTCCCACGATACTGTGCGCGCTAAATGTTTGCCAGGGCTCGAAGTTAACTTCTTAGCACATTTGAAAAGTTTTGCCGATAAGATTTTCTTCCACCAGCAAACGGTGAGACCACAACCAAATTCTTTCCCCTTGAAATTTCAGTGGCCATATCTGAAATAATATTAGAATTGATATTTCGCACAGCCTATTAACGAGCTGAGAAGTTTAATGAAAACGGTATTAAAGTTTGGTCTCCTCTGCCATTTTCCTGACAGCCATTAACTATCTACTGCATGTTTGAGAGACATGGATGATTCTAACAAACAAACGTTTGCTTGTGTATATTTTCCTCACTCGCAGTTTATCAAAATTGCTCGCATTTTACGAGTTTGCGAGAGTTAACTTCGAGCCCTGCTTGCCTTAGTCAAGTGTTCCCAACAGCTCGCTAGTGTACATTTAAACTCCCGGGCGAACAAAAGCACAATGACCCTCGCCACACCTCGAATCCAGCTCTCACTATCCGACGTCTAGCGCTAGTCTTAAGCTACTGCGCCTCCCACCTCCTCCCACTGCACCTCCCAACTGAGCTGAAGGCCGGTGAAAGCTGATTTACAGCACCAATAAATTTGACCAACAAGAACAAAAATTACAGATACGCGCCTCCAAGTCGCCACTCTTATAGATGTAATTGGCTGTGGCTCCTATGGCAATATCTCGCTGCAATTTATTCCAACCAGCTTCTAATTCATTGCAGAGGCGTAACTTGAGTGCCTTCCATCTTCCTTTCTTCTTCTGCTCTTCCCAGATAATATCACTCCTACAATAATAAATTTCAGATTTTTCATAGATTCCCAGAAATTAACTTTACTCCCTCACGCATAAAAACGTCAAACAACTTTACTTTTAACCTACTGTCTGGAGTAAACTTTTAAAGTTATTCTTTTCACCAGTGTACTGTCCGAGTTAAGAAAAAAAACTAAAAGAAAAAAAAGGAACGAGAAAAAGAAACTGTAAAAGTGAAGCTCTTACGGTTTAATTCCGATGTATGCCACCTCGATACTTTTTTCATTGTTCACAAGAGACAAGCCAACTCCCTGAAGTGCCAAAGTGATGCACTGTGAGGGGCGCTCCTTTAGTTCCTTGGTAAGAGAAGTAAATAATACAAAACATTCAATGTGTAGGAAATATAAGTATCAACTAACTTTATGGTCAGCTTCACGGAAGGGGTGGACATAAAGTGCACGTAGTGACTTGAGGAGAAAGAATTTCATTGCAAGTACTCCTACTGGGGTAGGAGACGTTAATTTCCCACGCACGAGATTACTGTGTGATGGATGTCCTCCCCTGGGTTGGGTTGGGTGGGTTTGTAACTTGTAAGGCGCATCTGAATATATTCATATAGATATTTGCGCCGAATAAGTATTTATTTATTATTATTATTAAGTGGAAAGTTCACGAGAAGAGTTCATTAGAAGCAGAGCTGCAAAACGTTTGAATTAATAAATGAAGCGAACACAGCAGTACTGGGCTCCAGTTACTAAGTATCTCCTGCAACAAAAGAAAAATTACCACTTGAGCTCTGAACGCCAGTGTAAAGTCATCGGTGATGAGGAGCACGCGCTGCAGACCGTCCAGGAAGGTGGAATAGTACATCTTCTTACCACGGTACTCAAACCTGTCAAAACCCGTCTACAGATAAAGCAGAATAAAAACATTATTGCATGACTCTAGAAAAAGGTGCTGAATGGTGCATCATCGATTTCTCACAAGGTAAAGGAGTCATATTGACGAGAATTCCAATCCTGGACTCAGAAAGAGATCTGAGTTGAAAGCGGGCGGCCCAGGTTCACTACATAACAACAGGGTTTCTTTTCCAGGTTAAACGTAAGATGAAACCTCATTTGTTTCTTGATCATCTCGGTAATCAAACCGGAATTTTCAATTTGAACTGACGTCTAACTGAAATCTCTGATCACCAAACACGCTTTGGTGATCAAACTTCTCACATGATTGGGAGACAAAATCCGTCAAACGAACCGGGTCGAAGGTCCTTGGTAACCAAGATATATGTTGAAATGCGAAAAAAAAAGAGAAAAAAAAGCGAGCGTTGTAAATACATCAACATCAACAACAACAACAACAAGAAGAGTGCTTACTTGTGACAAGTCAGTGGTGATTCTCTCTTTAGATCCTTTGACAAACCAGACAAACTCTCTCGAAGCTGAGGGTTCATCCCATGTGAACAAAACGCTCTGGTTAGGATGCAAACAATGTTCCTTGCACCTGAAAGACAAGCTGCGGAGGCACCCAAGTTGACAATAGGAGAGCGAGAAGAGAGTTACTACTGCTAATAGTTATGTGGCTTTTACCCACGTCCGTGTTCCTTCTCTCGTGCTAAAAAACTAACTTACAAATCTTTTAAATTCAGTTCAATGATCTGAGTTTGACTTTAAGCCACCTCCGCGCTTCTTTCCATTACTTTTTAACCCTTCAACTCCAAAAAGGGACTGAGACAAAATTTCTCCTTACAATATTAATAGAATATCAAGCAGACGAGAATAATGAAAAACATCGATTGGGGGATTATTTGTTGATCCTGTACCAAATTTTTCCAACTAATATCAAATGAATTGCATGGGAGATACTAAAGAGAATTACCTATGAAAAATTAAGAGTGAAATCGGAGTCCGAGTCGTTATCAGAGGCACAGTCCGATGAAAATCGAACCAAAGGAATCGGGAGCAGAGTAACGGATGCCACTTGTGATTCCGACGCATATGATATATGAACACTAGATTATTATATTCGTTAGCCATAGAATAGATTGAGGACGGCTCAGTTTTCACAAGATCATAAGCGTCAGGGTCTGAAGCAAAATCGTATCCAAAAAATTTTATCGATCTGATTCTTCCGACTCCAATTCTGTCAAATTTATGACTCCGCTGACGACTGCTATTTTCAATTTTCTAAAGTTTGGAGTCGCATTTACGATTCCAACTCCGTTGCACATAAAAACCAGCCTTTAGTGAGCTTATAAAACTTGCGCTTTCTTTGTAACTTCTTTCTTGAACGAGAAGAGGTTTTATACACCTTTATAGCAAAAAGAGTCTCAAAACACAGCAACAGTGCAGGTGCACAGCAACCAAAACAAGTTTAAAAATTATAGCTTCCAGTTATCTCGTATTTAACAATCCTGTAGGGTTGAGTTGGCCCCGTCTTACTTCCTTTCGGTTTACAAAAACACAAAAAAGTATTTAGCCAATATTCATTCATCTTTATCTCAATCTTCGTCAAAAAACATTAAGTCCTTATTGAACTTACTCTTTCTGTTTATAGCAGATGTCTAGCTCAGTGCAGTTCTCCAGTCTAACGGTAGCTGCTCCGGCAAAGTATGGTGTGATAGTTGTGATAGCAGCATTATCTTTTGTGCGCATGTCGGCACACACAGCCCCCACCTGAGAATAAGAAAGTTATATGTCAACAGACAACCAATGGTTTCCAAATCCGAGACCAGGCCGTGTCATCGTGTCCATTTTACAGGAACCGGAATAAGCTCTATTGATTGCCGTAAAACCAGAATACTAATCACAACAGCCAATCAAATCTCGTTTTTTCTTAATTATTTTCCCTGAATTACAGTCGGTAAAGGGGACAAAGAACTTAGATAAATAGTTGCCGTAAACAAGACGGCAGAATTTCTAAAGAAGAAGAAAGGTCGATCTCAGAGAGGTTTCAAGGAGCGACAGTTTTGGTATCAAAACACCAAGGCTGATTTGCCTTTAATTGCATTAGGAACACGAGCCTCCACACACCTTTCCGTTTATTCTCAGCAATAAAGTGATGTCGGGTTCGAAGTCAAAGCTTGGTGATACTTCTTCATTGTCCCCAACCCTGATAGCCAAGTTCTTGGATGGGAACGAATTTGGCCAGAATGGTACACACTGAAAACAAACATACACACAGCAAATGGTTTGAACCCAAGTGTATCTGCTGATCGTGCAGTCGGCAGATCCAAATGAGAGTACTTCTGAAAAGGTCTCTTTACGGCAGCTTTGAGTTCCTAAGTTGAAGTCATTATCAGAGTCAAGTGACTCGACAACTATCTATGATGACGACTTACGCTCAAGTTGTCGAAACTTCAGCCACAATTCCTACCGACGGCATTTCTTTTCAGAACTACTCCCACCTGGTTGATCAGACTACACAGTAAAATATAGGAAACCGATGGATACAAGTCAAATGTGACTTGAAGCCAACAGATCAACCCTAACCTTCAACACCGAGACCAACAATTGTGTTTATGTAGGTAATGTAATTGACAACCCCCCAAATGGGACTTATCAGGACCAATATGAACAAATTAAAACATTGTGAATAAACGTAGTGTTTAAAAGCCACAACCGGTAGGAGGTAGACTAGTTGGCTACATACAAAGCGCAGGAAAAGAGATGAACTTGGGAAAACTGAGAAAAAATCTAGTGAGAAGCAGTGTGGAGGACTTGAACCCGAAACCCCTGGATTACATGTTCAGCGCCCTAACCACTCAGCCACACTGCCTCTAAACGAAATATAAGACAAATCGAGAAAGATGACAGGAATACACACCTCTCCTGGTTGAACTTTAGTCCACTTCGAGTCTGGCCCCTTCGAGTCCGACAGCGACACTGTATACTACAGCGGGACAAAGGAACATTTACAGAGAGGTAAAAAAATGCCGCCTCCGTGACATTTATGAGTTGAATTCGGAAAAAAAAAGCTTGATTGCACCAGAAACTATGAATAAACATTATAATTCTTACCTCTGTGTGATTATTTATGAGATTAAACGGTGTGAATTCCACAATCTTGGTTAAACTGAAGTAGGATAGGGTTGTCTGCATACCGATCTGCAAATTATTGTGACATTTGGAAGATAATCGGGACTTTACTGTGTGCTTGAGTTAGACAGCAAGAATTAGAGGTTTGAGGTTTCACTTCCAACCTTCCGGCAATATATGAAAATACCAAGAATCAAAGAAAATAACAACTTCCTTTGTTCAAGTACTAAAGCTTTTTCAAATACCTCATACAATTTCCCACCCTTCGTGATTTTTAGCGCTCCTCCACTGCCTGCCGCGTCCAGAGAAAATTTGGTGGACCAATCAGATTCAGCAAGACGAACAAAGGCCTGCCAAATACCATTAAATTAGAGAAATTATGACAACTGTTACCATTTAAACATGGATCACAAAAGAAAAAGTACAAGTCACAGCAAGGGATGACGCGACTGTGGGTAGAAGTAAAATAGAACGAAAACTGAATTCTCACCACTCCTTTTCCTCGGTGAGAAAACATGACTGGCTCGGTCAAGGAAACGGGATGAGGTATAACAGTCTCGTCATAAGGCGCCTAAAAACAGGAAATAAATCAACTCGTTATTTACCAAGTTTAAGAGAGAAACAATGGACAGTTATGATTGTCTCAAGTCAAATACTGGACTACCCTCAAGGCAAAAACAGATCAGTGGCTAGCTATTCAGAGATGGTATGAACACTACCTTACGGGTAGCAAACCACGCATGCTTCCTGGACGATTCTTAAACTAAATCTGTTCATTTTGTTGTTAAAAAGGCTATTTCCGTATTGTCCAGTGCCTCTGCTTGAAACGACGCTGAGAGCAAAGCCTTTGATATGAAAATGTTTTTTTTGTTGGTAACTCATTTTCATAACAAATGTTTTGCACTTGACCAAGTTTCCAAAGTAAGGATTTAAGGCACTCAGAAATGGTCCATTGACCAAAGCCAATCTCGACCTCCTGTATTGCAGAAGAGCTCTAGGGATCGAGACTGGATTGAAGCAAGCTGGATAGCTGGATAAAGAGAAAAACTGTCTCTCAGAGAGTAGCGGAGATAAAAATCGTTTACTTTGTGGAGCTATCAGAATGCCTCCCTCTACCCAAAGTATCAAAGTATACCAGCGAATTGAAGATGTTCTCCTACCTTGTATTCCAGATAAAGTCCAGTTTTGTTGACCATCCAGTAAGGGCAGTACAAGGTAATGCTCATTGTCCCATCAAATCTGGCTAACACTCCCAGTCTCTGTAATAAGTAAGCAACACAAATATGGAATAGATATAGCGCTTACATGCTTGGAAGTGAAATGAGTAGACATCAGTGAGAAGAATTTGCTTTACCTTCATCAGCTACAGTCAAGCAACCTGATCTTCTCAAATTGGCAATTGAACAGTAGAAACAAATTCTAAATATGCTCCCAAACTGAAGATTTCAATCAACACCAAATTAACTCTTTACTCGGTAATCTTAAAGTTTAATTTACCCTCGTGTTACTAAGGCTACCAATATTTAGGTAATAATCAAAAGCATTTCCTGGTTGGGTTAAAATAGTGTTTTTGAGATTTACGATTTTCCTATGCACTGTTCGGATCACGTAGGTTTTGGCCCAAGAATAAAGTTTTCCGGTCGCCATTTTAAAGATGGCTCTATTCCATCAACTCTTACCAAGTGCTTTCCATAACCTGCCACTTGAGTTGATTCCAAGGTAAATGTTGTGAGTTCGTCCATTCCCTTGAGAAGTTCAACCTGGCCTTTCCACATGCTCCCTTGATAATTGTCAATCTAAAGGTTAAAATTACATTTGCTTCAGACTTCACCCTAAGAACATCAACAGCGACAGTAGAAAGGGAATATCAGAAGCAAGGACGCGGAGCATCAAGAAACACGACAACAGGTGACACATAAGACAGCAGAACGCTAAAGAACATGCACAAATAACAGGCAGTTTAAAATTGCCCAATCACAGCGAAACGTAATATTTCGTATGGTCGGATGCGTAATTAGTCGACCTGATCAACAGATGAAGACAGTATGCAGTCAAAAACGTCGCAATCCACATCGGAAGTGATTACATGTATAACTTTTTTACTGTATGAAAAAAATGTAATTTACCATAAAGGGCATCTAATTAGCTTGCTATATTACGCCCTTCTCCATTTTTTTTATCTTGTTGTAATTATTGTGCAAGGTTGTGATTGTTGAAAAGGAGGAAATTCTTCTACATAGAAGTGATAACATTGTGAAACAAACGATGATGCTTTGAAATAAAAAGCGAGTAAAAATTTCTATTTGATAATTAGATTTCAGGCTTGACAACTATCTGCTGTTCGGGAAATGAGCCAGGGGAGAGATGTAGACCTGACTGGAAAGATGGGTGTAAATTGAGTCTGACTGTTAAAGAAATAAGGAAGGAATTACGTCTCCTCTTCACTTCTTTCAGCATATGGTTTCACTAGTTGGCCATTCCGGAGGCAAATAATGTCAATAACATACTACAGTTACCTGAATGTAAAGATTGACTTTTCGATGAAGACTGACGGAAAACAAAGGCCATTTGTCGCCACCTTTAAGTTCAACAAGAGGCGTTCCCTAAAAATGCAAAGCAAGCGTATAAACATCAAGAAACTAACGGTTCAACGATCGCTTAAAACCAACGTCTTCGATACCACAAATTGATCAACTCAAGATTTCCCTGAAACCTTGCACACATGAAGAGAGATTTGTAGTCTTCATGGTTTAAATTCATGACACGTAAAATGCTGTTTAAGGTATACGTGATGCGTTATTTTTTTCTAAAACTCGTGCGTGAAACGGGATCCCCCTTTGCTACCCTCTGAAGAAAGCTTGTTTCCGAACCTTTGATCGCAATTTTGCGCCCGCGTTTCCGGCACATTATTCCTAACCCTTGATAGATGAAAAACAAATAGATTACATGTTGTCTTGCGCCTATTCAGTGATAGATCACAGACGACGTCCAAATGTGTGACACACTCAACTCACTTGACATAATTTGAGATAATTTGGTTTATCAGGTGAGTTGATAATGTAAATTAGCCAACTTTCAGAGTTTCTGAATCCACGGTGGCCAATTCACGTTAGCAACTCAGATCATAAAGCCAGATTGTCTTGTTATACCCACCAACTGACGCAGCACAACAGTTTCTCTATAGACTTATCCCCTTATAATCACCTGAAATAGCTATTGGTTCACCAGAACAATACACCGTGGGTTTCTGACCAATCCGAGCGTGCTTATTACTTTTGTTACTGTGTCAGTCACATTCTGCTTACCGGTGTACTGTAGAGAATATTATATGGCAAGTAGTTATGTAGAACAGCCGTTGGGTAGATGTGTAAGACGTAGTTTGGCGCATGCTCCAAGGATCCATGAACTGCACTGTACGACACTTGTTCACAACCAACCTGTAAAAGAATTGTTCACATTCAACTTCATATATAGAACCTTCTTGCAACAGAGTACAGTTTGATGTTAAATCATTAACAAGTCAAAGCCTTTGCTCGTCTAAAAACAGATCTTTCTACTTCATAATGAGCGGAAATAAAAACCACTCAATATTTAACTGAACAGTTAAACAGTATACCTATGATAAACGTCTTTTATCATAGCTCTCAATTACAACAAGACTCAATTACTACGTGCTTCGCACTTAGGCCATAAATCCAAGCGAAAAAACCAATTCCGTAACTTGCGGTACAGACCTCGAATTCAGTTAGTAAGAGGTATTTATTTTGCAATCTTAAATAGTTTTATTTACACATAATTAATTAATGCATAATTTTCGAAAATACAATAATTTTTTGACAAATTATTTTCGACGCAGAAGTTCCTCTGAAGTAGCTTACCGCGATATGAAAAGGTGGTCCCTCGCCTCCCGGGGGTGGACACTGAACTGAAGAATACCCCTCAGATGCCAACTTGTTCCACAACAGCGGTGTCGTACTTGCTCCATACCTTAAGATAAAGAACAACAACAAAAACAAAAAATCACAAAAAAATAAAACAAAAGAACATATATCAGAAACAAAGAAGTTTCGATTTAAACCTTGTCCTTTTTGTCCTCAAGTCAGAAAGTGTTTCCATTACATTTTACAGGCGCCAATAATTATAAGCAATGTATATTTGAAGCAGCTTGAGACCAAGATCACAAAATGAATAGACTGTGTACATAGGGTTTTGAATTTTTCCAGTGTTGGTGGCGTTTATACAGTTACACGTATTGTGTTACTATTCCAGACACTGGCTATGTCTAATTTCTTCTTCCACAGGTCAATCTTTTTTCCACGAGCGTGTTTAAGCCTCTTTTTAGCTATGGACAGATATTATGGAAAGATATGATGGATTCATTTCTTGACACGCTTTTAACCCTTTAACTCCCAGAGAACATAAACATGTAACTTCTCCCTATAATAATAATAATAATAATAATAATATAATAATAATAATAATAATAATAATATCCATAAGTTATCCAGCCAACAGGTAATGAGAATACTAAAATTTATCGGGTAGAAGTTGTTATATTGATGTAACACATCATCATGTTCTTGTAACAAATATGTACCAGCTAAGGGGGGGAAATTAACGATCAGATTTTGAGAGTTAAAAGGGTAACTGGGGAATCGACGTCACGTAAAACCTGGCAAAATTGCTTCTTATTGCAGTTTCGTAGCAGTAGCATCTCGCCACAAAATAACTGTCTCTATATTCCCGAACGCCAATGGGGCATAATCCCAAAAAAATAATTCTAATGAAGTGCCAATGAACTGATCGCAGTTGTCATTGTCAAAGCACAGATCACAGTAAAATAAACAAACCCGAATCCCGCAGGTCTAAGATAAAGTGCAGCCTTGTGAGCCAATATTAGGGGAACACTGAACACACTGTCCGGTTGAATTGTTGTAACACAGGACAACTGATCTTCCTTCCTACACAGTAAGTCCACTGAGATCGGGAAGTGGTTGTTGACCTGTGTTAAAAAGCGTTGTGTCATGATGGCAACATTAAACCAAACTCTGTTGCTAGTTTTGTTTTGCTTTGTTACTTTTTCCACGCTACACGTACCTGGCAAGTTAAAAGCATTTATTTTTTTAAATCCACTCTGAACCACGGATAATCACAATCAATGTCAGTATCTGAGCACCTACTACGCACCTACCCCTCCCCTAAACCCAACGACAGCCAACGAATGAGAAAGGTTTATGTCAGGTTAGGGGAGGGGCACGTGCGCAGTTGCTGATATAGATCTGATAAGTTCTGCGTACTGACCTGTAAGGGTGATCTGATAGTTACTATCTTCTGGCCGTCTCCAGTTTCCACTTGAATCACAACTGATACAATCAATCCAGAAAGGAGCTGTAAAGAAAGCACGTGTTACTGTAACTTTTGATTGCTCTGTCGTTCATTTCAACTCAGTTTTCATTCAGAAGTTAGCGATTAACGGTTCAGAGAGCAATCAAAGCTCCAAAAAGAAAAACAAAAGTTTGTAAGCAAAAAAAAAAGTACTCAGTCAAAAACAAAGAAATAACAGGAAGACTCCGTTAGCAAATTAGCAAATGTTGACGAAAAACTTAGACAGCATAAAGACACTGACCTTATACACAAATAGGAAAGGATCTAGGTCAGTATTTGAGCAACTGCCCACCTAACCCTCCAGTAACCCAACAACAGTCAACAGATATCAAGTTAGGCTGTTAGGGTTAATGTTGGATCAGGGGAGGGCTATATGCACAGCTGTACAGATACTGACATTGACCAATAAGAAATATAATTTATAGGGTTATCAGTATACCAGTATTTCTGAAACAGAGACGAGTGGTTAGCGTTGAAAGCCAGAATTGAGCCCACAGAAGAGTCGAGAAAGCTAAAGTCGTTTATAAAATCACGTTTCCCATTAGAGAGCCGTTAATTTAGGGTACTTGCCCTTCACCTAATTTGAGTCAAGATCCGTTATCAGGACCATTTCGTTTATGGTGCTCATTGCTGGTAATAAAACGATCATATCTATAAACTAAAATGTAAGAATACTAACTAAGCATGCAGAGAATTCAAAAGCAATTTTCAACTGAGTGTCAAAAGGCATCTAAGATTACTTTAGTTTTGCTCTACTTTGGTCTCTGGTCGGTTTCGAAAACTTACATTCTTAACTGATGAGATGCAAAACAGTACTAAAACCCAACCGCAACTTTGTCATTTTGTATTTTCCCATGTATTTTTCATCACTGGTTTTTGATGACAATCAATTGAAATGTGCCCTAAAGTGATTTATTTAAATTAAACTCAATTATTACATTATTCATTAATCTTAACATAAATTTCTCTTATTTCATCAGAACATCACCTCCAGACATAATTAAAGCAAGAAACGAGGTCAATATTACTGCATCATGACACGGTTTTGGTTAAACAACGACGTTAGAATTCATTTTCTGTAAATTCAATAACTAGACACTGATCACCGTAACGTTGGCTGGAAAAATCTGGTGGAAAGTTACCTCAGTCATACTTGACAGGAAAAAAAAAAGTATTTATCTCACTTTTAATACTTTACAAACATCTCTGAGGTGTTTCTAGCCTACTACAACTGACAATTATGTACAGTAAGATTTGAAAAAGAAAAAAATATGAGCTGTGTTTCAAAAATTTAAATTAATTGAGGTGGTACATCGGCTGATCAGTTAAATCCAGTTAGGCCGGAGAACAACAATATTTGAGTGGCTTGGTGAAGCAGAAAGCCAACTTACTTGATCCAACATTTAAATAAAATGTGCATTTGGATCAACTGTTCTAAGAGCTGTTTTTAGATACCAGTTCCACATTTAAGACGACGGAAATTGTTCTTTGTTCAATCAACAAAAAGGGTATCAGTATACAAAATTACATTTTATTGTTTATACCTATTCTTATTATACTTAATTATAATTTATTTTTGCCTGTCATCGTTTATTTGTTCTTACCTTTTTGGGGATGACATTTTGTAAGATAACTCTTGCTTGTTTGATTGAGACAGGTTTCATCTCATGATAGCCTTGCACCTAATGATTTCAAAACAAGATTCAAGTCAGGGTTTCTTAGGATTTCAAGTTTTGTGATTTTTTGGGCACTGCAGACAGACGAAATAAATCATATCCTCGGAAATCTTTGTAACTGCTGCTGAAAAGCTGGTTCTTTACTTGGAAGAGCCTCCCCGCAAAATATGTCTACAACCACCAGCACCATACAAAAGATTTAATCACATTTACACGACAAAAGACGCATGACTAACGCTGACTGATTCTTATACCAAATACCATCACGACAAAATTGAGCAATCAGTTCACACGAACCAAACTGACACTTGACTGTAATAATGACTGCCGCTAAGGTTATTGAAACATTAGTTACTGTTAGCGACAACAGTTTTTCTATGGACTACTCAAACCCGGACGATCAGACTACACGATCAGCTGTTACTTCTGGTTTCAAACCATTCTCTATCCCAGTTTCTTTTGGCGAAAATACACATCCACTACATTTGGAAGTTTGAGTTTATTGGCTGTTCTCACCTCAACACCAATACTAGGCCCCGCTCCTCCGGATGTATTATTTGCTCTTTCGTATCGGGTGGTTCTTTTGTGAACGCCTTTGGCAAAGCGTAGGGAAAGCCTTTGACCTGGAAGCACTGTAATCATGCCATCTCGATCAACCCCGCTTGCAATCTATCATAACACAAATACACAATTAAATACAATGCATACCGAGTACAGCTGAAGCAAAACCGAAGTAATCACAACGTCCAATCAGAGGAAAGGAAAATATCTCCAAGAGCCAATGAGAACTCCACGTAAAAACAACCAAACTGCGGGAAAACGCGGGCGACTAAGTCATGGTTGGTTTTAGGTTTGGATTCTGATTTTTGACAGAGTGACGCCAGTTTTTTTGGACAGAACAAAGTAACGCAATCTCGGATTTCTTAAGACTGTGAATTGAAAATTGCTCTAACGCAAACCTTGATATGGCTCCTTTCACATAACACGCGTTCAATGGCTATAACTTTTCTTCACTTTAAAGAAAGCTAGGACGGGATTTCTTTGACGTCCTCTTAACAGACGAGTATACAAATTATCTTGATCGAACACAAACGGGACCCCGTTAGTATCCGTTAAGAAAAGGTTTCTTTTTCAAACTGAACTTGTTTAACATTCACGATTTTTCATCCTGACTTGCAGCATCTATCAAATTCCGCCTCATAGAAAGAGGAAAAAGAAGATTCAGGAATTTTGGAGCCAAGAAAAGTACGATGACAACATACCATAAGCTGTTTTCCCGGACGAAGTTTCACTTCCATTCCAAGCTAACAAGCATCAAAACATGACAGTTAGTGATATCGCTGGAAAAATACATAAAAAAGAAGCTGTTGATAACAAACCTCATTCCATATCTGATAGGGTGGAACGTCTTCAATGGCTACCACTCTTCTTGTACCCTTCAGAGTAACAGCCTCTTTGAAAGCCTACTGACATGAATAGGTATTTCAATATTTGTAACAGAATTAATTTAACAGTGAATTTTCTTTAAGGGTTGCGTGACATGCGTGACATACCAAAGACAGCTTGGAAGGAGACTTCAGTCATTTTTGTTATCTTTAAAGTCGTGATTGTTTTCATTCTGGTCATTATCAGTATCATAATCGTTACTGTGGCAGTTATTTTTATCACTATCATCATCCTGCTAGTTTTGTACTGACCGCTCCGAGTTTAGTGAAGATGTCCAGACATGTTTTTGTTACAGTCAGCTGTAATTCATCCTTTGATCGAACTGCCAGAGTCACGGCTGCCTCTGAATTGTCATCCAAACTGCTTTTTTCATCTCCACCATTTGCTAAAGATAGCTACGGTGAAAAAAAGGAAAAAATTTGTAACTTGTGGAAAAAGTGAGAGTTTTTTTCTTCGCTACGAGAATTAACTCACGTCAAAATTAACTTCCCAATGTCGATAAGTGCCGTTTTCATCCTCCACCTGCTCAATAAGAGGTTCCCATTCAGACACACTTTCGTTGAAATAGTTTCCAATGACGCCGACTCGAGCATAGACTGACAACTGAAATAAATAAAAACGCCAAGTCACATAAACCAGCCAAGGGACTATTCCGACCGAGCTTTGTCTCGGTTTCTGTAGCATAAGACGAGTAGGAGTACCGCCATTGCTACACCCCCTGAATGGGATTCTTGTCCATCGCAGGTTATCCCCTCTCAGCATTTCGAAAGGTTTCGCTGAGAATTCGTTGGTATCCTTTTACGCTCTTGAGAGGAAAGGCACCGTGAGAGTCAATTGTCACGACCAGGAACACAACTCTGTGACCAGGGGTTTGTTTCTCGAAAGTTCGGGTAACTAAATGGACCCGAAGCCACATCTTAAAATCAAAATTTAAATAGAGAAGTAGGTTCTGGTACCCTTACTAATCCAGTTTGGTTTTAGCTGATATTTTTATTGTATAACTTTCAAAACTATTGAAAACCCTATCTTAAATGAAAACAGAACAGCCCGGTCCTGGTAACTTAACGGACCCGTAAAGCTGTTTTGTTTTCATTTAAGATGGGGATTTCAAAAGTTTTAAAAAAAAAATTTAAAAATGATGGTACTTAACTATCAGCTAAAGAAACGAATTATACTTGTTAAGGTGAGAGAAACTGCTTCTCTATGCTTCAGATTTTGATTTTAAAATTTGGCTTCGGGCTGGGGACTTTCGAGAAAAGGGCTCCAAGGCCCCCACTTTTGGATTTTTTAACACAGAATCAAGTGCACCAGCTATTAGGGAGACGGGTCCCTAACAAAATAAAAGGGAACAACGAAAAGTAAACAAAAATAATAATATCAACAACAAAACGCCAAAATACAGCATAGGCGTAGTAAACTACCCCAATTCTCTACAAAAATCTTATCAAACTCGATAACGAGAAAAAGCCTTTTACTATCACTCGGAAAAGTTGAAAGAGGTATTAAGATTCAAAAGTCGCTTTTACTGATAAAAGATTCACATGAAAATGAACCATTGTCTTTCAAAAAATAATTGCTACAGTATACGTTATACATTTTTTTACTTACTGCCGAAGACCAGTTCCGAACTTCTCCTTCGATGGATCCATCAACGGACAGCAATGGAATCACTTGGCTGCCAAACAAACCTTCCAGCTTGATGTCGAGTCCTTCCATTTTAAAAACCAACTGAGAAAGAAAATAAAAATTTGAATTATCGTTATGAATGGAAAATTAATCTCTGGTGGCCCCTAAAAATATCAGGATGACTGATCTGGATCTAAAATGTTTCTTGTAGCGGGGGCGCAGCTAAGATTTTTTTTAGAAGCGGGGATGGGAAGTTATTGATTTCCGCACGTCGTAGGTAAACTGTCTTTTACCGCTTCTCTTCCTTGTGTATCAGCGGACTCGCATTATTAACGGCAAGAGCGATGGACCAATAGTGTACCTAGCATTGGAAAAATTTATGCCGGGTAGATTCTTCGGATTCGCTTGTTTTCTCAAATCTGAATCATGAGATTTGTATTTGCTTGACCTCTTACAAAATTGTGTCTAAAAGAAGGGGGAGGAAGTCACAGGCACCACAAGAAACCCCTAGGCTACGCCCTTGTAAACTTACCAATTCTGTTTCATGGTTACCAGCCTCGTTGGCATTAACATGGTTGGGAGGCTTCTCCTCACCTAGAGATGAAGGATACAATATTTTTCCTTTAGGTCAATCGCAAAGGATAACAACAGACCATCCCAAGACAATTCATAACAGATCGTTAGCTCATCGTGAAGAAGCTAAGACAAACATTCCAAAACGTACTTCCAACTTGAACCTCTTTGGGTAAAAGTCTGAGATGATACAAAGAATCCCACGTCTCATCTCCATCGTCAAGCTTCACATGATACATCGGTTCGCTTGGCTCAGAGGCGTCCACCTCCATCACTGTAGAACTGTAGTACCGAGGCTTGTTCTTAAACTTGGCTATAACTCTGGTTCCAGGTTTGATATCTGCCGCCTTTGGCGGCACATCAGGAATCACTCTGTGTGACGCATCTTTCATTTCGTACACAAATTTATCTCCGTCATAGAGATCAACATGCAGCTTTGTTCCTTTGTAGGCGACAAATCCTTTGTAGTAGCGTATTTTGGACGTGTGTGCCCATACCACTGTACCCACTTCTAAAATGCCTTCTGGGACTAAAGAGAGAAAATAGCAAGGCAACAACTGTCTCATTTACTCAAGCACTGATTCTAGATTTCCACCTTTCTGGATCTAGCACATCGAAAAAACGATTGCCCTAGAATTTACGTAGCGTTTTGCGCAGAATACACTAGGTACACTAGAACTATTTAATGAATATGATTTTATGTCCTCTTCACGGCAATTATAACCACTCGCTTATGAACAACTCCTTCTACCTTGCCTTGTAGTTTTCATAACAGGAAAGAGAATATATATTGCCTACGAAGCTACTAGAGTCCGTCGATTCATCTTTTGTGGCGTCTCTCTAACCATGACATATAATTTACATTTATTTATCTCCTACATGTGATAATACTGCGAATCTCAAAACAGTAAATGAGAACAAAGGATATTACCACACGGAACTAATGAGAACTGAAACTAAAGACATGTACACTGACTGAAGCGAGGGAAAATGCGGGCGACCAAGTTGTAATTGTTTTAGAGCTGAACCTGATTGGTTGAGGAAGTAGCACGTGTTTCCTTGTCCAATCCTATGATGCAGTATAGCAAAACAAAACCAATTCCGCATTACTTTCGAAACTCAATTGAAAATTGTTTTAGAGTCGTAGCCACACGTACCATTGGGTTTCCTTGTCATCAAAATACGGATGTTGTTGACGTTAAAAATCCACGTATCGCCACCATTTAAGAACCTGACACGGTAAATATCCCCTCCTGAATCGTCTAGTGTCCGAATCTGAACGATAAATCCCGCCTCCCAAAAAGCAGTGTCAACTGTAGCAATAACTGTTCTTCCAACAGTAAGAGAAGCTGCATCTGGGATAACATCTGGTACTACCGCCGCACTGTCGTTTACGTCTACGCTGATAATCGCCACTTCACCGATTACCCGTATCACATGTTTCCTGTATGTTTTGCTGGAGACAAAACCTCTCCTGTACATCTCGTCTTTTAATCTGACAAATACGATGGATGACACTTCAATCTGCCCCCTACAAACTACAAAAAAAAAAAAAAAACTGAGGTAGACTATTACATGCGCATCTTTGATTTTAGATGCACTTGCAAAGCATGAAGTTCATTTAAATTTTTCAAATATTAAACGGCGATCTTCGTTCGCACTGAATCCGATGGGGTTTAGTTCAGTCTCCGGTTATTCGAGCTAATTTCGTAACTTTCCCAACCAACACAGCTGGACTAATGTGAACCTATGCTGACAACAGACATGTAACATAGCTGGAATTATCAGCCACAACTCCTCAAACTTCATACCTCCTGGCTTACTAGTGGTGAGAATACGAATCTGATTTAGAGTATCCCATTGTCCGATGCCATCCAAAAAGTCAATTAAATATGTTTCCTTTCCATTCTCCTCTTTCCTTGCTTTCACTTTTCCTTCGACATGAGATGAATCGTTTAAACGCTTGGCTACCACAGGTGTACCAACAACCAGAGCTTTAGGATCCGGATCTTTGTCCACCACAATAGCGGTAATGTCATTTGGATCATAGGCAGTTGGGAAGCCGCCGTCAAAGTGGACACCAATCATGTTTTCCAAAGCCACGTAAATATATCCCGGATCATACAACTTCATGTTAGTCAAAGCTCTGGCAAGCACCCGTCTCCCAGGAACAAGCTGGTCTTCTGGAACTAAAACGCAAATCACAAACGTGAAAAGTTTACCCCAGCCTTAAAAACACGGGAATTCTCAAGAGTTCTTATTAAGAGTACGGACATCAAGTACGGGCATGCAAGAAATATTTAAAAAACTCACGAAAACTGTCATTCCCTTCACGAATTGTTTTTAAATGCTTACAACTAGATCCCGAAGCCTACATTGGAAAACTTGCACACTCAAATGCGGTTTAGACCCTGACGACGATTTTTGACCGAAAACGAATAAACCCAAATTTTAAATTCAAACCTGCTACTAAGCGCCTGAATAATAAGAATTTGGTCTTAGTTTTCGTAGAAGATAAATGTCTCAATCCCAGCCCTCACAAGAGGGGAGTGAGTGTTCTCACCCATAAACTAACCCTCTCCACCCCCCCACCCCCCTCAAAAAAAAAAGAAAACCTTTTGGGCTCTATAGAATACTTAAAGGTAAACCTGTACCATAATGTCTGGATCATAGCCGTTATATTCTGAAAGTTCAACATCAATGATATCTAAAAAAAATTACTTTTATCTATTTTTGGCAATATACAAGGAAATACTGAGCAAAGCATTCCGTTTTTCTTCATCTGAGCAAATAATTTGCACGCAACCTCAGAAACAGGATGGATAACTTTTACTCCGTCAAAAGATGGTTCCTTCATCTAGGCATACAGTACGTTAAATAAACGTAACGTTTGCCTCACCTGGGGATAAATACCATCGATCCTTAGTCGTAATTGGCTTTTCATTCCATAAGTCTATAGCACTTTCAGTTGCCTTCTTTCCATCTTCTTCCGTCTGGAGAGAAAAAATCGAAAAGGAAGATAATACGAATGATGAAACACGAACAGACATTCAACTTGACTCTTTCGTATCGGTTAATAAGTCATAAAAACGTTGAATAAGGATTTTTACAGATGGTTTCTTAACCCCTTAACTTCCATGAGTGATCAAGACACAACTTTTCCTTACGTTATCAATACGATATAAAGCAGACAAGTGATGAGAATAAAGAAAAATATCAACAAGGGATTATCAGTCGATCCAATGACAAATTCTCCGAAGTAAAATCATGAAAATTGTCTATCAACCAGCAAGGAGATTCAGTAATGAAATCTTGGGAGTGAAAGGGTTAAAAAGGATTTCGTAACTCATAGAAACCTTAAAAAAAACTATTCTTATCAATATGTTCATGAGACACACAAAACTTCCAAATGCGTTCTTACCAATGGTTCTGTAAGCTACACAAACCTTAGCTGGGGCTAATGACATCAGACACGCTGTTAATGTCCTGATCGTAGGAGGCGACACGTGTATATAAGCCATTGCTGTTGATACGTCAATATGCATGCTACTGCCTTCTGGTACCGAGCTTACAAAATATATATGCGAAAGCTGAAGAACCTGCAAATGAAAAGGTAAGTAAACTGTTCAAATAACTTGTCAGGGAGAAACATTAATACATGAAAAGCTTACTCTCTGATGTTTTTTAAGGCAGAAAACATGGAGGATCTGGGCTACTCTTTGGGAAAAACCACGCATTCAGTTAAAGCAAAGAGCGCATTTCGATTGAGTGCGACGGGAACGCAAGAAAAAGCCTGTGACCAAGTCGCAATTGGCTGAAGTTTTGAATCTGATTAGTTAAGAAAGGAGGGCGACTTTCTGGACCAATCACACAACAAAGTAAAGTAAACCAAAGAAACCTTAGATTGATTTGGACACTCAATTGAAAGTTTCTTCATCGAGGTTGAAAATCCCGGCGCGTAGTTCGCTATTTACAATCGTGACCTAAGACTCGAACCCAAGAGCTCTGGGAGGTAAATTGACTCCTCTAGTCACGTTGTCGCACCGCTGATCAATTCACTACACCCTCAAGTAAAAAGGAATAAAGTTTCACCCTGGATTTGGTTGAAGCTCTTCTCTCCTTGTCAAACGCTGCTAAGTTAATTACGACATCTGAAACAGAACCTGACATGTTTTGCTGTCCAAGACCCTGAACAAAGCGGAAATCGATTGTATTCTGCACGAAAAAAAAAGAAAAAAACGTGGAATAAACTATTCCCTTATGTTTGAGAATATAAAACACTCATGAATATATAATTTACTAAAACTTTTACAAAAGAAGTGGCCGTGAGATGTAAACCGTCACAGTTCCACTTTTCATGGGAATCAAATCCTTAAGTACAAGGGTCACAAGCCGTTTTTTTCAAACTCGATTCACCCTTCGCGAATACCTTTCAAGAAATGTCTCTCCGTAACTTTTTACATCAACAGACTCGATTAAACTGTGGCTTCGAAAGCCAATTCGATAGCTATTTCTTCCTTTTCAGTAGTTTCTTTCTAAGTTATACGTGTAGATCTGTCTGCCCGTTTGTTTGACTGACTCTTTGCTTTGTGGTATGTTAGCTTCCATCCTTGACTGCTCGTTTGAACCTTCTTTTAAAGGGGGGTGAGTTTCTAAAGAAACTGTGGTGCTGCGTCGGTGGGAGAGTAAGGCAGGTAATTTAGTGTCAACAACTGAGTTGAAAACGTAAATTGGCCACCGTAAGGAGTAAAAAAGCTGACGTTTCGAGCGTTCTGACAAAGGGCTAACGCTCGAAACGTCAGCTTTTTTACTCTTTACGGTGGCCAATTTACGTTTTCAACTCAGTTGTTGACACTAAATTACCTGCTGAACCTTCTTTTGTTTGGTTGCAAAGTAGTGTTCAACCCTTTGACCCCTACGAGTGACTAGAATCTAATTTCTCTCTAGAAAATCACCCCTAAATCAAACATTTAGGTCAAGAGAACAAAGAAAATGATCACCAACTAAAGAAACTCTTGATTGTTAAACATATTCTCCTTGTGAGCACCTAAGGAAATGTATAGAGAACAGTATGGAGAATATGCATACTGATGTTTACACTGATGGTGTAGAGGGTTAATTGGATGTGAACTTCTTTCTCTGTCTAGTCAACTATGCACCGTTGGATTTGTACTAACCTTCAAGAAGAGAGCATTGGTATTTTTGTCTCTTCCATCTGCTAGCAAGATAATTTCCGGGTCTTTAATGGCGATCTGAACGACGATTTGTGGTGGTTCTTTATCGGTGTTCGCAACAGTGACAGATGGATGTGTAATAGCCACCTTCTGAGATACGTGTTTAGAGGCAAGTAATAACGTGCTGTCTGATTCATCCGTGGCTAACGCTGACGTAAACACTTTAGACAGAACCAGTAGAAACTCCAGGTTCACTACCGCGTTGAAGCTCTTTATTTCCATCTCAACTGAATATGTAAGCAGAAAAAGGCGAAGTTTGAGTTTTCGGCCTCAAAACAACGGTACCCCAATGTCTTAATGTATTCTACACACTCTGGTTTCAATCACATTTAACTACAAACTAATAAAGCAATTATCAATTGAGCGTCGAAAGTAATCTGATATTGCTTTGGTTTTGCTTTACTTCGGTATGTGATTGATCTAGAAATCTTTTGCCATGCTTTAGGCCAATCAGACGTCAAAAGATAACCGATCGCGGTTTGGTTGCCCACGTTTTTTATTTCCCTATTTTAAATGAGTCCTCATCGATCAATGATGTCACAAACCTTCGTTATGATTGGCTATTGGGATAACTTTGGTTTTGGTTTTACGTCAGTCAATGGAAAACTGATCTGTAGGCTAATATTCTAAAATTATTTACCTCATTATCACAGTCAATTTTGTACTGCAGCAGCAAGGATGAAAACAAAGAACAAAGTGTTCTTCCTACATGAAAGTTAGTCTTTAAATTAGAATAAAACAATAATCTTAATTTCGGATTATATTTTAGGTTCACATTCAATTGATGGAGTGATGAAAAAATGGTGGAATTTTCGACGTTTACCTTTCTGCTTCTATAACAAAGATATCAAACACAAGAGCAAACATAGAGATTTTTACAATGTTATAGAGAGCTTTGTGTCTCTCGTGAGCCACAAGTGCATGTGGAAGGAAAATTTCACCCCTAAGCTGAGTTGTCACCAAATGACAACGTGACCGTAAGAATGAAAATCATAATCAAACTTACTATTTTTATCCTGAGCAGCAGTTTGCTGGAACTGAATATCGATCATGTTTTCAACATCACTTGAGCCACCACCAAACTTTTCAATCATCCTGAAAACCAACATTGTAATTTTTCCATAGACAGCAAGTGCATAGATTAACACGCTACATGACTTGAAGCATTTATCAACTAAGTACTTAGAGTGATCCTCAGTTACATTCCCTTTGTTCGCGCTATGATACGACACAACCAAAAAAACGAAGCGAGTCGCTTTCTACATTGACTTCTCATTGGCTTCACTGGATTTTCCTTTGTTTTGATGAGTTGTTATCATTGCTTTGGAACGACACCGGACGATGATGTGCGTTAAAAACCTCAATTAAATTTAGATCAAAAGTTGGGGGCAATGCAACCATATTTCGGAGCGGAGGAACTTCGCAAGGGGGCGACGGAACATGAGGCAACCATGTAAGGGGCGACGCCTTGAGGCGCCTCTAGTACTCCTTGTATTGCAGAAGGCGACAAATTAGTAAAAAGTCAAAATGAGAAACGTAACACTGGTGAACTACACATTTTTGCATCATTTCTTACCTTGTGACTCCTTCCTCACTCTGCGGCCTTTTATCATCGAGAATACAACTCTCTAACGTCACACTGGCCTTTATTGCCGAGTTGGATTTGATACTCCCTGAGGCTTTAACCTGGACCAGCGAGAACTGCCCTAGACAGCATTCTGCATCTCTGGATGACGTGGCGCTGGCAGGCTGAAGCAACTGATGGAGCATCGTGTAAAAATGGACAAAAACATTTTATGATTTTACATTACCCACCTTAGCTATCCCTGGCACGATCATTGAGCAGTTATAAAGGGGGTACGTTTCTGAAGAAACTGTTTTGCCGCGTCGGTATGAGAGTATAACAGGGTAATTCGGTATTATCAAGTGAATTGATAATGTAAATTGGCCACCGAAAAGAGTCCCAAAGCTGATATTTCGAGCGTTAGCCCTTCGATAGAGCGAAACATCAGCTTTGAAATTCTTCGCGGTGTCCAATTTACGTTATCAACTCAGTTGATAATAACAAATTACATTTAGCACGTAACAAACCTTTTCCTTTTCCTTCCAGAACACTCCAGCTGAAACTTCTTCAATCTCAAATGAAAACTTCACAAAGTCCCACACACCATCACTCGAAGCTGATTCTGCAACACTCAGGCTTCGACTGGCACCGCCTGCGGAATCTGAAAGGTAAGGCATGACTATTTAAGCCATATTAAGTAAATTAGAATTTCATATTTCAGGTCCTAGACTAAAACATTTACTCAGTGATTAAGTGTTATATTTGCTTGAATGTTAGCTTGTCCTCATTTTAGTGTCATATTGCCACATAAAAAGAGCCAAAAGAATTCAGAACTTGGTTCGTCCTTACTTCCCCTAATTTTCAGCCCAAACGTCAAAGGACCTTAATAGAAACTAGCACAACTGGTAATAACAGTGGGAGAGGCATAAGAAGGTAATAGGAGTTGTAATAAAATATGTGCATGTTGTTCATCGTGGTGTAAGATAGGAGATGAACTTTGTTCGTTTGTCTCACGATATAGTCACTTATGACGTAGATCGCAACGTTTCGACTGCAATACTGCCAGTCTTCATCAGGCGATGAGGTCGATTGTTTGCTATTTGTAGCACGTTGGTACGCTGCTATCGGCGCATTTCGATCCTCATTATTATTCCGGTCGTTAGATAGAGTTCCCTCATAAGTCCTCATAAATCGGCTGTTGTGTTGTTTGATCGTAGGTATCCAAGCTTCGAGGATGTCGATTCCGCTATCCCTATTGATGTTGTTGGGATGAAGTCTGATATGGATAGCCTCTTTGACCCTACGTGTGTACCAGTGGGGGTCACGATCAATAAACTTACCTTGATCCAAATAGGAATATGCCCCGTTTCGTTAGCGTGCTCCGAAACCGTAGAGGTCTGAGTAGGAGCAAACCGTATGTCCCTGTCTTGTCAGTGAGTTTACGGCTTAGCCGTTCTGTTCGGTCTTTGTTAAGGAGTCGGTACGGACCCGTTTCGATTAAGGTTTTCATTTTGTTATGGTAGATGTTTGTGTCTAGGACCACACTAGCGCGGCCTTTGTCCGCTGGCAGAATAGTGATAGTGTCATCTTGTTTTAGATTCTTAAGGGCTACTTGCATATCCTTCGTGGTGTTAGGCTTAGGTGGTTTGGCTTGTCGAAGGATACCGTTTACAGTTCGTCTCACGGTGTCTGCTTGCTCTGAGTCAAGCGTTCTTTTTGCCGACTAGACTTTGGCGACTATTTCGGTGGCTGAGATGTTGGATGGAGCTACTGCGAAATTCAACCCTTTTTTTTTAAGTAACGATACCACAGTGTCGCTGAGGGGGCGTGAAGATAAGTTTATTACCCATTTGTTTTTGTCGACTTGAGGTGTTTGGTGAACATAATAGGGATTGTCATAATAACACCCTCGAGAAATCTATGTAAAAAAGGGAGAATCTTACCAACTGTATCTTGTGTTATAATGCTGATCTCTTCTGCAATTGTGAAAACATCGGTGATCAGTGTCAAAATAACTATAAAATCAAAGATATAAATTTTCAGTGGCTACTCATTGCGACACCTTTACCTGTGCGAGATGTGACTCCTTCACTGAGATTCTTGAACAAGATCCCTTGTATAGTTCTTATTTCATCTTCACCAGCACATAACTGTACAAAGACATAACTCACTCAGTCTGTAATACTATCTAAAATCTCTAATTTTTGACGAGTTAGAACGAGGTAGGTTCACACCAATCTGCTTTTGGGTAACTTTTCACCCCACACAGCAGTTAGTCGATGTTATGTTTAAAGCTGCATTAACTTACGCTAACCAACGGCACGTACCCTCAAAAAAAAAATTTAGTTGAATTTCAGAAGAAATATGGGAAGCCACACTGTACTTTGATTTCTTCCCACAATAAATCTCACTTAAATCTCAATCTAAGTACCTTAATGGCAAAATACTTTCTTTTAAAACACGGCGAGTTATCTAGACGTCCAAGTTGATGTATTCAAAAGGCCACCATGTGACTGAAGGGATGTCTACCGAGTTAAAGAATGTATACCGAGATTGAAATTATTCAATGGTGGGAATAAATTACGAAATGCAAACCATTCTGTTTTGAATTTGTACAATTGTTTATTCCCCTTTCAAGTGCTGTTCGTCAATAAACTAACCTTAACTGCAAGAAGCTTTCCCTTCACATCGATATCAGGCACATCGCGATACCAAGGAGACAAGTTTCGAGCCACATGAACTGTCACATTCGCTGGTTCAAGGACCAGTTGGGTGGGTCCTATGGTTTCCCCATCAGTCATCACAGCTCTTATTATAAAAAAGGAAAAGGATTATTTCATCAGACATGAGTGTGGCACACATTTTTAACCTCTTCGCCTTCACCTAGCAGCAAACTATGCATTTCTTTCTGGAGTTCTTTTTTCTGAGTATGCCTGTGTCATTCACTGCATAACATCATCTTTCACCAGGCTTAAAAATTTACCTTCCTCAGTTATATCATCGGGTAGAAGTATTTCATATCGATTACAGATAATTTGTTACCATGGATTTTGTTCCACGAGTCTCTTACAGCGAAGCCTGAGTGGCAGAGTATTCCAAGTACTAACCGGAAGGTCTTTGGTTCAACTCATTTTGGGAGCACTCGGAATTCTTTTTCGAGATATGCCTGTGTCATTCACTGAATAACATCATCTTTCACAATCTATTTCTTGATTGCATGGATTTACCAAGGTCAACACGGAATCCCGGTAACTTGAATTTGAGTTTTACAGTTCTAAGCTCATGAATTTAACAGGAAAACTAACTCCACGTTCTCAACCAGTCACGTGATTCTTTAGCTAGACAACCAATTAGTGCAAACAAAAATCTAGACACTTAAGTAAATAATTTGTTCATGCGCTTATTTTAGGCAATTCGCACCACGAAACAATAGCGAGTTTAAATAGGAACCGAAGACTTATCGTGGACACCTAATACATGGGGTGCTTACAAGCTTCTCGTGAGAACATGAACTCTATTGAATTTAAGCCTGTCTCCTAACGTTTGGAATGCCTTAAACGATATCTAAACAAAGCAGCTCAACGCCCGCCCAAATGGCTAAGAGGAGTGGCTTCAGGCTGAAGGTATACACAGCCGCACGAGCCATTAAATCAACCGTGTTTCAAAAGCGCTGGAATAAATGATGAAATCAATACCTCGACAGTTTTACAGAACTAAGTTCCACCACCATGTTGTCAATAACAACAGTATCACTTCCTTCAGGATCCTTTCCATCATGTGCAAGGTTGAAGGTATTTGACACACTAAGGTGACCAAGATTTGCAACAAGTGCATCGCGAGACGTCGAACTCACAGGAATGATAACCTCCGGTGCTTGAATAGAAACTTTCAAGCTTATTCTTGAGCTTTGAGTTTGCAAACTCTGAATCTAAAAGTCAGAAAAACACAAATTTACATCTAATAAAGTGCGTCAACCACACGGCTTGTTATAACGGCGTCACCCTTTTGTTCCTAACTGTGAATAGCGTCTAATTTTACTTTACAGTATTTCCCTTTAATCAAACATCAAGACCAAATTAGGAATCTCTTTATTTTGAACAAATTCTCCTTGTCAAAACAATAAAAATAGTATGTAGAGCAGTATGAACAACATAAATACCGCTGCTAACCCTTTAATTGCAAGTGACCAAGACAGAGTTTCTCCTCACAAATCAGTACAATATCAAGCATACAAGGGATGAGAATACAGAAATATATCAATTACGGGAATTATTACTTGATCTAACACCAAACTCTCTCAAACAACGTCTTAAGAATTAAATAGGAACCACTGAGTAAGGACAATTATACTGGGAGTGGAATGGGTCAAGATGTAAAGGTTTTCAAGAACAAGTCTCTGTAAGAATCAAACATCTTGGGAAATTAAAATTTTCAACCCCTTTTCAAATTTTGTTAGGCACTCAGGGGGATGCACAAAAATGCCCTTTTTAAAGGTTGCAGCATTCTTGTTGCCATGGTAACAACGGCTCCTTGTTCGAGGGAAAATTGAATAAATCAGTTTGAAGACGAATGATGTCAGTATGTGTGGTAGAAGTGCCAATTTATAATGTTGTATTTAGCTTGAGATAGAGAAATAAACATTTCACTCTTTTTTTGCGACGTTTTTGTATGAAAATGAGGCCTCAGGCCTCGAACAAGGAGCCGTTGTTAAAATTAAAATTAAATGTATCAAAGTAAAGACGAATGATGTCACTATGTATGGTAGAAGTGCCAATTTGTAATATTGTATTTAGCTTGAGATAGAGAAATAAACATTTCATTCTTTTTTTGCGACGTTTTTGTATGAAAATGAGGCCTCAGGCCTCAAGAGCGCTCCAACCTTTAAAAGGGGCATTTTTGTGCAACCCCCCTGAGTACCTAACTGCATGCAAATTTGAAGGGGGTTTGAAAATTTTCATTTCCCAAGATGTTTGATTCTTACAGACTTGTTCTTTATAACGGCTGGTGACTCACTATTGCACTGGCTGACTCAGCTGCAGTTTTTCTGGCATACTCCATAGCATCCTTTGCCCGCTGAAACTTGTTCAAAAAGTCCTGAAATAACACAGAGATTCATATCTGAGCTTGCAATGATTTCATCCTCCGAAAGATAAAGTGATCATATCTACTCAGGTAAAATTAACCGTACTAGTTACATGTAACTCGCAGTCTGAAAAAAAAGTAAAAGCCATTTCATTGCTCTTGGCTGAGGCGCATTAAATATCAGTTCAATGAATAGAATTTTATTAAAATTAAAGGCCGAAAAAATTTCCATGAAAATATACAACACAAAATCCTAGAGCTTTACTAACTTCAATTTCTGCAACTGTAAGGAATCACAAATGCTAATAATATTGACGCTAATAAAGTTAACTGACCAGCAGCTTCATCACAAATTTGTTTAAGAAGATGACACGGATACAACCGACTGCCACCTTGAATTTCAGATCTACAGCTTCCATGTCTCTAAACTTGACGCCGGCAGTTGCATTATTGTGTGCAATAACCTAAGAACATGAGGTATGGACTAAAATTAGAGAGTTTTACTCTTATCTTAAGTTGATAACAACAATGGTTAAAAAGGCAATAATGATCATGAAAGAACCCTTATGCATTGATTGTCATACATCCAAAATCAAAGTTACCACAATTAATGGCCAATCAGAACAGAGCAAAATATTACTACGAGCCAATGAGAACTCAGAGCAAAAACAAGCAAACTGCCACAGGTGCCAAAAAACTAAACGCGAGTATTCAGGTTGCGAGTGGTTAATCACTTTCCACGAGATTGGTTAAAGAATTGGCGTGAGATTTCTTTATCGGTCTTAGAGGACACTTAGAGGAAATTTTCACTTGTGGCAGTACACAAGGTGCAGAACAGAACTCAAACTAAATTGGTATATGACCTTGTGACATTGTTGTCACTCAGTTCCAAGTCTGAAATAAACATTCCTCGTTTTACACACCTGAAGGCTAAATACCTCCTCGTCCACGATGGATATTATCTTCGGATATACCGCCTTAGTAGTAGAATCCAAAACTGACAAAGTTTTCATACTGAAATGAAACAAAGACACTTAGAGGGCTTTTCGATTGAATGTCGTAAAACCAAAACCAAAGCAACCACAACAGCCCATAGCCAGGAAAATATCACAAGGAGCCGATGAGAACTCGAAGTGAAAACAAGCAAACCGCCTAAGGCGCGGACAACACGCGAGTGACCAGGTCGCAACTAGTTTTAATTTTGAAGCTGACTGGTTGAGGGAGTGGCGCGAGTTTCTGGACCAATCACATAACGAAATAAAGCGAAACCAAAGCAATCCTGGATTACTTTCGACACTCAATTGGGAATATCTCTACCAAACGATAATTTACCTAGAAAGTTTGAGTGATTTTGATCATGATCATAGGAAAGGGGATATTGACTAGGACAATTAAGTCATACATACCTGGCCGCAACGTCTGTTCTATTGTCTCTAACAACACAGCCAGCAGACAAATCTTTGTGTGAAGAAAAATATTGAACCCATCAAACATAAAGGACACTAGTAAACTCAAGAGCGGCTGAGAAGATTACCTTCGATACCAATTCTTTGACGGATTAAAACTACTACAATTGCTCTTTGGCTTCCTTCAAAATATTATTGAACAAAAGCCTAGCAAAATCGTATCATAGCTTGAAGTGAACCTTCCTATTAGTCGACCAGCCATTTATTTAGAGTGAGAGTAAACGGTGGGGTGAGGGAGCGGAAAGGTGTAATTTCCATTGCCCCACCCTCTCCGCTCCAGAAATTGTGATATGATGATAGGGAATTTGTAACATCTCATTTATGCATCAGTAAATTATGGTTGTTGGGCCGAATCAAACGCAAACAACCCTTAGCTTTCTGCAACACTGTGTTAAAAGAGAAGTAAATAATTCCTCACCTCCGACTATTACATGTATCAAATCACCCTCAACAGATGTCACTGTAACACCGATTCCTCCCAGCTTTGCCGTCACTTCAATCTGTATTCCATCTTTACTATCTTTCTTCTTTTTGCCTTTGGGCGTAACTAGCTTAGACGTTTTATTTACATATCGGCCTTTCGTTTTTATACTGTCAGCAGACACAAGTAGCAGAGCTGGAGTCTCTTCACTGGCAAAAGAGAAAAATAAAACGTTTCTTCAAATAACGATCGGTAGAAAGAGAGTTGTCACGTAAAGATATAAAAATGTTTATTAGAATAATGCTTGGCAGCTGAAAAGCTAAATTGCGTGTATACAAAAGGGTATGATAAATAGATAGATAAACATTAAACGTCATTTACAGAAAACCTTATAAAATATGTGTACATCTAATCTATATAATATATATATCTATATAAGATATATCTATATTATCTATATAATATATATCTATATAATCTATATAATATATATTTATATAATCTCTATAATACGCACACACACACATACATATTCAATGAAAAATACATTGTATCTATAAGTCTGTTGCAAAATGCACATTAAAATTTACGTGTCAGGATTGGATATAAACCCCAACCGATCACGGTATAAAGGTGATCCAGAAAAAAAGACACAATTTTCTTTATATGATGAATAAAATATTTTCGGCTTAATGGGTTATAGTAACTTCCACTTTTTGATAGGTATGGGGCTTCCCTACGCGCATTACGAGCTCTGCTATCTGTTACCAAATTACGGGTTATTGGAATTGCCCGTTTCCAAAAGCCACACGTCTTAACCGCTCTTAAGCTACATTAAAATTACAGCACCTTGGTGGCAGCATTTTGGTTGAAACATCGATGATGTTGAGTAGAGCTTCTTGATGCAGTTTTACTTGCAGTGATGAAAATTCCAAAGCAACAGACTGCTTAGTGGACTTGAATGTTGAGCTGTACTCTGGGTGGTCTGATTCCACCTAAAATTGACATCAAATTAGTAAGTAAACCTTTACACAACAGCATACATATTTTCCAGACTGTTCTCTATACATTTCCTGAGACGCTGACGAGGAGAATTTGTTCAGTAATAAAGAGCCTAGGCTTGTGACCTTACAATGCGATTCTGGGGTGGTAAGAGAAATTTGACGCAAGTCTTTCTTTAGGGTCCAAGGTTTAATAATTCAGTTGTAAACAGATCTAGTACTGCAGATATAGACCTCTACACCGCCTAAGCTCGGAAGTGACAACCACAAACAATAACTCTCCTGTCAACTATTTAACTGTTTCTGAAAATACAAAAAGAACTAATTTCTACCATCTGCATACTGATGATGAAAATACAGAGTATCTTTTCTATAAATTTGAAAACAAAAACATCCTCAAATTACCAAAACACTGAATGCCTTTGGCTCAGGATGACATTTTATTTTTCACTTTATTCTTAAGTATGTAGAACAATATTTCCCAAGTTTAAAGATCACTTATTTAACTAAAACCAAGATTAGCCGTACTCCCTTCCACGACCTGAAATTAATTTGTAAAATGCCATGAATTTCCAGGCTTACTATGGATTGTCAAAAGCCCACATCATTAGAGGCCCAGTATGCATTGCGCCCCTCTGCTTTTCTTGTAATGCTTTTCACAAGAGCATTACATTGCTTTACATAATTGTTTTAAAGCATTAAATTATTGTTTACAGCATTACATTATTGTTTTCCCGAAGCTTGTGGCATAATCAACATTGCGTTAATGACCGCCATGGCCAACGCCGCGCGCAATGCATACTGCTCAAAACTGGGTCTTTAATACACGCAGTACACCTCACAAGATAACATCTTTTACCATAACAAATTTAACTGAGAGCAGCTCTGCCCCAACAGGCGTCTGCACAAGATAAAGAGGACCTCCGCCAGTTCCATGGATCTTCTCCATTATGGCCAGAGAAGACAAGGAAGCACTTGCTGAGAGATCCCAAGGATGCATGACAACATCAGTACCCAGGCCTTTGACATGCAGCGCAAGACAAGGCGTCAATTTCCCTCCACTACCCACAGTGCTAAAATCAACGACTACCTGAAACATAACATAAAAAGTTCAAGATCAGTTGGTTTAATCGGGGGCTGTAATCCTAAAGGAGGACAAAATCCAACAGTCCTCATTCAAATTCGACTTAGAATCGGCAGAAGAATAACTTCTCCATGGCTCTGTTATTAGTGGATATATCAATATCCATCAAAAGCGCTTTTCCCTAGGGCGAGGGAAGACACTTCTCAAAAGAAAAATAAGAATTTCAGTTGAAAACAAGCAAACTGTCTGAAGCGCGAGAAAACATGCCTAACAAGTCGTGGTTGATTTTAGTTTTGCAACTGATTGGTTGAGTTTTCTGGACTAATCAAAGAACGAAGTGAAACAAGCCCTTAGAATCCTGTATTACTCTCGACACATCCGAAAATTATTCTCATAATTTTCCTTTTGCTGTAAACTTTAAAAAAAATTCAGAGCCATAGGAAGAATAAGAAGATTACCCTGTGATAAAAAATACTCAAACACACCTCTTCTATCTCAAATTTAAGTGAAACTTTAACTTGTTTGGCAATAGCCTCTTTTTCTTCACTTTTAGCTCCTTCAAGGTTGGATTCTCTACGGGAAAAAAAGGAATATATTATACCTGAAAAATACTGCTGTAACAATTCCTGATCGGCCAAATTTCGAAATTATAAATTAAGGGGTAGCCGGACTTCGGCAGAACACATTGGGAAATGAAATATTAGAGAGTTTGTAGGGTTTACACCCAAAGTCGTGTGGTGTTATTTGTTGTTCTATGCCTTATTTTTAACCATTAAATTTGGGCTCTTGAGGATAAATCTTTCAGAAACTCTCCCCTTTTTCCGACCAAAAAAAAAGTATAGAAAATTAAACAATACCCGGTTAGAGTCTCAGGTGGTATCTGACACATTTCATCCATTTCCTCAGCTTCATCATCTCGTTCGCCTGTACCCCTACCAAAACACCCAATTGTGTTACGTCTGTGCGAGATGTGATTCCTTCACCGAGATTCTTCAACAAGATCCCAAGCACAGTTCTTATTTCATCTTCCCCAGCACGTAACTGTACAAAGACAGAACTCAATCAGCTGTTATTACACGTGACATGTAAATATCTGGTAAACAGCTGTAATACTACCTAAACTCTCTAACTTTTGACGAGACTAAATGTAATTTAGACAAAGTTAGAACGAGGATTCACACCAATCTGGCTCTTGGAGAGCTCAGGGAGGTTTGCCAGGGCACTGCCATGTGGTTCTGCTCAGTTTACTTTGCTTCATTTCTGGCTCTGTTTCCTTTCCCCTAGCACCCTTCCCTCCCTCGCATTTTTTGGGTGTTTTTCATCTCACATGGCAGTTGATCGATGTTATGTTTAAAGTTACGTTGACTTACGCAAACCAACCGCACGTACCCTCCAAAAAAAACATTTTAACTTGAATTTTTAGTCATTAAAAATATGGGCAGCCACAGTGTACTTTGATTTTTCTTCCCAGAATAAGCCTCACCTAAAATCGCAAAGTACCTTAATCGAAAAATATTTCCTTTTGCAACATGGCGAGTTATCTAGAGCTCCAAGCTGATTTATTAAAAAGGCCACCATGTGACTGAAGGGATGTCTACCGAGTTAAAGAATGTATACCGAGATTGAAATTATTCAATGGTGGGAATAAATTACGAAATGCAAACCATTCTGTTTTGAATGTGTTCAATTGTTTATTCCCCTTTCAAGTGCTGTTCGTCAATAAACTAACCTTAACTGCATGAAGCTTTCCCTTCACATCGATATCAGGCACATCGTGATACCAAGGAGACAAGTTTCGAGCCACATGAACTGTCACATTCGCTGGTTCAAGGACCAGTTGGGTGGGTCCTATGGTTTCTCCATCAGTCATCACAGCTCTTATTGTACAAAGGAAAACGATTGTTTCATCAGACACGAGTGTGGCACACATTTTTAACCTCTTCGCCTTCAACTAGAAGCAAACTTTGCGTTTATTTTTGGGAGTTCTTTTTTCCGAGTATGCCTGTGTCATTTACTTCATAACATCATTTTTCACTCGGCTTAAAATTTACCACCCTCAGTTATATCATTGCGCAAAAATATCTCATATCGATTGCAGGAAATTTGTTACCATTAATTTAGCTCCACGAGTCTCCTAAAGCTCAACCTGAGTGGCAGTATCCCAATAACTAATCGGAAGGTCGTAGGTTCTACTCCCTTTGGGAACACTCGGAATTCATTTTCGAACTATGCCTCTATCATTCACTGAATAACATCATCTTTCATAATCTATATCTTGATTGCATGGACTTACCAAGGTTAACACGGAGTCCTGGTAACGTTTGGTTGAGTTTTACAGTTCTAAGCTCATGAATTTAATAGAAAAACTAACACCTCTGTCTCAACCAGTTAGATGATTCTTTAACTAGACAGCTAATTAGTCCAAACAACAAAAGTCTAAAGACACTTGAGTAAATAATTTGTTCATGCGCTTATTTGAGGCAATTCGCTCCAGAAAACAATAGCGAGTAAGCGAAACCCTATCGAGTGTGCAGTGTGTGGTTGAAAACGCCAGTTTTGTGTATTTTTTCCTTATTTTTGTGAACTTGTTAAGACACTTAAATTCGGTTTTGTAGGAGTTTCCTATGAGGTCTAGATAGGAGAAGGAGGTAAAGGCAAAGGAGGCAAAGCTGAAGGTATACACAGCTGTAAAAGCCACTAAGTCAACTGTGTTTCAAAAGCACTGGAATAAATGATGAAATCTATACCTCAACAGTTTTATAGAACTAAGTTCCACCACCATGCTGTCAATAACAACAGTATCACTTCCTTCAGGATCCTTCCCATTATGTGCAAGGTTGAAGGTGTTTGACACACTAAGGTGACCAAGATTTGCAACAATTGCATCGCGAGACGTCGAACTCACAGGAATGATAACCAGAGGTGCTTGGATAGAAACTTTCAAGCTTATTCTTGAGCTTTGGATTTGCAAACTCTGAATCTAAAAGTCAGAAAAACACATATTTGTCCCTAATAAAGTGCGTCAACCACACGGCTTGCCTAACGGCGTCACCCTTCAGTTACCAACAGTGAATACTGCTGTTAACCCTTTACTCCCGTGAGTGACCAAGACAGAGTTTCTGCTTACAAATCAGTTCAATATCAAGCAGACAAGTGATGAGAATAAAGAAACATATTCCGGGAATTATTACTTGATCTAACACCAAACTCTCTCACACAACATAAGAATTCCATAGCACACGGTAAGGACAATTACCAATGAGATCTGGAAGTGCAATGGGTTAAGATGTAAAGGTTTAAATAACGGCTAATGACTCACTGTTGCACTGGCTGACTCAGCTACAGTTTTTCTGGCATTCTCCATAGCATCCTCTGCCCGCCGAAACTTGTTCAAAAAGTCCTGAAATAACACGGAGATTCATATCTGAGCTTGCAATGATTTCATCCTCCGAAAGATAAAGTAATCATAATTGCTCAGGAAAAATTAACCGTACTAGTTACATGTAACTCGCATTCAGTAACAAAAAAAAATGCCATTTCATTGCTCTTTGCCGTGTCGCACTAACTATCACTACAATGAATAGCATTTCATTCAAATGGAAGGCAGAAATTTCCAAAAAAATATACCACAAAAAATACTAAAGCTTTACTACCTTCAATTTCTGCAACTGTAAAGAATCACAAATGCTAAATATAAATATATTGACGCTAATAAAGTTTACTGACCAGCAGCTTCATCACAAATTTGTTTAGGAAGATGACACGGATACAACCGATTGCCATCTCGAATTTCAGATCTACAGCTTCCATGTCTCTAAACTTGATGCCGGCAGTTGCATTATTGTGTGCAATAGCCTAAGAACATGAGGTATGGATTAAAATTAGAAAGTTTTACTCTTAACTCAAGTTAATAACAGCACTGGTTAAAACAGCAGCAGCAGCACTGGTGGCAGTAGACAAGGTGCAGAACAGAACTTAAAATAAATTGGTATATGACCTTGTTGTCACTCAGTTCCAAGTCTAACATAAACATTCCTCATTTTACAGACCTGAAGGCTAAACACCTCCTCGTTCACGATGGATACTATCTTCGGATATACCGCCCCAGGAGTAGAATCCATCACTGACAAAGTTTTCATACTGAAATGAAAAAAGGACACTTAGAGGGCTTTTCGATCGAGTGTCGTAAAAACCAAAGCCAAAGCCAAAGCAAGCACAACAGCCAATCATAGCCAGAAATATCACAAGGAGCTAATGAGAACTCGAAGTGAAAACATGCAAACCGCCCAAAGCGCGGGAAAAACGCGAGTAACCAGGTTTTAGTTTTGAATCTAATTGGTTGAGGGAGTGGCACGAGTTTCTGGACCAATCACATAACGAAATAAAGCGAACTCAAAGCAATCCTGGATTACTTTCGACACTCAACTGGAAATTTCTCTATCAAACGATAAATTTTTAGACCTGGAAAGTTTGAGTGATTTGGATCACGATCATAGGAAAAAAGATATTGACTGGGACAATTAAGTCATACATACCTGGCCGTAACGTCTGTTCTGCTTTCTCTAACAACACTGCCAGCGGACAAATCTTTGTGCGAAGAAAAATATTGAACTTGTCAAACATAAAGTACAAAAACTAAACTGAACAGTGGCTGAAAAGATTCTTCTTAGTACCAATTCTTTGACGGATTAAAACTACATCAATTGCTCTTTGGCTTCCTTCAAAATAGTTTTGATCAAAAGCCCATCAAAATCGTATCATAGCTTGAGGTGGAGCCTCCTATTAGCTCACTGGCCTTGTTTGATTTACAGTGAGAGTGGACAGTGGGGGGGGGAGGGGGCGGGAAAGGGGTAATTTTTATTGCCCCGCCCCCTACCCTCTAAAAACTGTGACATGGTGATAAGGAATTCGCAACATTTCATTTATGCATCACAAATGCAAACAACTCCTTAGCTTTCTGCAACACTGCGCTAAAAGACAACTAAATAATCCCTCACCTCCAATAAATACATGCGTCAAATCACCCTCAACAGATGTCACTGTAACATCGATTCCTCCCAGCTTTGCAGTCACCTCAATCTGTATTTCATCTTTACCATCTCTCTTCTTTTTGCCTTTGGGCGTAACTAGCTCAGACGTTTTATTTACATATTGGCCTTTCGTTTTTATACTGTCAGCAGACACAGGCAGCGGAGCTGGAGTCTCTTCACTGACAAAAGAGAAAAAGACACGTTTCTTCCACTGATTGGTGGAAAGAGAGTTGTCACATAAAGTAATCGATATGTTTATTAGAATAAAGCTTTGCGGTTGAAAAGCTGAATTGCGTGTATTCAAAAGGGGTATGATAAATAGATAGATAAACATTAAAAACGTCATTTCCAGAAAATCATATAAAATCTGTGTACATCTAATCTATATAATCTATAAATATAGGAAGTCTGCAGGTCGATTTTCGCGTGGAAGAGTGCTCAATACGTTGAAGTAGAGCAGAATAAATATAAATATTATAAATATAATATAAATTTATAATAAATATAAATATTATAAAATAAATAGACAACAACACCTCTGAAACATACATAGGACTCACAGAAACCGACTTCAAAACAAGACACAGAAATCACACCGCATCATTCCGCCACGCCAAGCACAAAAACTCTACCGAACTTAGCAAACACATCTGGACACTCAAGAACGACAACATTGACTACTCTATTTCATGGCGCGTCTTATCATCTAACTCTCCCTACAACAGTTCCAGTAAAAAATGCAACCTCTGCCTAAAAGAAAAATTCCTGATAATTTACCGACCCGACATTTCATCACTAAATAAGCGTAACGAACTCGTATCTTCATGCCGACACAGAAACAAAGCGTTGCTACGCAACAGCTGAACTTTTAAGTTTTTAAGTTTACCGCGTATTATGTAAATTTTCTTAGCATATAAACGATAGTCATATGAATATTCTTTCATTAAACCCCTGAAGAGTGAAGCGATTCACGAAACAGGCTTGTCGGGATATGTAGTTGCGTCGTTTTTTCCTCTCATAATATTTAATCTATAAATATATGTATGTATATATATATATATATATATATATATATATATATATATATATATATATATATTAAATAAAAAATACATTATATCTTTAAGTCTGTTGCAAAATGCACATTACAATTTACGTGTGTCAGGATTGGATATAAACTCCAAAAAAGAGAAAAAACGACTGAAAATTTTCCTTATATGCTGATAAAATATCTTCGGCTTAATGGGTTATAGTAACTTCCACTTTTTGATAGGTATGGGGCTTCGCTACGCGCACTGCGATCTCCGCTCTCAGTTACCAAACAACGGATTATTGGAATTGCCTGTTTCCAAAAGCCACACGTCTTAACCACTCTTAAGCTACATCAAAAGTACAGCACCTTGGTTGCAGCAATTTGGTTGAAACATCGATGATGTTGAGCAGAGCTTCTTGATGCAGTTTTACTTGCAGTGAAGAAAATTCCAAAGCAACAGACTGCTTAGTGGACTTAAATGTTGAGCTGTACTCTGGGTGGTCTGATTCCACCTAAAATTGACATCAAAAGCAGTAAGTAAACCTTTAAACACTAAAAACAGCATACAAATTCTCCAAACTGTTCTCTATACATTTCCTAGGACGCTAACAAGGAGACTTTGTTCAACAATCAAGAGCCTGTGACCTTAAAATGCGATTCTGGAGTGGGACTGAAGGGAGAAATTTGACGCAAGTCTTTCTTTAGGGTCCAAGGTTTAATACTCCAATTATAAACAGATATGGTGCTGCAGATATAGACCTCTACACCGTGAAAGCACGGAAGTGATAACCGCAAACAATAACTCTCCTGTCAACTATTTCCCTTCTTCTTTCTACTATCTGCATACTGACGATGAAAATACAAAGTATCGTTTCTATAAATTTGAAAACAAAAAAAAAATCCTCAAATTACCAAAACACTGAATGCCTCTGGCTCAGGATTATTTTTATTTTTCACTCTATACTTAAGCACGTAGAAAAAAATTTCCCAAATATAAAGATTAGTTATCCAAGATTACTCGTACTCCCTTCAACGACCTCAAATGAATCTGTAAAATGCCATGAATTTCTAGACTTACTTTGACTTATCAAAAGCCCACATCATTAAAGGCCTAATATGCATTGCGCACCTCTGTTTTCGTAATGCTTTTCACGAGAGAGAGGCTTGTATTGTGTTACCGAAGCTTGTCGCATAATCAACATTGAGTTAATAGCCGCCCATGGCCAACGCCGCGCGTAATGCATACTGCTCAAAACTGGATCTTTAATACACGCATTACACCTCACAGAATAAGGTCTTTTACCATGACAAATTTAACTGAGAGCAGCTCTGCCCCAGCAGGCGTCTGCACAAGATAAAGAGGACCTCTTCCAGTTCCATGGATCATCTCCATTATGGCCAGAGAAGACAAGGAAGCACTCGCTGAGAGATCCCAAGGATGCATGAGAACATCAGTACTCAGGCCTTTGACATGCAGCGCAAGAAAAGGCGTCAATTTCCCTCCATTATCCACAGTGCTAAAGTCAACGAATATCTATAACACAACATAAAAAGTTCACGATCAGTTGGTTTAATTGAGGGCTGTTATCCTAAAAGAGGACAAAATCCAACAGTCCTCGTTCAAATTTGACTTTGAATCGGCAGAAGAATAATTTTCCCATGCCTTTGTTACTAGTCAATAAATCAATATCCATCAAGAGCGCTTTTCGGTTGGGCGAGGGAAGACACACATCTCAAAAGAAAAATAAGAATTTCAGTTGAAAACAAGCAAACTGTCTGTCTGAAAACAAGCCCTTAGAATCCTGTATTACTCTTGACACATCTTAAAATTGCTATCAAAATTTTCCCTTTGCTATTAATTAAAAAAAATTCAGAGCTATGGGTAGAATAAGAAGATTAATCCAATGAAAAATACTCAAACACACCTCTTGTATCTCAAACTTAAGCGAAACTTTAACTTGTTTTGCCATAGCCTCTTTTTCTTCACTTTTAGCTCGTTCATGGTTCGATTCTCTACGGGAAAAAAACAAAGGAAAATATTATACCCGAAAAATACTGTTAGAACAATTCCTGATCGGCCAAATTTCGAAATTATAAATTAAGAGGTAGCCGGACTTCGGAAAAACACATTAAGAAATGAAATACTACAGGGTTTGAGGGGTTTGCATCCAAAGTCTTCTGGTGTTGTCACTTGTTCTAAGTCGTATTTTTAGCCATCAAATTTGGGCTTTACAGGAAAAATCTTTCAGAAACTCTCCCCTTTTTTCCCTTAGCCAAACGAAAAAAGAGTGTATAAAACCGAACAATACCCGGTTAGAGTTTCAGCCGGTATCTGGCACATTTCATCCATTTCCTCCGTTTGTTCTCCTGTACCACTTCCCAAAAAACCCAATTGTGTTACGTCTGTGCGAGATGTGACTCCTTCATTGAGATTCTTCAACAAGATCCCTAGTATAGTTCTTATTTCATCTTCACCAGCACGTAACTGTACAAAGGCAGAACTCACTCAGCTGTTATTACAAGTGACATGTAAATATCTGGTAAATATCTGTAATACTATTTAAACTCTCTAATTTTTGACGAGACGATATTATGACAAGGCTAAATGTAATTTAGACAAAGTTAGAATGACGAAGACTCACACCAATCTGCTTCTTGGAGGATTCAAGGAGGGTTAGCAAGGCACTGTCATGTGCTTGTGCTCAGTTTACTCTGCTTCATTTCTAGCTCTGTTTCTTTGCCCCCCCCCCCTTGCATTTTTTGGGTAAGTTTTTACCCCACACGGCAGTTAGTCGATGTTTTGTTTAAAGTTACGTTGACTTACGCAAACTAACCTCCCAAAAAAACATTTTGATTTGAATTTCTAGTCATAAGAAATATGGCCAGCCGCACTGTACTTTGATTTTTCTTTCCTTAATGGAAAAGATATTTTCTTTTTGGCACATGGCGAGTTATCTAGAGGTCCAAGCTGATTATTCAAAAGGCCACCATATGAGTGAAGAGATATCTACCGAGTTTGGGAATGTATACCGAGATTAAAATTATTCAGTAATGAATAAACTACAAAAAGCAAACCATTCTGTTTGCAATTTGTTCAATTATTTATTCCCCTTTCAAGTGCTGTTCGTCAATAAACTAACCTTAACTGTATGAAGCTTTCCCTTCACATCAATATCAGGCACATCGTGATACCAAGGAGACAAGTTTCGAGCCACATGAACTGTCAAATTCGCTGGTTCAAGGACCAGTTGGGTGGGCCCTATGGTTTCCCTATCAGTCATCACAGCTCTTATTGTACAAAGGAAAACGATTATTTCATCAGACACGAGTGTGGCACATATTTTTAACCTCTTCGCCTTCACCTAGAAGCAAACTTTGCATTTATTTTTGGAGTTCTTTTTTCCGAGTATGCCTGTGTCATTCACTGCATAACATCTCTCACCAGACTAAAAAATTTACCATCCTCAGCTATATCATCGCGCAATAGTTTCACCAATTTAGTTCCACGAGTCTCCTATAGCTCAACCAGAGTATTCCAAGTACTAATCGGAAGGTCGTATGTTCGACTCTTTTTGGGAGCACTTAGTATTCTTTTTCGAGATATGCCTGTGACATTCACTGAATAACATCATCTTCCACAATCTATTTCTTGATTGCATGGATTTACCAAGGTCAACACGGAATCCCGGTAACTTGAATTTGAGTTTTACAGTTCTGAGCTCATGAATTTAATAGGAAAACTAACTCCATGTTCTCAACCAGTCACGTGATTCTTTAGTTAGACAACCAATTAGTGCAAATAAAAATCTAGACACTTAAGGAAATTATTTGTTCATGCGCTTATTTTAGGAAATTCACACCACGAAACAATAGCGAGTTTAAATTGGAACCGGAGACTTATCGTGGACACCTAATACATGGGGTGCTTACTCCCATCTCGTGAGAGCATGAACTCTATTGAATTTAAGCCTGTATCCTAATGTTTGGAATGCCTTAAACGATATCTAAACAAAGCAGCTCAACGCCTGCCCAAATGGCTACGAGGAGTGGCTTCAGGCTGAAGGTATACACAGCCGCACAAGCCATTAAATCAACCGTGTTTCAAAAGCGCTGGAATAAATGATGAAATCAATACCTCGACAGTTTTACAGAACTAAGTTCCACCACTATGTTGTCAATAACAACAGTATCACTTCCTTCAGGATTCTTTCCATCATGTGCAAGGTTGAAGGTGTTTGACATACTAAGGTGACCAAGATTTGCAACAAGTGCATCGCGAGACGTCGAACTCACAGGGATGATAACCTCCGGTGCTTGGATAGAAACTTTCAAGCTTATTCTTGAGCTTTGAGTTTGCAAAATCTGAATCTAAAAGTCAGAAAAACACATATTTACACCTACTAAAGTGCGTCAACCACACGGCTTGTTATAATGGCGTCACCCTTTTGTTCCTAAAAGTGAATAGCGTCTAATTTTACTTTACAGTATTCCCCTTTTGTCAAACATCAGGACCAAATTAGAAATTTCTTGATTTTGAACAAATTCTCCTTGTCAAAACAATAAAAATAGTATGTAGAGCAGTGTGAACAACATAAATACTGCTGCTAACCCTTTAATTGCAAGTGACCAAGACAGAGTTTCTCCTCACAAATCAGTACAATATCAAGCATACAAGGGATGAGAATACAGAAATATATCAATTACGGGAATTATTACTTGATCTAACACCAAACTCCCACAAACAACGTCATAAGAATTAAATAGGAAACACTGAGTAATGAAAATTACTAATGAGATCTGGGAGTGGAATGGGTCAAGATGTAAAGGTTTTAATAACGACTGGTGACTCACTATTGCACTGGCTAACTCAGCTGCAGTTTTTCTGGCATACTCCATAGCATCCTTGTTCAAAAAGTCCTGAAATAACACGGAGATTCATATCAGAGCTTGCAATGATTTCATCCTTCGAAAGATAAAGTGATCATATTTGCTCAGATAAAATTAACCGTACTAGTTACATGTAACTCGCAGTCTGTAAAAAAAGTAAAAGCCATTTCATTGCTCTTGGACGAGGCACACTAAATATCAGTACAATGAATAGCATTTTATCAAAATTGAAGGCCGAAAAATTTCCATGAAAATATACAACAAAAAATCCTAGAGCTTTACTAACTTCAATCTCTGCAACTGTAAGGAATCACAAATGCTAATCAAATTGACGTTAATAAAGTTAACTGACCAAGAGCTTCATCACAAATTTGTTTAGGAAGATGACACGGACACAACCGATTGCCATCTCGAATTTCAGATCTACAGCTTCCATGTCTCTAAACTTGATGCCGGCAGTTGCATTATTGTGTGCAATAACCTAAGAACATGAGGTATGGACCAACATTAGATAGTTTTACTCTTATCTTAAGTTAATAACAGCACTGGTTATAAAAGCAATGATGATCATGAAAGAACCCTCATACATTGATTGTCATACATCCAAAATCAAAGTTACCACAATTAATGGCCAATCAGAACAGAGCAAAATATTACTACGAGCCAATGAGAACTCAGCAAAAACAAGCAAACTGCTACAGGCGCCAAAAAACTAAACGCGAGTATTCAGGTTGCGAGTGGTTAATCACTTTCCACGAGATTGGTTAAAGAATTGGCGTGAGGTTTCTTTATCAGTCTTAGGGGACACTTAGAGGAAATTTACACTGGTGGCAGTACACAAGGCGCAGAACAGAATTCAAACTAAATTGGTATATGACCTTCTGACATTGTTGTCACTCAGTTCCAAGTCTGAAATAAACATTCCTCGTTTTACACACCTGAAGGCTAAACAACTCCTCGTCCACGATGGATACTATCTTCGGATATGCCACCTCAGGAGTAGAATCCAAAACTGACAAAGTTTTCATACTGAAATTAAACAAAGACTCTTAGAAGGCTTTTCGATTGGGTGTCGTAAAACCAAAACCAAAACCAAAGCAACCACAACAGCCAATCATAGCCAGAAATATCGCAAGGAGCCGATGAAAACTCGAAGTGAAAGCAAGCAAGCCGCCTAAGGCGCGGACAACACGCGAGTGACCAGGTCGCAACTAGTTTTAGTTTTGAATCTGATTGGTTGAGGGAGTGGCGCGAGTTTCTGGACCAATCACATAACGAAATAAAGCGAAACCAAAGCAATCCTGGATTACTTTCGACACTCAATTGGAAATCAAACGATAATTTGGAAGGTTTGAGTGATTTTGATCACGATCATAGGAACAGGGAAATTGACTAAGACAACTCAGTCATACATACCTGGCCGTAACGTCTGTTCTGCTGTCTCTAACAACACAGCCAGCGGATAACTCTTTGTGTAAAGAAAAATATTGAACTGGTCAAACATTAAGTACATAAAGTAAACTCAAGACTGGCTGACAAGATTACGTTTAATATCAATTGTTTGACGGATTAAAACTACCACAATTTCTCATTTGCTTCCTTCAAAAAAGTATTGAACAAAAGCCCAACATATCGTATCATACCTTGCAGTGCAGCGTCCTATTACCCGACTGCCCATGTTCGATTTAGGGTTAGAGTGGACGGAGGGGGGAGGGGGAGGGAAAGGTGTAACTTTTATTGCCCTACCCTCTCCCCTCTAAAAATACTGAAATGACAATGGGGAATTTGCAACATCTCATTTAAGCATCACGAAATTATGGTAGTTGAGCCGACTCAAACGCAAACAACCCTTAGCTTTCTGCAACACTGTATTAAAAGACAACTAAATAATCCCTCACCTCCAATAAATACATGCATCAAATCACCCTCGACAGATGTCACTGTAACACCGATTCCTCCCAGCTTAGCAGTCACCTCAATCTGTATTTCATCTTTACCAACTTTTTTCTTTTTGCCTTTTGGCGCAACTAGCTCAGACGTTTTATTTTTATCTTGGCCTTTCGTTTTTGTACTGTCAGCAGACACAAGTAGCAAAGCTGGAGTCTCTTCACTGACAAAAGAGAAAAACGCTCCTTCAATTGACGATTGGTGGAAAGAGAGTTGTCACAAAGAGATATAGATATGTTTATCAGAATAATGCTTTGCAGTTGAAAAGCTCAATTGCGTGTATACAAAAGGGGTGTGATAAATAGATAGATAAACATTAAATACGTTATTTACAGAAAATTATATAAAATCTGTGTGCATGTAATCTATACAATCTATAAATATATACATAAATACATTCAATAAAAAAAATACATTATATCTGTAAGTCATTCTGTTGTAAATGCACATTACTATTTACGTGTCAGGATTGGATATAAACTTCAATCGAAGACGGTATAAAGGTGTTCAAGAAAAAAACGACTGATAATTTTCCTTACATGATGAATACATTTTTTTCGGCTTTATAGGTTACAGTAACTTCCATTTTTTGATAGGTATGGGGCATCGCTACGCGCGCTGCGAGCTCCGCTCTCAGTTAACACATTATGGGTTATTTGAACTGCCTGTTTCCAAAAGCCAAACATCTCCTTTAATTACAAATGTCTCTACGTAAGAGGATGCGAAAGGCTTCAGGCCGAAACAGAGTAGGCCTGAACTGTTGTTAAGCTACATGAAAATTACAGCACCTAGGTGGAAGCATTTTGGTTGAAACATCGATGATGTTGAGCAGAGCTTCTTGATGCAGTTTTACGTGCAGTGAAGAAAATTCCACAGTAACAGACTGCTTAGTGGACTTGAATGTTGAGCTGTACTCTGGGTGGTCTGATTCCACCTAAAATTGACATCAAAAGCAGTAAGTAAACCTTTACACACTAACAACAACATACATATTCTCCACACTGATCTCTATACATTTCCTGAGACGCTGACAAGGAGAATTTGTTCAACAATCAAGAGCCTGTGACCTTACAATCCGATTCTGGGGTGGTACTGAAGGGGGAAATTTGACGCTACTCTTTCATTAGGGTTCAAGGTTTAATACTTCAATTATAAACAGATATGGTGCTGCAGATGTAGACCTCTACACCCGGAAAGCACGAAACTGATATCCAGAAACAATAACTCTCCTGTCAATTATTTAACTACTCCAAAGACAGAAAAAAAACTTGTTTCTACCATCTGCATGCTGACGAGGAAAATACAGAGTATCGTTCCTATAAATTTGAAAACAAAAACATCCTCAAATTACCAAAACACTGATTGCCTCTGGCTCAGGATAACATGCTATTTTTCCCTTTCTACTTAAGCATGTATAACAGTATTTCCCAATTATAAAGATTAGTAATTTAACTAATTCCAAGATTAACCGTACTCCCTTCTACGACCTCAAATGAATCTGTGAAATGCCATGAATTTCCAGGCTTCCTATGACTTATCAAAAGCCCACATCATTAGAGACCCAGTAAGCATTGCGCGCCACTGTTTTCGCAATGCTTTTCACGGGAGCGAGGCTTGTATTTTTTTGCCGAAGCTTGTCCCATAATCAACATCGAGTTAATGGCCGCCCATGGCCAACGCTGCGCGTAATGCATATTGCTCAAAACTGGGTCTTTAATAAACGCACTACACATCACAACATAGGGTATTTTACCATAACAAATTTAACTGAGAGCAGCTCTTCCCCAGCAGGCGTCTGCACAAGATAAAGAGGACCTCCTCCAGTTCCATGAATCATCTCCGCTATGGTAAGAGAAGACAAGGAAGCACTCGCTGAGAGATCCCAAGGATGCATGACAACATCGGTACCCAGGCCTTTAACATGCAGCGCAAGAAAAGGCGTCAATTTCCCTCCATTATCCACAGTTCTAAAGTCAACGAATATCTATAACACAACATAAAAAGTTCAAGATCAGTTGCTTTAATTGGGGGCTGTTATCCTAAAGGAGGACAAAATCCAACAGTTCTCATTCAAATTCGACTTAGAATCGGCAGACGAATAACTTTTCCATGGCTCTGTTACTAATGGATAAATCAATAACCATCAAGAGCGCTTTTTCGTTGGGCGAGGCAAGACACATATCCCAAGATAAAAATAAAAATTTCAGTTGAAAACAAGTAAACTGTTTGAAGCGCGGGAACACATGCGTAACAAGACGTGGTTGATTTTAGTTTTGAAACTGATTCGTTGAGTTTTCTAGACAGTTCACAGAACGAAGTGAAACAAGCCCTAACAATCTTGTATTACTCTCGACACATTCAAAAACTTATCTCGTAATTTTCCTTCTGCTGTAAACTTTTAAAAAATTCAGACCCATAAGAAGATCACTCCGATGAAAAATACTCAAACACACCTCTTCTATTTCAAACTTGAGCGAAACTTTAACTTGTTTCGCCATAGCCTCTTTCTCCTCTCCCTTAGCTCGTTGAAGGTTGGATTCTCTACGGGAAAAAAGAAGGAATATATTATATCTGAAAAATACTGTAATAACAATTCCTGATCGGCCAAATTTCAAAATCATAAATTAAGGGCTAGCCGGACTTCCGCAGAACACATTCGGAAATGAAACATAAGAGAGCTTGAGGGGTTTACACCCAAAGTCTTCTGGTGTTATCTATTTTTCTATGCCGTATTTTTAACAATCACATTTAGGCTCTTGAGGAAAAATCTTTCAGAAACCCTTTTTTCCCCCTTAGCCAACCGAAAAACAAGTCTAGAAAACGAAACAATACCCGGTTGTAGTTTCAAATGGTATCTGGCACATTTCATCCATTTCCTCAGCTTCATCATCCTCTTCTCCTGTACCACTTCTCAAAACACCCAAATGTGTTACGTCTGCGCGAGATGTGACTCCTTCACTGAGATTCTTCAACAAGATCCCTAGTATAGTTCTTATTTCATCTTCACCAGCGCGTAACTGTACAGAGACAGAACTCACACAGCTGGTATAACAAGTGACATGTAAATATCTGGTAAAAGTCTGAAGTAATACCTGAACTCTAATTTTTGACGAGGCTAATTGTAATTTAGACAAAGTTAGAACGAAGAAGATTCACACCAATCTGCTTCTAGGAAGATTCTGTTTCCTTGCTCCCAACTTCCTCTTCCCTCCCTATTTCCCTCACACGGCAGTTAGTCGATGTTATGTTTAAATTTGCGTTGACTTACGCTAACTAACCGCACGTACCCTCCGAAAAAAAACATTTTATCTTGAATTTCTGGTCATGAGAAATATGGGCAGCCACACTGTACTTTGATTTTCTTCCCGCAATAAGCCTCAACTAAAATCGCAATCTAATTACCTTAATGAAAAAAAACATTTTCTTTTGGAACATGGCGAGTTATCTAGCGGTCCAAGTTGATTTATTCAAAAGGCCACCATATGACTGAAGGGATGTCTACCGAGTTAAGGAATGTATACCGAGATTGAAATTATTCAGTGATGTGAACAAATCATTTGCAAACAGAATGGTTTACTTTTCGTAGTACGAAAAGTAAACCATTCTGTTTTGAATTTGTTCAATTGTTTATTCCCCTTTCAAGTGCTGTTCGTCAATAAACTAACCTTAACCACACGAAGCTTTCCTTTCACATCGATATCAGGCACATCACGATACCAAGGAGACAAGTTTCGAGCCACATGAACCGTCACATTCGCTGGTTCAAGGACCAGTTGGGTGGGTCCTACGGTTTCCCCATCGGTCATCACAGCTCTTATTGTACAAAGGAAAACGATTTTTTTATCAGACACGAGTGTGGAACACATTTTTAACCTCTTCGCCTTCACCTAGCAGCGAACTTTCCGTTTATTTTTGGAGTTCTTTTTTCCGAGTATGCCTGTGCCATTCACTGCATAACATCATCTTTCACCAAGCTTAAAATTTACCATCCTCAGTTATATCATCGTGCAAAAGTATCTCATATCGATTGCAAGGAATTTGTTACCATGGATTTCCACGAGTCTCCTACAGCTCAACCTGAATGGCAGAGTATCTCAAGTACTAATCGGAAGGTCGTATGTTCGACTCCTTTCGGGAGCACTTGGAATTCATTTTCGAAATGAAAAAAAAGCCACTAAGTCAACCGTGTTTCAAAAGCACTGGAATAAATGATGAATTCTATACCTCAACAGTTTTACAGAACTAAGTTCCACCACCATGTTGTCAATAACAACAGTATCACTTCCTTCAGGATCCTTCCCATTATGTGCAAGGTTGAAGGTGTTTGACACATTAAGTTGACCAAGATTTGCAACAATTGCATCGCGAGACGTCGAACTCACAGGGATGATAACCAGAGGTGCTTGGATAGAAACGTTCATGCTTATTCTTGAGCTCTGGATTTGCAAACTCTGAATCTAAAAGTCAGAAAAACACATATTTGTACCTAATCAAGGGCGTCAATCACACAGCTTGTTATGACGGCGTCACCCTTCATTTACTAACAGTGAATACTGCTGTTTACCCTTTACTCCCGTGAATGAACAAGATAGAGTTTCTCCTCACAAATCAGTACAATATCAAGCAGACAAGTGGTGAGAATAAAGAAAAATATCAATTAGGGGTATTATTACTTGATCTAACACCAAAATCTCTCAAACAACATCATAAGAATTGCATAGCGCACAGTAAGGACAATTACTAATGAGATCTGGGTGTGGAATGGGTCAAGATGTAAAGGTTTTAATAACGGCTAGTGACTCACTGTTGCACTGGCTGACTCAGCTGCAGTTTTTCTGTTATACTCCATAGCATCCTCTGCCCGCTGAAACTTGTTCAAAAAGTCCTGAAAAATACAGAGATTTCTATCTGAGCTTGCAATCTTCTCATCCTCCGAAAGATGAAGTAATCATATTTACTCAGGCAAAATTAGCCGTAATAGTTACATGTGACTCCCACTCAGTAAAAAAAAAATAAATGCCATTTCATTGCTCTTGGCCGAGGCGCACTAACAATCAGCACAATGAATAGCATTTCATTCAAATGAAAGGCCGAAAATTTCCAAAAATATATACAACACAAAATACTAAAGTTCTACTAACTTCAATTTCAGTCACTGTAAAGAGTTACAAATGCTAAATATATTGACGCTAATAAAGTTAACTGACCAGCAGCTTCATCACAAATTTGTTTAGGAAGATGACACGGATACAACCGATTGCCATCTCGAATTTCAGATCTACAGCTTCCATGTCTCTTGACTTGATGCCGGCAGTTGCACCATTGTGTGCAATAACCTAAGAACATGAGGCATGGACTAAAATTAGAAAGTTTTACTCATAACTCAAGTTAATAACAGCACTGGTTAAAACAGCAATGATGATCATGAAAGAACCCTTATACATTGATTGTTGTACAACCAAAATCAAAGTTATCTCAATTAATGGCCAATTAGAACAGAGCAAAATATTACTACGAGCCAATGAGAACTCAGAGCAAAAACAAGCAAACTGCCAGAGGCGCAAGGAAATGTTATCAGTAATCAGGTTGAGAGTGGTTAATCATTTCACATGAGATTGGTTACAGAATTTGTGTGAGGTTTCTTTACCAGTCCTAGAGGACACTTGGAGGAAATATTCTCTGGTGGCAGTACGAAAGGTGCAGAACAACACTCAAACTGAAAGGTGCAGAACAACACTCAAACTAAATTGATATATGACCTTGTTGTCAATCAGTTCCAAGTCTAAAATAAACACTCCTCATTTTACGCACCTGAAGGCTAAACACCTCCTCGTTCACGATGGATACTATCTTCGGATATATCGCCCCAGGTGTAGAATCCATCACTGACAAAGTTTTCATACTGAAATAGAACAAAGACACTTAGAGGGCTTTTCGATTGAGTGTCGTAAAGCCAAAACAGCCAATCATAGCCAGGAAAATATCACAAGGAGCCGACAAGAACTCGAAGTGAAAACAAGCAAGCCGCCTAAGGCGCGGGAAAAAACCGAGTTACAAGGTCGCAACTGGTTTTAGTTTTGAGTCTGATTGGTTGAGGAAATGGCGCGAGTTTCTGGACCAATCATATAACGAAATAAAGCGAAACCAAAGCAATCCTGGATAAATTTTGACACGTACTCAATTGGAAATTTCTCTAACAAACTATAATTTTTTAGATCAGGAAAGTTTGAGTGATTTTGATCACGATAATGGGAACAGGGAAATTGACTAAGACAATTAAGTCATACATACCTGGCCGTAACGTCTGTTCTGCTGTCTCTAACAACACAGCCAGCGGATAACTCTTTATGTGAAGAAAAAATAGAACTCATGAAACATAAAGTACATAATGTAGACTCAAGAGTGGCTGAAAATATTACGTTTAATACCAATTCTTTGCGGATTAAAACTACCACAACTGCTCATTTGCTTCCTTCAAAAAAGTATGGAACAGAAGCGCAACATATGGCATCACAGCTTGCAGTGTAACGTCCTATTAGCCGACTGGCTATGTTCAATTCAGAGTTAGAGTGGACGGAGGGGAGAGGGGGCGGGAAAGGTGTAACTTTTATTGCCCTACCCTCTCCCCTCAAAAAATATTGAAATAACGATGGGGAATTTGCAACATCTCATTTAAGCATCACGAAATTATGGTGGTTGAGCCGACTCAAATGCAAACAACCCTTAGCTTTCTGCAACACTGTATTAAAAGACAAGTAAAAAACTCCTCACCTCCAATAATTACATGCGTCAAATCACCCTCAACAGATGTCACTGTAACATCGATTCCTCCCAGCTTAGCAGTCACCTCAATCTGTATTTCATCTTTACCATCTTTCTTCTCTTTGCCTTTTGGCCCAACTAGCTTAGACGTTTTATTTTCATCTTGACCTTTCGTTTTTGTACTGTCAGCAGACACAAGTGGCAGAGCTGGAGTCTCTTCACTGGCAAAAGAGAAAAAAAAGGTTCCTTCAACTGACGATTGGTGGAAAGAGAGTTGTCGCATAAAGATATAGATATGTTTAACAGAATAATGCTTTGCAGCTGAAAAGCTGAATTCGTGTATACAAAAGGGGTGTGAGAAATAGATAGATAAACATTAAAAACGTCACTTACAGAAAATAATATAAAATCTGTGCACATGTAATCTATATAATCTATAAATATATACATATGTACATTCAATAAAAAATACATTATATCTGTCATTCTGTTGTAAATGCACATAATAATTTACGTGTCAGGATTGGATTTAAACTCCAACCAAAGACGGTATAAAGGTGTTCGAGAAAAAAACGACTGATATTTTTCTTAAATGATGAATAAATTTTTTTCGGCTTTATAGGTTACATCAACTTCCACTTTTTGATAGGTATAGGGCATCGCTACGCGCGCTGCGAGCTCCGCTCTCAGTTACCAAATCATGAATTATTTGAACTGCCTGTTTCCAAAAGCCAAACGTCTCGTTTAAATACAAATGTCTCCACATAAGAGGATGCGAAAGGCTTCAGGCCAAAGCCTGAACTGTTATTAAGCTACAATAAAATTACAGCACCTAGGTGGAAGCATTTTGGTTAAAACATCGATGGTGTTGAGCAGAGCTTCTTGATGCAGTGTTACTTGCAGTGAAGAAAATTCCACAGTAACAGACTGCTTAGTGGACTTGAATGTTGAGCTGTACTCTGGGTGGTCTGATTCCACCTAAAATTGACATCAAAAGCAGTAAGTAAACCTTTACAAACTAACAGCAGCATAAATATTCTCCACACTGATCTCTATACATTTCCTGAGACGCTGACAAGGAGAATTTGTTCAACAATCAAGAGCCTGTGACCTTACAATACGATTCTGGGGTGATACTGAAGGTAGAAATTTGACGCTACTCTTTCTTTAGGGTTCAAGGTTTAATACTTCAATTATAAATAGATAAAGTGCTGCAGATGTAGACCTCTACACCCGGAAAGCACGAAACTGATATCCAGAAACAATAACTCTCCTGTCAATTATTTAACTACTCCAAAGTCAGAAAAAAAACTTGTTTCTACCATCTGCATGCTGATGAGGAAAATACAGAGTATCGTTCCTATAAATTTGAAAACAAAAACATCCTCAAATTACCAAAACACTGAATGCCTCTGGCTCAGGATAACATGCTACTTTTCCCTTTATACTTAAGTATGTATAACAGTATTTCCCAATTATAAAGATTAGTGATTTAACTAATTCCAAGATTAACCGTACTCCCTTCTACCACCTCCAATGAATCTGTGAAATGCCATGAATTTTCAGGCTTCCTATGACTTATCAAAAGCCCACATCATTAGAGACCCAGTAAGCATTGCGCGCCACTGTTTTCGCAATGCTTTTCACGGGAGCGAGGCTTGTATTTTTTTGCCGAAGCTTGTCCCATAATCAACATCGAGTTGATGGCCGCAAATGGCCAACGCTGCGCGTAATGCATACTGCTCAAACCTGGGTCTTTAATAAACGCACTACTCCTCACAACATAGGGTATTTTACCATAACAAATTTAACTGAGAGCAGCTCTTCCCCAGCAGGCGTCTGCACAAGATAAAGAGGACCTCCTCCAGTTCCATGAATCATCTCCGCTATGGTCAGGGAAGACAAGGAAGCACTCGCTGAGAGATCCCAAGGATGCATGACAAAATCGGTACCCAGGCCTTTCACATGCAGCACAAGACAAGGTGTCAATTTCCCTCCACTATCCACAGTGCTAAAATCAACGAATATCTATAACACAACATAAAAAGTTCAAGATCAGTTGGTTTAATTGGGGGCTGTTGTCCTAAAGGGGGACAAAATCCAACAGTCCTCATTCAAATTCGACTTAGGATCGGCAGACGAATAACTTCTCCATGGCTCTGTTACCAATAGATATATCAAAAACCATCAAGAGCGCTTTTTGGTTGGGCGAGGCAAGACACATATCTCAAGATAAAAATAAAAATTTCAGTTGAAATAAGTAAAGTGTTTGAAGCGCGGGAAAACATGCGTAACAAGACGTGGTTGATTTTAGTTTTGAAACTGATTCGTTGAGTTTTCTAGACAGTTCACAGAACGAAGTGAAACAAGCCCTAACAATCCTGTATTACCCTCGACACATTCAAAAGTTGCTCTCGTAATTTTCCTTCTGTTGTAAACTTTTAAAACCATCAGACCCATAAGAAGATCACTCCAATGAAAAATACTCAAACACACCTCTTCTATTTCAAAGTTAAGCGAAACTTTAACTTGTTTCGCCATAGCCTCTTTTTCCTCTCTCTTAGCTCGTTGAAGGTTGGATTCTCTACGGGAAAAAAAGAAGGAATATATTATGTATAAAAAATAATGTAATAACAATTCCTGATCGGCCAAATTTCAAAATCATAAATTAAGGGGTAGCCGGACTTCCGTAAAACATATTCGGAAATGAAACATAAGAGAGCTTGAGGGGTTTACACCCAAAGTCTTCTAGTGTTATCTATTTCTCTATGCCGTGTTTTTTAACCATCACGTTTGGGCTCTTGAGGAAAAATCTTTCAGAAACCCCTTTTTTTTCCTTTAGCCAACCGAAATACAAGTCTAGGAAACGAAAAGTACCCGGTTGTAGTTTCAGGTGATATCTGGCACATTTCATCCATTTCCTCAGCTTCATCATCCTCTTCTCCTGTACCACTTCTCAAAACACCCAAATGTGTTACGTCTGCGCGAGATGTGACTCCTTCACTGAGATTCTTCAACAAGATCCCTAGTATAGTTCTTATTTCATCTTCACCAGCGCGTAACTGTACAGAGACAGAACTCACACAGCTGGTATTACAAGTGACATGTAAATATCTGGTAAAAGTCTGTAGTAATACCTGAACTCTAATTTTTGACGAGGCTAATTGTAATTTAGACAAAGTTAGAACGAAGAAGATTCACACCAATCTGCTTCTAGGAAGATTCTGTTTCCTTGCTCCCAACCTCCTCTTCCCTCGTATTCCCTCACACGGCAGTTAGTCGATGTTATGTTTAAATTTGCGTTGACTTACGCTAACTAACCGCACGTACCCTCCGAAAAAAAACATTTTATCTTGAATTTCTGGTCATGAGAAATATGGGCAGCCACACTGTACTTTGATTTTCTTCCCGCAATAAGCCTCAACTAAAATCGCAATCTAATTACCTTAATGAAAAAAAACATTTTCTTTTGGAACATGGCGAGTTATCTAGCGGTCCAAGTTGATTTATTCAAAAGGCCACCATATGACTGAAGGGATGTCTACCGAGTTAAGGAATGTATACCGAGATTGAAATTATTCAGTGATGTGAACAAATCATTTGCAAACAGAATGGTTTACTTTTCGTAGTACGAAAAGTAAACCATTCTGTTTTGAATTTGTTCAATTGTTTATTCCCCTTTCAAGTGCTGTTCGTCAATAAACTAACCTTAACCACATGAAGCTTTCCTTTCACATCGATATCAGGCACATCACGATACCAAGGAGACAAGTTTCGAGCCACATGAACCGTCACATTCGCTGGTTCAAGGACCAGTTGGGTGGGTCCTATGGTTTCCCCATCGGTCATCACAGCTCTTATTGTACAAAGGAAAACGATTTTTTTCATCAGACACGAGTGTGGAACACATTTTTAACCTCTTCGCCTTCACCTAGCAGCGAACTTTCCGTTTATTTTTGGAGTTCTTTTTTCCGAGTATGCCTGTGCCATTCACTGCATAACATCATCTTTCACCAGGCTTAAAATTTACCATCCTCAGTTATATCATCGTGCAAAAGTATCTCATATCGATTGCAAGGAATTTGTTACCATGGATTTCCACGAGTCTCCTACAGCTCAACCTGAATGGCAGAGTATCTCAAGTACTAATCGGAAGGTCGTATGTTCGACTCCTTTCGGGAGCACTTGGAATTCATTTTCGAAATGAAAAAAAAGCCACTAAGTCAACCTGTTTCAAAAGCACTGGAATAAATGATGAATTCTATACCTCAACAGTTTTACAGAACTAAGTTCCACCACCATGTTGTCAATAACAACAGTATCACTTCCTTCAGGATCCTTCCCATTATGTGCAAGGTTGAAGGTGTTTGACACATTAAGTTGACCAAGATTTGCAACAATTGCATCGCGAGACGTCGAACTCACAGGGATGATAACCAGAGGTGCTTGGATAGAAACGTTCATGCTTATTCTTGAGCTCTGGATTTGCAAACTCTGAATCTAAAAGTCAGAAAAACACATATTTATACCTAATCAAGGGCGTCAATCACACAGCTTGTTATGACGGCGTCACCCTTCAGTTACTAACAGTGAATACTGCTGTAAACCCTTTACTCCCGTGAATGAACAAGATAGAGTTTCTCCTCACAAATCAGTACAATATCAAGCAGACAAGTGGTGAGAATAAATAAAAATATCAATTAGGGGTATTATTACTTGATCTAACATCAAAATCTCTCAAACAACATCATAAGAATTGCATAGCACACAGTAAGGACAATTACTAATGAGATCTGGGTGTGGAATGGGTCAAGATGTAAAGGTTTTAATAACGGCTAGTGACTCACTGTTGCACTGGCTGACTCAGCTGCAGTTTTTCTGGTATACTCCATAGCATCCTCTGCCCGCTGAAACTTGTTCCAAAAGTCCTGAAAAATACAGAGATTCACATCTGAGCTTGCAATCATCTCATCCTCCGAAAGATGAAGTAATCATATTTACTCAAGCAAAATTAGCCGTAATAGTTACATGTGACTCCCACTCAGTAAAAAAAATAATAAATGCCATTTCATTGCTCTTAGCCGAGGCGCACTAACAATCGGCACAATGAATAGCATTTCATTCAAATGAAAGGCCGAAAATTTCCAAAAAAATATACAACACAAAATACTAAAGTTCTACTAACTTCAATTTCAGTCACTGTAAAGAGTTACAAATGCTAAATATATTGACGCTAATAAAGTTAACTGACCAGCAGCTTCATCACAAATTTGTTTAGGAAGATGACACGGATACAACCGATTGCCATCTCGAATTTCAGATCTACAGCTTCCATGTCTCTTGACTTGATTCTGGCAGTTGCACCATTGTGTGCAATAACCTAAGAACATGAGGCATGGACTAAAATTAGAAAGTTTTACTCATAACTCAAGTTAATAACAGCACTGGTTAAAACAGCAATGATGATCATGAAAGAACCCTTATACATTGATTGTTGTACAACCAAAATCAAAGTTATCTCAATTAATGGCCAATTAGAACAGAGCAAAATATTACTACGAGCCAATGAGAACTCAGAGCAAAAACAAGCAAACTGCCACAGACGCAAGGAAATGTTATCAGTAATCAGGTTGAGAGTGGTTAATCATTTCACATGAGATTGGTTACAGAATTTGTGTGAGGTTTCTTTACCAGTCCTAGAGGACACTTGGAGGAAATATTCTCTGGTGGCAGTATGAAAGGTGCAGAACAACACTCAAACTGAAAGGTGCAGAACAACACTCAAACTAAATTGATATATGACCTTGTTGTCAATCAGTTCCAAGTCTAAAATAAACACTCCTCATTTTACGCACCTGAAGGCTAAACACCTCCTCGTTCACGATGGATACTATCTTCGGATATATCGCCCCAGGTGTAGAATCCATCACTGACAAAGTTTTCATACTGAAATGGAACAAAGACACTTAGAGGGCTTTTCGATTGAGTGTCGTAAAACCAAACCCAAAGCATCCACAACAGCCAATCATAGCCAGGAAAATATCACAAGGAGCCGACAAGAACTCGAAGTGAAAACAAGCAAGCCGCCTAAGGCGCGGGAAAAAACGGAGTTACAAGGTTGTAACTGGTTTTAGTTTTGAGTCTGATTGGTTGAGGAAATGGCGCGAGTTTCTGGACCAATCATATAACGAAATAAAGCGAAACCAAAGCAATCCTGGATAAATTTTGACACGTACTCAATTGGAAATTTCTTTAACAAACTATAATTTTTTAGATCAGGAAAGTTTGAGTGATTTTGATCACGATAATGGGAACAGGGAAATTGACTGAGACAATTAAGTCATACATACCTGGCCGTAACGTCTGTTCTGCTGTCTCTAACAACACAGCCAGCGGATAACTCTTTGTGTGAAGAAAATATTGAACTCATGAAACATAAAGTACATAATGTAGAACAAAGAGTGGCTGAAAATATTACGTTTAATACCAATTCTTTGACGGATTAAAACTACCACAATTGCTCATTTGCTTCCTTCAAAAGAGTATGGAACAGAAGCGTAACATATGGCATCATAGCTTGCAGTGTAGCGTCCTATTCGCCGACTGGCTATGTTCAATTCAGAGTTGGAGTGGACGGAGGGGAGAGGGGGCGGGAAAGGTGTAACTTTTATTGCCCTACTCTCTCCCCTCTAAAAATAGTGAAATGACAACGGGGAATTTGCAACATCTCATTTAAGCATCACGAAATTATGGTGGTTGAGCCGACTCAAATGCAAACAACCCTTAGCTTTCTGTAACACTGTATTAAAAGACAAGTAAAAAACTCCTCACCTCCAATAATTACATGCGTCAAATCACCCTCAACAGATGTCACTGTAACATCGATTCCTCCCAGCTTAGCAGTCACTTCAATCTGTATTCCATCTTTACCATCTTTCTTCTCTTTGCCTTTTGGTGCAACTAGCTTAGACGTTTTATTTTCATCTTGACCTTTCGTTTTTGTACTGTCAGCAGGCACAAGTGGCAGAGCTGATGTCCCTTCACTGGCAAAAGAGAAAAAAAAGATTCTTTCAACTGACGATTGGTGGAAAGAGAGTTGTCGCATGTTTAACAGAATAATGCTTTGCAGCTGAAAAGCTGAATTCGTGTATACAAAAGGGGTGTGAGAAATAGATAGATAAACATTAAAAACGTCATTTACAGAAAACAATATAAAATCTGTGCACATGTAATCTATACAATCTATACATATATACATATGTACATTCAATGAAAACTACATTATATCTGTAATTCTGTGTAAATGCACATTACAATTTACGTGTCAGGATTGGATTTAAACTCCAACCAAAGACGGTATAAAGGTGTTCGAGAAAAAAACGACTGATATTTTTCTTAAATGATGAATAAATTTTTTTCGGCTTCATAGGTTACATCAACTTCCACTTTTTGATAGGTATAGGGCATCGCTACGCGCGCTGCGAGCTCCGCTCTCAGTTACCAAATCATGAATTATTTGAACTGCCTGTTTCCAAAAGCCAAACATCTCCGTTAATTACAAATGTCTCCACGTAAGAGGATGCGAAAGGCTTCAGGCCAAAACAGAGTAGGCCTGAACTGTTGTTAAGCTACATTAAAATTACAGCACCTAGGTGGAAGCATTTTGGTTGAAACATCGATGATGTTGAGCAGAGCTTCTTGATGCAGTGTTACTTGCAGTGAAGAAAATTCCACAGTAACAGACTGCTTAGTGGACTTGAATGTTGAGCTGTACTCTGGGTGGTCTGATTCCACCTAAAATTGACATCAAAAGCAGTAAGTAAACCTTTACAAACTAACAACAACATACATATTCTCCACACTGATCTCTATACATTTCCTCAGACCCTGACAAGGAGAATTTGTTCAGCAATCAAGAGCCTGTGACCTCACAATACGATTCTGGGGTGGTACTGAAGGGGGAAATTTGACGCTACTCTTTCATTAGGGTTCAAGGTTTAATACTTCAATTATAAACAGATATGGTGCTGCAGATGTAGACCTCTACACCCGGAAAGCACGAAACTGATATCCAGAAACAATAACTCTCCTGTCAATTATTTAACTACTCCAAAGACAAAGAAAAAAAACTTGTTTCTCGAATCTGCATGCTGATGAGGAAAATACAGAGTATCGTTCCTATAAATTTGAAAACAAAAACATCCTCAAAGTACCAAAACACTGAATGCCTCTGGCTCAGGATAACATGCTATTTTTCCCTTTCTACTTAAGCATGTATAACAGTATTTCCCAATTATAAAGATTAGTAATTTTACCAATTCCAAGATTAACCGTACTCCCTTCTACGACCTCAAATGAATCTGTGAAATGCCATGAATTTCCAGGCTTCCTATGACTTATCAAAAGCCCACATCATTAGAGACCCAGTAAGCATTGCGCGCCACTGTTTTCGCAATGCTTTTCACGGGAGCGAGGCTTGTATTTTTTTGCCGAAGCTTGTCCCATAATCAACATCGAGTTGATGGCCGCAAATGGCCAACGCTGCGCGTAATACATACTGCTCAAACCTGGGTCTTTAATAAACGCACTACTCCTCACAACATAGGGTATTTTACCATAACAAATTTAACTGAGAGCAGCTCTTCCCCAGCAGGCGTCTGCACAAGATAAAGAGGACCTCCTCCAGTTCCATGAATCATCTCCGCTATGGTCAGGGAAGACAAGGAAGCACTCGCTGAGAGATCCCAAGGATGCATGACAAAATCGGTACCCAGGCCTTTCACATGCAGCACAAGACAAGGTGTCAATTTCCTCCACTATCCACAGTGCTAAAATCAACGAATATCTATAACACAACATAAAAAAAAGTTCAAGATCAGTTGGTTTAATTGGGGGCTGTTGTCCTAAAGGGGGACAAAATCCAACAGTCCTCATTCAAATTCGACTTAGAATCGGCAGACGAATAACTTCTCCATGGCTCTGTTACCAATAGATATATCAATAACCATCAAGAGCGCTTTTTGGTTGGGCGAGGCAAGACACATATCTCAAGATAAAAATAAAAATTTCAGTTGAAATAAGTAAAGTGTTTGAAGCGCGGGAAAACATGCGTAACAAGACGTGGTTGATTTTAGTTTTGAAACTGATTCGTTGAGTTTTCTAGACAGTTCACAGAACGAAGTGAAACAAGCCCTAACAATCCTGTTTTACTCTCGACACATTCAAAAGTTGCTCTCGTAATTTTCCTTCTGTTGTAAACTTTTAAAACCATCAGACCCATAAGAAGATCACTCCAATGAAAAATACTCAAACACACCTCTTCTATTTCAAAGTTAAGCGAAACTTTAACTTGTTTCGCCATAGCCTCTTTTTCCTCTCTCTTAGCTCGTTGAAGGTTGGATTCTCTACGGGAAAAAAAGAAGGAATATATTATGTATAAAAAATAATGTAATAACAATTCCTGATCGGCCAGATTTCAAAATCATAAATTAAGGGGTAGCCGGACTTCCGTAAAACACATTCGGAAATGAAACATAAGAGAGCTTTAGGGGTTTACACCCAAAGTCTTCCAGTGTTATCTATTTCTCTATGCCGTGTTTTTAACCATCACGTTTGGGCTCTTGAGGAAAAATCTTTCAGAAACCCCTTTTTCCCCTTTAGCCAACCGAAATACAAGTCTAGGAAACGAAAAGTACCCGGTTGTAGTTTCAGGTGATATCTGGCACATTTCATCCATTTTCTCAGCTTCATCATCCTCTTCTCCTGTACCACTTCTCAAAACACCCAAATGTGTTACGTCTGCGCGAGATGTGACTCCTTCACTGAGATTCTTCAACAAGATCCCTAGTATAGTTCTTATTTCATCTTCACCAGCGCGTAACTGTACAGAGACAGAACTCACACAGCTGGTATTACAAGTGACATGTAAATATCTGGTAAAAGTCTGTAGTAATACCTGAACTCTAATTTTTGACGAGGCTAATTGTAATTTAGACAAAGTTAGAACGAAGAAGATTCACACCAATCTGCTTCTAGGAAGATTCTGTTTCCTTGCTCCCAATCTCCTCTTCCCTCGTATTCCCTCACAAGGCAGTTAGTCGATGTTATGTTTAAATTTGCGTTGACTTACGCTAACTAACGCACGTACCCTCCGAAAAAAAACATTTTATCTTGAATTTCTGGTCATGAGAAATATGGGCAGCCACACTGTACTTTGATTTTCTTCCCGCAATAGGCCTCAACTAAAATCGCAATCTAATTACCTTAATGAAAAAAAAACATTTTCTTTTGGAACATGGCGAGTTATCTAGCGGTCCAAGTTGATTTATTCAAAACGCCACCATATGACTGAAGGGATGTCTACCGAGTTAAGGAATGTATACCGAGATTGAAATTATTCAGTGATGTGAACAAATCATTTGCAAACAGAGTAGTTTACTTTTCGTAGTACGAAAAGTAAACCATTCTGTTTTGAATTTGTTCAATTGTTTATTCCCCTTTCAAGTGCTGTTCGTCAATAAACTAACCTTAACCACATGAAGCTTTCCCTTCACATCGACATCAGGCACATCACGATACCAAGGAGACAAGTTTCGAGCCACATGAACCGTCACATTCGCTGGTTCAAGGACCAGTTGGGTAGGTCCTATGGTTTCCCCATCGGTCATCACAGCTCTAATTGTACAAAGGAAAACGATTATTTCATCAGACACGAGTGTGGAACACATTTTTAACCTCTTCGCCTTCACCTAGCAGCAAACTTTCCGTTTATTTTTGGAGTTCTTTTTTCCGAGTATGCCTGTGCCATTCACTGCATAACATCATCTTTCACCAGGCTTAAAATTTACCATCCTCAGTTATATCATCGTGCAAAAGTATCTCATATCGATTGCAAGGAATTTGTTACCATGGATTTCCATGAGTCTCCTACAGCTCAACCTGAATGGCAGAGTATCTCAAGTACTAATCGGAAGGTCGTATGTTCGACTCCTTTCGGGAGCACTTGGAATTCATTTTCGAAATGAAAAAAAAAAGCCACTAAGTCAACCGTGTTTCAAAAGCACTGGAATAAATGATGAATTCTATACCTCAACAGTTTTACAGAACTAAGTTCCACCACCATGTTGTCAATAACAACAGTATCACTTCCTTCAGGATCCTTCCCATTATGTGCAAGGTTGAAGGTGTTTGACACATTAAGTTGACCAAGATTTGCAACAATTGCATTGCGAGACGTCGAACTCACAGGGATGATAAGCAGAGGTGCTTGGATAGAAACTTTCAAGCTTATTCTTGAGCTCTGGATTTGCAAACTCTGAATCTAAAAGTCAGAAAAACACATTTTTATACCTAATCAAGGGCGTCAATCACACAGCTTGTTATGACGGCGTCACCCTTCAGTTACTAACAGTGAATACTGCTGTTAACCCTTTACTCCCGTGAATGAACAAGATAGAGTTTCTCCTCACAAATCAGTACAATATCAAGCAGACAAGTGGTGAGAATAAAGAAAAATATCAATTAGGGGTATTATTACTTGATCTAAAATCAAAATCTCTCAAACAACATCATAAGAATTGCATAGCACACAGTAAAGACAATTACTAATGAGATCTGGGTGTGGAATGGGTCAAGATGTAAAGGTTTTAATAACGGCTAGTGACTCACTGTTGCACTGGCTGACTCAGCTGCAGTTTTTCTGTTATACTCCATAGCATCCTCTGCCCGCTGAAACTTGTTCAAAAAGTCCTGAAAAATACAGAGATTCATATCTGAGCTTGCAATCATCTCATCCTCCGAAAGATGAAGTAATCATATTTACTCAAGCAAAATTAGCCGTAATAGTTACATGTGACTCCCACTCAAACCCAAAAAATAAATGCCATTTCATTGCTCTTGGCCGAGGCGCACTAACAATCAGCACAATGAATAGCATTTCATTCAAATGAAAAGCCGAAAATTTCCAAAAAAATATACAACACAAAATACTAAAGTTCTACTAACTTCAATTTCAGTCACTGCAAAGAGTTACAAATGCTAAATATATTGACGCTAATAAAGTTAACTGACCAGCAGCTTCATCACAAATTTGTTTAGGAAGATGACACGGATACAACCGATTGCCATCTCGAATATCAGATCTACAGCTTCCATGTCTCTTGACTTGATGCCGGCAGTTGCACCATTGTGTGCAATAACCTAAGAACATGAGGCATGGACTAAAATTAGAAAGTTTTACTCATAACTCAAGTTAATAACAGCACTGGTTAAAACAGCAATGATGATCATGAAAGAACCCTTATACATTGATTGTTGTACAACTAAAATCAAAGTTATCTCAATTAATGGCCAATTAGAACAGAGCAAAATATTACTACGAGCCAATGAGAACTCAGAGCAAAAACAAGCAAACTGCCACAGGCGCAAGGAAATGTTATCAGTAATCAGGTTGAGAGTGGTTAATCATTTCACATGAGATTGGTTACAGAATTTGTGTGAGGTTTCTTTACCAGTCCTAGAGGACACTTGGAGGAAATATTCTCTGATGGCAGTATGAAAGGTGCAGAACAACACTCAAACTGAAAGGTGCAGAACAACACTCAAACTAAATTGATATATGACCTTGTTGTCACTCAGTTCCAAGTCTAAAATAAACACTCCTCATTTTACGCACCTGAAGGCTAAAGACCTCCTCGTTCACGATGGATACTATCTTCGGATATATCGCTCCAGGTGTAGAATCCATCACTGACAAAGTTTTCATACTGAAATGGAACAAAGACACTTAGAGGGCTTTTCGATTGAGTGTCGTAAAACCAAAACCAAAGCAGCCACAACAGCCAATCATAGCCAGGAAAATATCACAAGGAGCCGACAAGAACTCGAAGTGAAACAAGCAAGCCGCCTAAGGCGCGGGAAAAAACCGAGTTACAAGGTCGCAACTGGTTTTAGTTTTGAGTCTGATTGGTTGAGGAAATGGCGCGAGTTTCTGGACCAATCATATAACGAAATAAAGCGAAACCAAAGCAATCCTGGATAAATTTTGACACGTACTCAATTGGAAATTTCTCTAACAAACTATAATTTTTTAGATCAGGAAAGTTTGAGTGATTTTGATCACGATAATGGGAACAGGGAAATTGACTGAGACAATTAAGTCATACATACCTGGCCGTAACGTCTGTTCTGCTGTCTCTAACAACACAGCCAGCGGATAACTCTTTGTGTGAAGAAAATATTGAACTCATGAAACGTAAAGTACATAATGTAGAACAAAGAGTGGCTGAAAATATTACGTTTAATACCAATTCTTTGACGGATTAAAACTACCACAATTGCTCATTTGCTTCCTTCAAAAAAGTATGGAACAGAAGCGTAACATATGGCATCATAGCTTGCAATGTAGCGTCCTATTAGCCGACTGGCTATGTTCAATTCAGAGTTAGAGTGGACGGAGGGGAGAGGGGGCGGGAAAGGTGTAACTTTTATTGCCCTACCCTCTCCCCTCTAAAAATACTGAAATGACAATGGGGAATTTGCTACATCTCATTTAAGCATCACGAAATTATGGTGGTTGAGCCGACTCAAATGCAAACAACCCTTAGCTTTCTGCAACACTGTATTAAAAGACAAGTAAAAAACTCCTCACCTCCAATAATTACATGCGTCAAATCACCCTCAACAGATGTCACTGTAACATCGATTCCTCCCAGCTTAGCAGTCACCTCAATCTGTATTTCATCTTTACCATCTTTCTTCTCTTTGCCTTTTGGTGCAACTAGCTTAGACGTTTTATTTTCATCTTGACCTTTCGTTTTTGTACTGTCAGCAGACACAAGTGGCAGAGCTGGAGTCTCTTCACTGGCAAAAGAGAAAAAAAGGTTCCTTCAATTGACGATTGGTGGAAAGAGAGTTGTCGCATAAAGATATAGATATGTTTAACAGAATAATGCTTTGCAGCTGAAAAGCTGAATTCGTGTATACAAAAGGGGTGTGAGAAATAGATAGATAAACATTAAACACGTCATTTACAGAAAATAATATAAAATCTGTGCACATGTAATCTATATAATCTATAAATATATACACATATACATTCCATGAAAAATACATTATATCTGTCATTCTGTTGTAAATGCACATAATAATTTACGTGTCAGGATTGGATTTAAACTCCAACCAAAGACGGTATAAAGGTGTTCGAGAAAAAAACGACTGATAATTTTCCTTATATGATGAATACATTTTTTTCAGCTTCATAGGTTACATCAACTTCCATTTTTTGATAGGTATGGGGCATCGCTACGCGCGCTGCGAGCTCCGCTCTCACCAAATCATGGGTTATTTGAACTGCATGTTTCCATAAGCCAAACGTCTCGTTTAAATACAAATGTCTCTACATTAGAGGATGCGAAAGGCTTCGGGCCAAAACACCCTAGGCCTGAACTGTTGTTAAGCTACATGAAAATTACAGCACCTAGGTGGAAGCATTTTGGTTGAAACATCGATGATGTTGAGCAGAGCTTCTTGATGCAGTTTTACGTGCAGTGAAGAAAATTCCACAGTAACAGACTGCTTAGTGGACTTGAATGTTGAGCTGTACTCTGGGTGGTCTGATTCCACCTAAAATTGACATCAAAAGCAGTAAGTAAACCTTTACACGCTAACAATAGCATAAATATTCTCCACACTGATCTCTATACATTTCCTGAGACGCTGTCTTTGTTCAACCATCAAGAGCCTGTGACCTTACAATGCGATTCTGGGGTGGTACTGAAGGGGGAAATTTGACGCTACTCTTTCATTAGGGTTCAAGGTTTAATACTTCAATTATAAACAGATAAAGTGCTGCAGATATAGACCTTTACACCGTGAAAGCACGGAACTGATATCCAGAAACAATAACTCTTCCGTCAACTATTTAACTACTCCAAAGACAGAAAAAAAGAAACTTGTTTCTACCATCTGCATGCTGATGAGGAAAATACAGAGTATCGTTCCTATAAATTTGAAAACAAAAACACCCTCAAATTACCAAAACACTGAATGCTTCTGGCTTAGGATAACATTTTATTTTTCTTAAGCATGTATAAAAATATTTCCCAAGTATAAAGATTAGTAATTTAACCAATTCCAAGATTAACCGTACTCCCTTCTACGACCTCAAATGAATCTTTAAAATGCCATGAACTTCCAGGCTTACTATGACTCATCAAAAGCCCACATCATTAGAGACCCAGTAAGCATTGCGCGCCACTGTTTTCGCAATGCTTTTCACGGGAGCGAGGCTTGTATTGTTTTACCGAAGCTTGTCCCATAATCAACATCGAGTTAATGGACGCCCATGGCCAACGCCGCGCGTAATGCATACTGCTCAAACCTGGGTCTTTAATAAACGCACCACACCTCACAACATAAGGTGTTTTACCATAACAAATTTAACTGAGAGCAGCTCTGTCCCAACAGGCGTCTGCACAAGATAAAGAGGACCTCTTCCAGTTCCATGGATCATCTCCGCTATGGTCAGAGAAGACAAGGATGCACTCGCTGAGATATTCCAAGGTTGCATGACAATATCGGTACCCAGGCCTTTGACATGCAGCGCAAGAAAAGGCGTCAATTTCCCTCCACTATCCACAGTGCTAAAGTCAACGAATATCTATAACACAACATAAAAAGTTCACGATCAGTTGGTTTAATTGGGGGCTGTTATCCTAAAGGAGGACAAAATCCAACAGTTCTCATTCAAATTCGACTTAGAATCGGCAGACGAATAACTTCTCCATGGCTCTGTTACTAATGGATATATCAATATCCATCAAGAGCGCTTTTTGGTTGGGCGAGGCAAGACACATATCTCAAGATAAAAATAAGAATTTCAGTTGAAACAAGTAAACTGTTTGAAGCGCGGGAAAACAGGCGTAACAAGACGTGGTTGATTTAAGTTTTGAAACTGATTCATTGAGTTTTCTAGACAGTTCACAGAACGAAGTGAAACAAGCCCTAACAATCCTGTTTTACTCTCGACACATTCAAAAGTTGCTCTCGTAATTTTCCTTCTGTTGTAAACTTTTAAAACAGTCAGACCCATAAGAAGATCACTCTAATGAAAAATACTCAAACACACCTCTTCTATTTCAAAGTTAAGCGAAACTTTAACTTGTTTCGCCATAGCCTCTTTTTCCTCTCTCCTAGCTCGCTGAAGGTTGGATTCCCTACGGGAAAAAAGAAGGAATATATTATATCTGAAAAATATTGTAACAACAATTCCTGATCGGCCAAATTTCAAAATCATAAATTAAGGGCTAGCCGGACGCAAAACACATTTGGAAAAGAAATATAAGAGAGTTTGAGGGGTTTACACCCAAAGTTTTCTAGTGTTGTCTATTTTCCTATGCCGTGTTTTTGACCATCACATTTAGGCTCTTGAGTAAAAATCTTTCAGAAACCCCTTTTTCTCCCTTAGCCAACCGAAAAACAAGTCTAGAAAAGGAAAAAATACCCGGTTGTAGTTTCAGGTGGTATGTGGCACATTTCATCCATTTCCTCAGCTTCATCATCCTCTTCTCCTGTACCACTTCTCAAAACACCCAGTTGTGTTACGTCTGTGCGAGATGTGACTCCTTCACTGAGATTCTTCAACAAGATCCCCAGTATAGTTCTTATTTCATCTTCACCAGCGCGTAACTGTACAGAGACAGAACTCACACAGCTGTTGTTACAAGTGACATGTAAATAACTGGTAAAAGTCTGTAGTAATATCTAAACTCTCTAATTTTTGACGAGGCTATATGTAATTTAGACAAAGTTAGAACGAGGAAGATTCACACCAATCTGCTTCTAGGAGGATTCAGGGAGGTTTGCCAAGGCACTACCATGTGCTTGTGCTCAGTTTACTTTGCTTCTTTTCTGGCTCTGTTTCCTTGCTCCCACCCTCCCCTTCCCTCGCATTCCCCCACACGGGAGTTAGTCCATTTTATGCTTAAAGATGTGTTGACTTACGCTAACTAACCGCACGTACTCTCCCAAAAAAACATTTTATCTTGAATTTCTGGTCATAAGAAATATGGGCAGGCACACTGTACTTTGATTTTCTTCCCACAATAAGTCTCACCTAAAATCTCAATCTAAGTACCTTGATAAAAAAAGAACATTTTCTTTTGAAACATGGCGAGTTATCTAGCGGTCCAAGCTGATTTATTCAAAAGGCCACCATATAACTGAAGGGATCTCTACCGAGTTAAAGAATGTATATCGAGATTGAAATTATTCAATGGTGGGAATAAATTACGAAAAGCAAACCATTCTGTTTGCAATTTGTACAATTGTTTATTCCCCTTTTAAGTGCTGTTCGTCAATAAACTAACCTTAACTACATGAAGCTTTCCCTTCACATCGATATCAGGCACATCGCGATACCAAGGAGACAAGTTTCGAGCCACATGAACTGTCACATTCACTGGTTCAAGGACCAGTTGGGTAGGTCCTATGGTTTCTCCATCAGTCATCACAGCTCTTATTGTACAAAGGAAAAAGGATTATTTCATCAGACATGAGTGTGGCACACATTTTTAACATCTTCGCCTTCACCTAGCAGCAAACTTTCCGTTTATTTTTGGAGTTCTTTTTTCCGAGTGTGCCTATGTCATTCACTGCATAACATCATCTTTCACCAGGCTTAAAATTTACCATCCTCAGTTATATCATCGTGCAAAAGTATCTCAAATCGATCGCAGGAAATTTGTTATCGTGGATTTAGTTCCACGAGCCTCCTTGAGCTCAACCTGAGTGGCAGAGTATCTCAGGTACTAATCGGAAGGTCGTTGGTTCGACTCCTTTGGGGAGCACTCGAAATTCATTTTCGAAATATGGCTGTGTCATTCACTGAATAACATCATCTTTCACAATTTATTTCTTGATTGCATGGATTTACCAAGGCAACACGGAATCCTGGTAACCCGTAGTTGAGTTTACAGTTCTAAGGTCATGAATTTAAAAGGAAAACTAACACCACTGTCTTAACCAGTCAGTTAATTCTTTAACTAGACAACTAATTAATGCAAACAACAAAAATACAAAGAAACTTGAGTAAATAATTTGTTCATACGCTTATTTGAGACAATTCCCAGGAGGAGTTTGCTATTATCTTGGACACCCCATACATGGGGTGCTTACACGCATTTCCTGAGAGCATGAACTTTATTGAATTTAAGCCTGTCTCCTAATGTTTGGAATGCCTTAAACTAAATCTAAACAAAGCGGCCCAACGCCTGCGCAAATGCGAACACTGAAATGGCTACGAGGAGTGGCCTCTGGCTGAAGGTACACACAGCTGTAAAAGCCATTAAGTCAACCGTGTTTCAAAAGCGCTGGAATAAATGATGAATTCTATACCTCAACAGTTTTACAAAACTAAGTTCCACCACCATGTTGTCAATAACAACAGTATCACTTCCTTCAGGATCCTTCCCATTATGTGCAAGGTTGAAGGTGTTTGACACATTAAGTTGACCAAGATTTGCAACAATCGCATCGCGAGACGTCGAACTCACAGGGATGATAAGCAGAGGTGCTTGTATAGAAACTTTCATGCTTATTCTTGAGCTTTGGATTTGCAAACTCTGAATCTAAAAGTCAGAAAAACACATATTTATACCGAATCAAGGGCGTCAATCACACAGCTTGTTATGACGGCGTCACCCTTCAGTTACTAACAGTGAATACTGCTGTTAACCCTTTACTCCCGTGAATGAACAAGATAGAGTTTCTCCTCACAAATCAGTACAATATCAAGCAGACAAGTGGTGAGAATAAAGAAAAATATCAATTAGGGGTATTATTACTTGATCTAACACCAAAATCTCTCAAACAACTTCATAAGAATTGCATAGCACACAGTAAAGACAATTACTAATGAGATCTGGGTGTGGAATGGGTCAAGATGTAAAGGTTTTAATAACGGCTAGTGACTCACTGTTGCACTGGCTGACTCAGTTGCAGTTTTTCTGGCATACTCCATGGCATCCTTTGCCCGCTGAAACTTGTTCAAAAAGTCCTGAAAAATATAGAGATTCGTATCTGAGCTTAAAATGATCTTATCCTCCGAAAGATGAAGTAATCATATTTACTCAAGCAAAATTAGCCGTACTACTTACATGTTACTCCCACTCAGTAAAAATAATAAATGCCATTTCATTGCTTTTGGCCGAGGTACACTAACAATCTGCACAATGAATAGCATTTCATTCAAATGGGATGCCGAAAATTTCCAAAAAAAGTACAACACAAAATACTAAAGCTTTATTAACTTCAATTTCTGCCACTGTAAAGAATCACAAATGCTAAATATATTGACGCTAATAAAGTTAACTGACCAGCAGCTTCATCACAAATTTGTTTAGGAAGATGACACGGATACAACCGATTGCCATCTCGAATTTCAGATCTACAGCTTCCATGTCTCTAAACTTGGTGCCGGCAGTTGCATCATTGAGTGCAATAACCTAAGAACATGAGATATGGACTAAAATTAAAATTTTTACTCTTAACTCAAGTTAATAACAGCACTGGTTAAAAGAGCAATAAAAATCATAAAAGAACTCTTATACATTGATTGTCGTACAACCAAAATCAAAGTTATCTCAATTAATGGCCAATCAGAAAAGAGCAAAGTATTACCACGAGCCAATGAGAACTCAGATCAAAACAAGCAAACTGCTACAGGCGCAAAAACCGTGAGGTATAAGGTTGAGAGTTGTTAATCACTTCACATGAGATTGATTAAAGAATTAGCGCAAGGTTTCTTTATCAGTCTAAGAGGACACTTAAAGGAAATTTTCTCTGGTGGCAGTACAAAAGGTGCAGAACAACACTCAAACTAAATTGGTATATGACCTTGTGACATTGTTGTAACTCAGTTCCAAGTCTGAAATAAACATTCCTCATTTTGCACACCTGAAGGCTAAACAATTCCTCGTTCACGATGGATACTATCTTCGGATATACCGCCCCAGGAGTAGAATCCATCACTGACAAAGTTTTCATACTGAAATGAAACAAAGATACTTAGAGGACTTTTCGATTGAGTGTCGTAAAACCAAAACCAAAGCAACCACAACAGCCAATCATAGCCAGGAAAACTTCACAAGGAGCCAATAAGAACTCGAAGTAAAGACAAGCAAACCGCCTGCAACTGATTGTAGTTTTGAATCTAATTAGTTGAAGAAGTGGCGCGAGTTTCTGGACCAATCAAACCAAAGCAATCCTGGATTATTTTCGACACTCAACTGAAAATTTCTCTATCAAACGATAATTTTTTAGATCTGGAAAGTTTGGGTGATTTTGATCACGATCATAGGAACAGGCAAATTGACCCAGACAACTAAGTCATACATACCTGGCCGTAACGTCTGTTCTGCTGTCTCTAACAGCACAGCCAGCGGATAACTCTTTGTGTGAAGAAAAATATTGAACTCGTCAAACATAAAATACATAAGGTAAACTCAAGAGTGACTGAAAAGATTACTTTTAATACCAATTCAAGACGGATTAAAACTAACATAATTGCTCATTTGCTTCCTTCAAAAAAGTATTGTACAAAAGCCCAACATATCGTATCATAGCTTGCAGTGCAACGTCCTATTGGCCGACTGGCCATGTTCGATTTAGGGTTAGAGTGGACGGAGGGGGAAGGGGGCGTGAAAGGTGTAGTTCTTATTGCCCCACCCTCTCCCCTCTAAAAATTGTTTTTGGAGGGGAGACATTCATTTATGCATCACTAAATTACGGTTTTTGAGCCAACTCAAATGCAAACAACTCTTAGCTTTCTGTAACACCGTATTAAAAGATAACTAAATAATCCCTCACCTCCAATAAATACATGTGTCAAATCACCCTCAACAGATGTCACTGTAACATCGATTCCTCCCAGCTTAGCAGTCACCTCAATATGTATTTCATCTTGACTATCTTTCTTCGTTTTGCCTTTTGGCGCAACTAGCTCAGACGTTTTATTTTCATCTTGAGCTTTCGTTTTTGTACTGTCAGCAGACACAAATGGCAGAGCTAATGTCCCTTCACTAGCAAAAGAAAGAAAAAACGTTCCTTCAATTGACGATTGGTGGAATGAGAGTTGTCACACAGAGATATAGATTTGTTTATCAGAATAATGCTTTGCAGCTGAAAAGCTCAATTGCGTGTATACAGAAGGGGTGTGATAAATAAATAGATAAACATTAAAAACGTTATTTACAGAAAATCATATAAAATCTATGTACATGTAATCTATATAATTTATAAATATATACATATGTAAATTCAATGAAAAATACATTATATCTGTCAGTCTGTTGTAAAATGCTCATTAAAATTTACTTGTCAGGACTGGATATAAACTCCAACCGAAGACGGAAAAAGGTGTTCCTTTTCCAAAAGCCAAAGATCTCATTTTAATACAAATGTCTCTAACTAAGAGGATGTAAAAGGCTTAAGGGCAAAACAGAGTAGACCTGAGCCGTTCTAACGCTAGATTAAATTACAGCACCTAGGTGGCAGTATTTTGGTTGAAACATCGATGATGTTAAGCAGAGCTTCTTGGTGCAGTTTTACTTGTAGTGAAGAAAATTCCACAGCGACGGACTGCTTAGTGGACTTAAATGTTGAGCTGTACTCCGGGTGGTCTGATTCCACCTTAATTTGACATCAAAAGCAGTAAGTAACCTCTTTAACACTAACAACAGTACACATATCCTCCACACTGTTCTCTATATATTTCCTAAGATCCTGACAAGGAGAATCTGTTTAACAATCAAGAGCTTCTCGAATTGGTAATCAATCCCTCTATGTTCTTGACCTTACGTACAATACGATTCTGAGGTGGTCCTGCAGATATAGACCTCTACACCGTGTAAGCACAGAAGTGATAACCACAAACAATAAATCTCCTGTCAACTATTTAACTACTTCTCAAAAGACAAAAAGAACTAATTTCTACCATCTGCATACAGACGATGAAAATACAGAGTATCGTTTGTATAAATTTGAAAACAGAAACATCCTCAAATTACACTGAATGCCTCTGACTCAGGATAACATGCTATTTTTCACTTTATTCTTAAGCATGTATAACAATATTTCCCAAGTATAAAGATTATTTATTTAACTAATTCCAAGATTTGCCTATGATCCATGGAACTGGAGGAGGTCCTCTTAATTTTGTGCTTGATCATTTGCCGACAACCTCATATCAATCTTTAAAATGCCACGAATTTCCAGGCTTACTATGGCTTGTCAAAAGCCCACATCATTAGAGACCCAGTATGCATTAAGCGCCTCCGTTTTTGTAATAATTTTCACGAGAGCGAGACTTGTATTGTTTTCCCGAAGCCTGTGGTATAATCAACATCGAGTTAATGGCCACCGATGGCCAATGCCGCACGTAATGCACACTGGTCAAAACTGGGTCTTTAATACACGTAGTACACCTCACAAGATAAGGTCTTTTACCATAACAAATTTAACTGAGAGCAGCTCTGTCCCAACAGGCGTCTGCACAAGATAAAGAGGACCTCCTCCAGTTCCATGGATCATCTCCACTACGGCCAGAGAAGACAAGGAAGCACTCGCTGAGAGATCCCAAGGATGCATGACAACATCGGTACCCAGGCCTTTGGCATGCAGCACAAGACAAGGCGTCAATTTCCCTCCACTATCCACAGTGCTAAAATCAACGACTATCTGTAACACAATATACAAAGTTCAAGATCAGTTGGTTTAATTGGGTGCTGTTATCCTAAAGGAGGACAAAATCCAACAGTCTTCATTCAAATTCGACTTAGAATCGGCAGACGAATAACTTCACCATGGCTCTGTTACATGTGGACATATCAATATCCATCGAGAGCGCTTTACGGTTGGGTAAGGGAAGACAAATATATCAAGGAAAAAAATAAGAATTCCAGTTGAAAACAAGCAAACTGTCTGAAGCGCGGGAAAAAATGCGTAACAAAGACGAGGTTGATTTTAGTTTTGTAACTGATTGGTCGAGTTTCTGGACCAATCACAGAACGAAGTGAAACAACCCCAAAGAATTCTGTATCAGTGGCGAATCCAGACCTTGAGCTAAATGGGGGGGAGGTTTTTTTTTTTTGTCGCTCGCCCTGCCGGCTTTTCTCTTTTTTTTCCCCAAACTAAGGGGGGGGGAGAAACTGGACCCCCCGGGCCCTCCCCTAGATCCGCCACTGTGTATTACTCTTTACACAGTCGAAAATTGCTCTCATAATTTTCCTTCTGCTGTAAACTTTCAAGAAATTCAGACCCATAGGTAGAATAAGTAGATTACTGGAATGAAAAATACTCAAACACACCTCTTCAATCTCAAACTTAAGAGAAACTTTAACTTGTTTAGCCATAGCCTCTTTTTCTTCACTTTTAGCTCCTTCAAGGTTGGTTTCTCTACGGGAAAAAAAGGAAAATATTATACTTGAAAAATATTGTAATAACAATTCCTGATCGGCCAAATTTCGAAATTATAAATTAAGGGATAGCCGGACTTCGGCAAAACACATTGGGAAATGAAATATTAGAGTCTGTGGGGTTAACACCCAAAGTCTATGCCGCATTTTTAACCATCAAATTTAGGGCTCTTGAGGAACAAATATTTCAGAAACACTCCCCTTTTTACCTCTTAGCCAACCTACAAAAAAGTGTATAGAACTAAACGATACCCGGTTAGTGTTTCAGATGGCGTCTGGAACATTTCATCCATTTCCTCAGCTTCTTCATCTTGTTCTCCTGTAGCACCTTCCAAAACACCCAATTGTGTTACGTCACCACCAGTCCTTGCAGTTGTATACCGGCGATTTTCACAAGGAACATCCTTAAACAAGAAAAAGTGAATGTTGTCTTAGGATTCGGCATAAGTAGTTAAAAGTGTGTTTTGAAGGAATTTCCGCCAAATCATCTTGGGTCGTTTTTTATCAAAGCACACGTAGTAGTTGAAAAACGACCACTATGTATTTAGTAATTTCTAACATACCATTGGTTTTTTATCCGTTTGGTCCAAAGCTATTTCACCTCCTGGTATTGGGATACTGGTAGCAAGCTGAAACCGAAAAGACAACAAAAGAGTTGGAGAAAATTGTTTTCCGATTATACCAGTCTCACATGAGAATATTAGGGTTGTTCTGTGCTGTTCTTGTTGCTATTTTAATGTCACAAAGCCGTAAGCGAGACTACAATGTTGATTGTAATCACGCACCCTGGTGAAATAAAGTCGTTGTGGTTATGGTTGTCGTTATCATGTATTATCACATGCGGGGCAAAATTACTGAGTGCTGATTGGCTGAAACAAAGGACATGATTACTTGATGCTGATTGAGCCATTTTGCTATTTGCGTCAACGATTTAATGATTGAAATTTAATCAAATGATGCCGTGTAATGTTGTTAACTGTATTTTGAAAATAAAATGTTCATTGAATCTATTGGTCAATGACGTTTGTTTTGAAATATGTGGCAGCATTGAAAGAGCTTCATCGCGCAGACATCGTGCTTGAATGCAATTCCCTCAAAAATTTTTCCCTTCATGAGATAAACAAGTTTCGCAACTCGGGCAATTTTGGGAAAACTTTGAAAATGCGCGTGAAATTAATCCTTAATTGTCCTCGGGCCCATGCGATTATATATACAAAGCCTCCAGGTGGCAGTAATTTAAAACGCAATAGTTTGTACGTTTGCATGTAGCAAACCATTTAAAATATAATTGCCCTCACGCATTGGATGTTGTCCTTGAGTAGCATAGTGTTTTAAAGTCACACGTGTAAATCAAGTGAGGCCAGGTATGCTACAATAATTTAATTTTCCGAGCTTTCGCCGATCTACGGCATCATCAGAGAATGTAGATGGAATCTTTGAAGTGAAGAGTATATCGGGCCAGGTGTAAGGCTAGATAATAGGGGTTCGGCAGACAACAGGACAGGACAATGACAGGTATGTAAATGCGGTAGAAATATTTAGAACAAAAGGTCTAGGCAGAAAATAAGTATAGTCAGGGTAAATAATATAGCCAGAATAAAAGGTCTTTGAATTAATAATTCATATATAATTAATAATTGCCCTGTTTTGTGTGGATATGACAGCCATAATAAATATATCCATTATTTAAGAATGTGATTGGGTTCCAAAGTGAGGGGAAGTGGTTGGGAGGGGAGAGTCAGGAAATAATGTCCTTGGAAAGGAAACCCATTTTTACAAAAATGCAAAGGCCTGAAGAAAAATGTTATTTGTTATGATAGTGGGACGAAGAAAAGTCCCCCACGCGATTTGAACCTCAGACTTTCCCGCTGACCCCTTAACGTTAAGCTTTTTCAAGCGCCCCAGTTTACTCGTTGCCAATATTGACAAGGGGAAGAGGGCATATGTTTTAAAAGTATTTATATATTTCTATTATAGTATCATTGTTGAATCAAAGAGTGAGGCCATGATTATAAGGGAAATGATCACCCACCATAGAAGCCCTTGATTGTTGAACAAATTCTTCATTAAAGTACCATAGGCAATGTATACAGAACAGTATGAAGAATACGAATACCGATCTTAGAGTTCAAAGGGTAAAATAGTGGTAGAGCCTGAGACCGCGAGTTCTGAAGGTCTTCGGATCGATTCCTTGTGGGAATCAAAATTTGTCTTATATCCATGTTCATAACAAATGAACAACACCTTTCTTTATCTAACAACCAAGCTAAAAAAAAAACTACTTTCATTCGTAATCTGTTTAGATACTAAGGTCTACTCCTTATAAAGCTATTCCACCACACCTTAATAACCTGAAGAAGCTTCTCATCAGAGGCATGGACTTTCACTGTTGGAAGGGTTCCAGAGAGTGTGATCCTGTTTCAGAAATAGCAGTCAAACATACATTCCCGAGGAACATGAGTAGTTCGCTCGGCGCACATCAAACATATCTGCATCTCAAACACACCGATTCAACGATCAGCGGTCACCAAAGCCGATCTTAGGAAAGAAAATACAAGAAGAAGAACCAGAATAACACAATTCTTACTGTGCAAGCCTGATATCGTCAGGATTTAATGCTTTCTGAAGCTTCATGTCAATTCTCATCGAATCGAGAATATGCATCTTAGAGTTGACCTGCTTCCTTGCGGCCTGCCAGTCTTCATCTACCACAAAAAATAAAATAAAATGGCTTTTCATCAAAAGTCCATACCGTTAACGTTCTATCCCCTAAGAGTGACTAGCATCTAATTTCTTCTTACAGCATCACACCAGAATCAAACAATCAAACAGTAAGGTCACGAGAATAGAGGAAATGACCACGAACTAAAGAAGTAGCTGGTTGTTAAGCAAATTCTCCTTGTCAGCACCTTACGATATACAAAGAGAACAGTATGGAGAATACGCCTAATGATGTTAGGGTGTAAAGGGTTCCTACATGGGGCAAGTTTGAAGAACATTCAATGTTAGATAGTCTCGTCTGCAACTGTGTGACCAAGCATATCTGGCATGCAGGCAATTAATATTCCTGCAATAGCCACTTAAGCTGTTCCCAATCTGTTTCTTAAAAAACGACACAAAAAAAATGTTCTGCTGGACGAGATACACTGTCAAGTGCACAGAATTTTGTGCAGACCCAGTCACCATTACCTGCTTTTGCGATGAGAATTTGAAGGTCTTCCAGTTTAAAATCAAACTTATCGTAACACTTCGACTCCAACTCCTCCACGCTTGGATCCTGGTAAAAATAATCAAGCAGATTAAATGTGTGACATCAAAAGTAGCATCTGGACATTTCTAAAGTGGAAGTCTTAATGACTCTTTGCCATCAATGGTACAGTAAAGGGGTATGCAAATCTACCAATCTGCGTTTTTTTCCCTTTTCCCTTTGTTTCCGTGCCTCTCCAAAACATCCCGAGTGTAATTATGATGCATATTTTAGTTGTTGTTGTTTTTTAAGGTAAATTCCACAAATCTGAAAATTGATTTGACTTCTTAATGGTGCATTTTTAGAATCTACATTTCATATGATAGCCTCTCCTTATAATACAATAACTATTCTTCGAACCTGATACAAAGCCCACGTTTTTCAGTAGAATAGTGAAGGCGAGTCACAAATTTTAATAATCTTTAACATTATTTTATACATAAAAGTGGTCCAAAAATTATCTGATTAGTATCACCTTTGTGGATACAACCCTCTCTTGCTCTGGATCACTGGTGATCTTCACATGTCCAAGATCAATGACAAGCACATTGCTTGACCTGTTAATAAAGTGTAACATTAAAAATTTCACTAAATCCACGTTACGTTGAAAGCAATATGGGAACAATGTAGGATTACCATAGGAACAATATAGGGCCTCTAAAGGAACACTATAAGACCCCTATCAGCCAATGTAGAACCAGTGTAGCATCATCAGCAGTAGAGAATACACCTAAATGTTTGTAATTACAAACCAAGAGTTCAAAATGTAATTTCATCAATTAACAGTTTGTAAGTTTGATCGACCAGAAAACTAAGCTTGGAATGGCTGGTGGTCCATACATGTCGACATATTATTCCAGTGGAGGGGAGGAGGAATCCTATACTTATGTCGTACTAATATTTGAAGGATAACGTGACTGTTGTATCAATACATTCACATTATCCTAAAAGGGTTGGGGATCACATGACCATAAAACCACAAATTGCAAAGTACTTCGCATCCACTTCCGAGTGAATACACCCCAGAATTCAACAGCTTACTTCTTAAAGGTGCCTCCCTCTGGTATAATGATAAATGGAGACTTCACATCCACATCCACATCTGTTATCTGCAAAAAAAATATAGTTGACTATAAATTTTTCAGTTTAACTTGCACAACAAGAATCAAGTGAACATAAGGAAACCAAACCATATTGACCTTAGTAGGTAATTTGGTATTATCTTTGCTCTGACGACGGGCTAACGCTCGAAACGTTAGCTTTGAAACTCTTAACGATGGCCAATTTACGTTATCAACTCAGTTGATAATACCAATTTACCTTGCTATACTCTCTTACCGACGCAGTACACCAGCTTCTTTAGAAACTTAGTCCCCATATTGTCCTTGGGTATATACAGTCTTTACCACTTTGAACAAAGTTCAACCAGGTCACATCAAAAGAGCACTTTTCAAGACCATACATGGCTGAGTCACAAGTTATACTTGTCTCTGAGGAGACTCAGTGTGCCCTGGTGCCTCTGAAAGCTTTCTGTTACCCAAAGCCTAAATCTATTCTCTTGGGTGAATAGAATACTCTGAGAGTTCACTGTCTAACCCATGATTATAACACCATGGAGGACAACAGAGCTTTAGCGCAGACCTGCACCCATTAATATGCCACAGATCTCCCATGGAGGTCATGAGGGTGGGACAGAGAAAAAATCCCCTCTAAGGATTTATATCTTTGTCAGTTATGACTGACGTCTGCAGTAACAATTCACTAATATCTGTTTTCTCGTTCAATCCTTAGGTAGAAAGGAATTTTTGTGGTAAACAAAAACAGAAAAATATTACCTTGTGGTGTTCAATTGCATAATACAGACTTGCTTTGGACACTGACTTCAGATCTTCTAGTCTTGAGTATGCCTCGGCTGACAACCTGAAATGAAACATCAAATCTCCTTACTTCTCTTAACTAGTTAAACACTACAAATAGAAGATTTGTGTATTAAGTGTGACATCAAGAAATCTCGAATGGGTCTGCTACATATGAATATTTTTCTTGCTCTAGGCATAGATTTCTATTGAACAATCATGTAATTTCAATTCATTGTTCAAGAGCAAATGTAAAAAAATCTATGAAAATTTTACCCATTAAACAACAGTGTAGCACTTACTCTTGAAGATGGACATCTTTTGGAGGTTTAAAGAAAGTGACGATATGACCCACTGTGTTCTGCAAATAAAATTGAAAACGCAAAAAAATATTTAACATCTTCCTCTACAAAAGGAAAGAGCCATAATATGTCTTCATATGATTAAGATATTCTTTCAATACCGTTCTCTATACATTTTCTAACGTGCTGTCAAAGAGAATTTGTTTAACAATCAAGAGCCTCTTCAAACAATTATCACTCTCTTTATTCTCTCGACCACAATGTTTGATTCAGAGGTGATCCTGAAAGGAGAACCTAGATGCTAATCACTCGTTGGGGTCAGAGGGTTAAGCCAACACAGATTTTGAAAAAATCTGAGCTTTAACCACCAGACTTCTTTTCACAGGCATCAGGTGTAATTATCAACTGAAGCTTACTTATGCAATGCTCTACCTCCCTGCACAGCACAGTCCTTTTTCCACAAGACAGAATCATACACCATTGCAATGGTGTTTGCTGGCTTAAGGTCACAGAACTCCATCTGCAAACTAGGTTTTCAAGATTTGGGGGTGCGTATACTCTAAAATATTTTGCTACTTACGGCATCATACACAACTTTAACAGGTTGAGATTTCACTGTAGCTCTCTGGTCACACTTCCCATCCAATGGGTTGGTCTCAAACGATGCAGTAAAAAGAGCAAGTTGGCTTGCTATCCAAGATATAAAAGATAACATCCATGTTTGTTGCAACAACCTGGTTGCTTACAATAGATAAAGATAATGCCATACTGCTTATTAAGGCAGATAATTCTGACTACACTCACACGAGACATTCAGCTTGAAAAGTTTATTCAGGATGAGTCAGTCAGTCTTCTAGTATACCCATCCTGATACAATCTTAACATGTGCACCCTGGAACTTGGGGTTCTACAAAAAGAACCTGTGCTATGCCAAATCAAAAAAAGCACTAAAGAACCACTCTTTAGATGTGGCCAAAAGATGTGTGAAAACGTATTCCTCATCTAATGCAGCAGTAAAATACCCCGAGGAAACGGGTAAACTAACCTGGTTGCACAACTAATCACAAAGAAAAATCAATGATTGTAATGATATTTTACGGGGAGTTGGAAAACCAAAATTACAACAAATACAAAAAGGAAAGTGGTCAAACATAAGACTGACCGACCTAGAATGACTTAATTTTCCCGCGAAATACTTTAATAATCCAAAACTTCCATGATGTCACACGAACCTCTTCAACGTGCTGACAGAATGTTAATTTCTAATTAATTTGTTCCCATGTCACTCAAACATCAGAAATTACATTTTTCTAAGATTAGAAACACAACTTGTTTGTTCAGTAATATTAGGCTTTCTGTTAAAAGTAAAAGTGAACACTTTAATACGATAAACAGTGAAGAGTGGGTGTAACCTTTCTTCTTTGGTGATCAAAATACTTTTCCAAACATAATTTACAATCCTTATATATAAAGACCAAAAGAAAAAATGAATTAAAAGAAAATTCCTTCTCAGATTATCCTAGAGTAGGATTGCATTAAGAGATTATATTGGAAAGGTCACCTTGTTAACATTAGATATGTTTTTTGCAACATGTAAAGTGATGTACCTAGTTTATCTTCTTGAGAGGTTATCATGAGCGGCATTTTTCCATCTGCAGCATTAGCTGAACCAAACATCTTCATCTGCTCAACCTTTGCTGACAGCCTAAACAAGAAATTCATCTTTAGGAGAGGCCTGCCACACAGTGTCAGCATCATTAATATCCCTAGAACTCCCATTAATCAATTTAGCATCATATCCTAATCCTACGTTTCTGTAATAGTACCTCATTTAACTTTTCTCTGTGGGGACCCTTGAGCAACCTTATAAGCTATGCCATGCTAGGGAGGCCTTACCTGTACAAGGTTAAGACAGCTGTCTACAGCTGCAAACTTGATGACTTACTTTTTCACCTCTTCTGATAGTTAAGATCAAGTCACCTTTGGTAATCTCCCATTAAAGCAAGCTTTAGAAATAAAAAATTCAAATTTATGTACTCTGGCCCAATAGGTCAGATGTTAAACTTCTCATGGTAAAAAAAAATGAAAATAAAAAAGATGTGAAAGTGAAAAATTTTCCTGTAACTGTATCATGGATCATAGAGGTTTGGAAAAAACTTTCAAATCCTTAGAACATAAATTATTTCCTTTAAGAATTCCTATTTGACCTTTTTCGGTTTCTCCCTATTTCTGCTTCTACAACAAAATGATCCCTTTAAATTGTATATATTCAACTTACTTGATTGCTTGTGCTGATGGTCTTTGGGAGAGCTCTGCATAAAGATCCTGGAAACTCAGTTTGGCAACATCAACTAATCTACAGGGGACACAGTCACTCATCACATTCTAGCTTCATTTAGCTTGGAAAAACTCCCTAAAAAGATCTAAACATTTTCCAGAGCAACCTACAAATTATGGAGGAGTGACAGTCTGGATGATGTTCTTTCACTATAAGAAATACAAAATAAAAAAACTCAAGGGAGCTATTGTCACTCCTCTGAAATGGAACTTGCATTGAGAATTTTCAATTCCAGTTAATATCTTTATTATCGAAATGATGGCAGAAGCAACACGTACTTTCATGGCAGATTAGCTCTGAGAAAATGAAATCAATTTCTGGCAATTTTGCCTGAAGAAACACTCTTATTCAATACTCACTTGACAGCTGCATCATCTCTTAGAGCCACACTAATCTGTTTCAATTTCACCACAACTTTATATTCCACATACTGCAGAATAATCCAGGTAAAAACCAAAAATACTGTTAGATACTAATACAATAAGGATGCTCCAAGTACTTAAAGTTATAGGGGTGACAGCATTTTTCAAGGAGTTAAATAAAGTCAAAGAGACAATAAGCATCAAAGTTAGTTGAAACATTGTGTCACGTTGAAAAATTATTTTTATGTGTAGAAAAACACTACTGTTTGCTCTAACTCTAAATTCTTGACAAGAATCCCCTCCCCAATTCAATGTTGCCTGCTGTACAGGGCTCCATGTAGCTAAAAGATACCAGAAGCCAGATAAGACATTGGGGGAAAGGGGCAAATAGGTTAACAAAGAAAAGACAAAAGAAATAACAATGAAGAAATGGGGGATTGAAAATGTCACTGTGTCGATAACTCTGTGGGCAATTGGAGCTACTGTATATTTTTGGGCCAAACAAACAGTGGAGAAAACAAAATTGGCTATTTTTTTCTTCAAAGGCAAATATATTTAAGTCAAGATATATAAGTTAAATTGCTGCCTTTTTCATGAGATTTTAAGGAATTTAGGTAACAGTGTTTTTTACTAAGCAAGTACCTCCTTGGGGAATGCTGTTATGGTTTCTTCTTCACTGTAACCAATGGCACTGTACAACTTCTCCAGTTCTTCTTTTTTCTGATCTTCACTTAAAATTTCTGTTTAGATAAGGGTCATCGAGCTATTTTCATTTAAATTGCTAATCCATGCAGGCATGAGATTCAGCACTCTGTGGTACTTATATGACGATCTTAAGATAAAAGCCTTACCTGATTCATCCTCCTCCTTCTTCCTTTTTTTACGGGAGCCCCAGAACCTAGAAAACAAACTGCTACTCTTCTTCTCTTCTGCTTTCTTCTTCTTTTTCCTTAATGCTGCAGCTTCCTATGATGCAAAACTTAAAGTGAACTCCTATATTTTTGGGAAAAGGCTGAGTGGCTCTTTTTGTCCACTGTTTCCAGGTCAAGTTGAAATTTGGAACATTGGCTTCTGTATAGAGAGGAAGACTGGAGGTCCTGGATAAAAACCCTTGGAGTAATGACAAAAAACAATTAAAAGCTAAACCCACAGGTGATCCAAGGTTTGGGAATTGTACCCAGGTTACAGCGGTACAAGACAAACCCTCTAACCACTGCTCCATCCTGGCTTACTCTCACACTTGCTTTTACTATGCCTCTACCCACCTAAGAGTATGACTGTGTATTGGCAAACTATAAAAGAGACAGGGAGGGGGGGCACTGCAAAGGACAAGCATCCTATTTGATGGGAGAAGGAATATACCATGTTGCTTCATGCTTCATATAAGGAAACCAACTGAATGCACAAGCTCTCCAGATGAGAGCCCTTTAGCTCGCCTGCTGTAGACAAAAAGACCAGCAACTCAAACTGTTACAGAAATGATAAAACAAGGCAAAAATTGCTGACATCAACACAAACCTCATAAGCAGCCTGGCGTCGACAAATGGTGATATTCAACACATCCAACTTGCTCTCAAGTGCCTGAAGATTAATGATTTTATGACAGATTAAGCATGCAATAATAACATGCAAGGTGGAAAGTTGCTATCTATGCCATGTAAATTATTGACCTACCTCTAGGTCTTTTGACAATGATTCAGAAGCTTTGTCTCCCAGTAACTTTTTCTTGTACAAATTTTTGTATTCCCTGCAGAGATCCCTGAAGAAAGAAGGAATGACATGAAATCAAGTTTCCATTCACCAGAAGGATAGACTATTTCTGGTCAGTTATTTGACAGTGATACCTATGTTCCTTCATGTGTGTCCAAGACCAGTTTCTTAATCTCCTCCTAACATCTTCCTCAATAATGCTTGCAATGGCATAACTCCACCTATTTCCAGGAGGCAATGTAGATAATGTTCCCAAAGTAAATGTAGACTGCAATTAACACCATCACAATTACATGTAATTATGGACCAAAGGTATACTGTAACAAGAGAAGTAAAACTTGGGAAAGCTTTCAACTTAAACTCAAATTCAATGACGTGGAAATACCAGCTCTTTTGTTTCAACCAAAAGGAGTAGAAATGTAATGCTAACTCAAGACCTTCACAGCATAAAAGATGACATCAAATTCCTACACCCTTGTTTAAGTCAAGGCTGTCAATATTTCAGGTAGTAACAGAAATAACAGATTTGAGATGAAATTACCACTGTGCAGCATGTCCATGGAGAGGGACATTTGGTTTGTACTTTCTAAACACAGAATTTGTGGTCATTCTGTCAAAGGATTCCAGCAACTCAATCATATCATGGTACTGCTGTCTCATCAAGACTAGAGATATCTCTTCCAAGACCAAGTTTAAGAAAATCTGCATAGTACAAAAACAATGTGTAAGCATAAATGAAAAGATTAAATTCTTCATGAGGCTGAATGTAATTTAACTGATGTTAAACCAAGCCATTGTAGTAGTTTCAATGTTGTGATGAACAGGACTCTGAGAGATTTGCTGGATGCATTGATACATACACTCACTTACCTTGCTTTCCCACTATGTTACCTTTTTCGTTACCTCTCACATTTTGCTTACAGATAATCATTCCACTCACCAGTGGGTAAGTGTTGTACTGACAGGTGTGTGGGAGCAGATTATGCCTCAGTTCCCATGGTGACCCTTTTTAGCAACCAAGGAGACTGCTGTCATCATCTGTCAGTAGTTTCATGAACAAAATCCTCTAAAACTATCGTAATTTAAGTATTTATTTTGAGTATTTTAACCAATTACCCCCTATGCAACTGATCAATCAATCAATCAGTTGATTGGTTGACTTTCAAGGGCAATCACATGGCCCCCTAGACAAGATTTTGGATGTATGGCTTTCAGTAGTTAAAACAAGAAATCCCTCAATGGACCAGTGGACCATTCAATTGTCAGCCTAATGATTGATCAATCAACTGACTGCATGATTAATTTTCAAGAACTATTTCCTAATCCAAAATAGCAAGATTTTGGCTTTTCTAAGGAGGATTTATGTTAAAATTTCTTTGCCAAACATCACTCCTGTTAGGTGAAGCAATCAGCATGAGTCCAAACACATACCTTTGGAATACTCAAATCAGAACCTGGCTTGATATTCATCTTCACTTTAGTGGTGGCCGAGATTGGCTGTAAGACTTAACAACAAGAACATAGTGAATAATTGTATTTTCCTTAGTTGTTGTTGTTGATCATGTGCCAGATTAGATAGGTGAGATTACTACTAAAAACAGTAGTACTAGCTACTCTGAGTTTAAATACTTTGTTTTTTAAATGGAGTTGTTCCAGAATCATGTAGCTGTACAACATCAAAAACTTCTGAGTGAGTAAAGGTTAGTAAAAACATATCAGCACAAGCTGTCATACAATTGCAATGATGCCAACAAATCCCTAGGAATTGAGACATAATACACAAAATATACTCACTGTATTTAAAATCAGGAGGAGAAAAATGTTGTTTTGTTCTGATTGCTATCCCACCCTTGGCTTGATTCTGTAAAGAACACAAAATTGCCATCACCATTTCATTTACTATTATACCAACTGTTACAGTGTTTGCAAATTGTCTTTAAATTTATCATAAAATACATAGACTTCTGTAAGTTGAGATCTAAACTTAATTGTGTTCATGTCACTTGAAGTTGCCTCAAAAAAGTGCTCAATATTAAAATTAGGGAAATTTGAGCCACTTAACAAAGAAAGAGAAGTTGTTGAGACAACAGGAATTTAAATGTCAATAGAGTTTATAAAATTGTCATTAACCTCTTAACTCCCAGAGGCAATTAACAAGAAACTTCTCCCTTCAATATCCACTCACTATCTAGCAAACAGGTAATGAGGATACTCAATGTATCAGGTAGAAGTTGTTACCTTGATCTAACACCAAAGTCTTGTAACTTATTTACAAGGAAATGTGCAGCAGCTAGTAGAGTGAATTAACAATCAGATCTTGGGAGTTAAAGGGTTAATAAAAAGGGAAGAACCTCACTATCCATGGTGTTCCTTATATAGAGTAACTACATGTTAAACTGTGTCAGTCATCTCCATCATGATAAAGTAAGGCTTTATTGTTGTTGTAAATAAGTTGGAGTGTATTGAGAATAAGAGGCAAGAATACTAGTTTTGTGAAAGGATGCAGGGACTCGTTGTTTCAAGTAATAATAATACTGTGCTTTGTAAGTAAAAATATTGTGCTTTGACCTAGTAAACAACTACAATTCCTTTATGCAGCTATTTAGGGAGATTTTATGATCAAATCTTGGAAACTAAAGGGGTTCGACCATTATTCCTCATAATCATCAAAATAACTGAATGAAAAAACCTTGGTCATCAGAATTATCACAGGGTTTCTCGTGATGAAGAGCTAATGCACAACACCACACACCACCCACTTTGGAATGAAACCAAAGTCCTAGGATTACACACACAAATCACACAACAACATTGCTGCAGAAAAAATTAAGGATTGCAGTATGGACGTCTATGATCAAGAATCATTGCTCAGAGTACTAAGACGGTACCCAACTAAAATAAAAATTCACCAAAACAGGTGAGCCAGACATGGTGGGACATCATGGGTCAAATTAGGTCACTCAAAAAATGTCACCCTCATCACCCTAGGGAATTAAGACTAGTAGGGTGAAGCTTAAAACTTGAAATCCACATTAGAAGTAACTGCATCAAAATCAGACAAACAATGACACTTTTTTATTTCAAACAGTGATACTTTATGATCAAGAAATCATTTGACGAGTAATTACCACCCAGTCCTCTTGCGTTGGCAGATTTCCAATATGATCTTTTGTATTCCAGTAAATGGCAAGACTGTCAAGTTTGACAAGCTAACAAACAAGCCAGAAAAAATAAGAAAGAGTGTTGTTGTGAGTTGCAGTCTGAAAAATAAATCATGATGCATGCAATGAAGAGATGGCAAATATAGGAAAGAGAAGGATGGTTGTGAGAGATGGGAAATAAGGAGGAAAGGTAAAAACAAGTATGCTTTCCCAGGTGAACCCCAAGAGGTCCATGGGATGTATGAAATTCCACACTGGTTGATTGTGCCACACTTGCATCTCTTGCAGTAAATATTTCCTTATATTTTATCATTTTTGGCACCATTTACAGACAATGTATCCTCAAGTTCCACCTCCCGACTACCAATACTTGTTTTGCCATGCGACCACTACTCAACCCTTATACAAATAACATTTTTCCAAATATATTTTCAGACCTATCTGTATCTCACCTTGTGTACAATTTTTACTTTTTTACCAACAATTGAAGGTTTCCAATGTTCATCTGTGGACTAAAACAGAGAGTGATCATCACTAGATGAGCCTTAACACTATTTGACAGAACCTACTGGCATGAAACAGCTATACAGAGGATCAATTTTTCAAAATATTCATTATCAAATGTATCAAAGATGGGTATAAATTCATCAGCAACATATTCATTGACTTGAACAAAAGATAGTAGCAGAAGCCAAGATAGCATAATTTAAAAAAAATATATCCTTTGTAACCCTAACAATAGCTGTGCCATCACACCAGAGGAGAGAAGGGTCTAAAATTTTTCAAGGCAACATCATTTTGCAACCCCTTGTTTGCAAGATGAAAAATACTCTTTGATCAATTACACTTTTCCTGAAACTTTCTGGATGACCTCTTTAGCTAATACAGGTTTACTCCTTAATACACAGGTTCCCCAACAAGCTGTTAGGACTTAGCGAAGGGTGACCCTGACTGCTTAATAGAGGTGTACACCTAATAGAGGTGTACACTTAAAAGAGGTAAAAATTACAGTGGTCCACACAGCGACCACCTACAGTATACCTGTGCTGCTTAATACAGATTCCACTATTAATATAGCTATCATTACATACACTCCCCCCCCTCTCTCTTATATGCATCCCCCAAACCTTTGACCCTTAGAGTTACTAGCATCTAATTTCTCCTTACAATATCGCCCAAGGTCATGAGAATAAAGGAAATGATAAACAACAAGAGATACTCTTGATTGTTACACAAATTCTCTTTGTCAGCACCTTAGGATACCTTTAGAGAACAGTATGGAGAATACATACCCTGATGTTAGAGTGTAAAGGGTTAATAAAAAAATGCCCTCTCCTTCCATAATAAACTTCCAGTCTCAGTTATTCACACCCTCTAAGAGGCCCCACACCCTTCTCCAACATCAAAAAAAAATTTTTTTTTACAGCGTTCATTAAACTGAGACAGAAGTTGAAATAAAAATAATGGCTGGCATTGATACTAGCATTCAACAGGGTTGTGTTGTTCTCTAATAAACCCCACCTCTTGGAGGCATCTGGTCTGGAAACTGCTGAAATCAATAACCTTCCCCCAATATTAGGAGACTCATTAGAGGATTTAGGGTACTGCTCTCACCTCAGCTGACAAATTCTCCAATGTCACACCAATTGAGAATGGTGCAGAAGGGTTAGTAACCTGACACAAACAGGAGCAATGAACATGGACATTATAATTATAATTAACACCAAAGAGTGAATACATCAAGAATTAATGATTATCATGAGAAAAGCAAGGAATACATTCAATCACATATCTTTCTGTGTCATGCCCGCTCTATCGTCAAGTGCTAAACTTGCAATTTCAACCATATTCAAGACCCCTTAGGAAAAATGTGCAATGTTTCAGGTTGTCAAAATGTCATGCCTCAAGTTGTGATTGGAGGAATTCAATCCAATTAAATTCATTTTGTCTGCTTCTGTTTGATGTAAATTAAAAGTGATGATGCAACTTTGGTTCAAAAACTGTCCTGAACTACCAGCCAAAACTTCCACTGAAGCATAAGAATCAAATTGATGTCTACCTAAATGTACAAGTACTTACAGAGTCTTCATATCGTATGTGAATATTGCGAACAAAGACCTGGAGAGGAAAGAAAAATTAACCATCCTTAAGTCAAAGAGACATCAAAATGACAATTATTCTGAATGAACCATTTTTTCTTTTTCTTTTTTTTTCACTTATGAAATTTGATTTTTTGCTAGTGTTGAGTCAAGCAGGTAACTGGAACTGATTGTTTCATGTGGATTTCCTATCAAACTCACCTGAAGGTTTTTGACAATCTGCATGGATAACTTCTCTGCAAAACTGTCTGACTTTTCATCTTTTTGGAGCCCTGCATAATAATCAATGAAAGAATCATTTTTCACCTCAATTACAGACTAATTCCCATTAATGACTAGTAGTCATTGACAGAGACAGTCAATCAAAGCCATATATCTGCAGTAATTTGTGTAACAATGTTAATATCCAACACTATGCAGGGCTCTTAGCCAAGTTTTCTTTTCAAGTCATCTTCTGGCAACCTAAAATTACAAAAAACTAAACCTCTGATGATGTGCCTCATGGTCAAAGTAAGTGGCATAGCTAGCATTCATTTTTGGAGACTCAAACAACAATTTTTTCTAGATGTCATAGCTACCAAAGCAGTTGCAGCTTGAAGTGTAAAGGCAGATGTATAGGTAGATAGATAGTAAGATGACAAGACAAACAAAAGTAAAAGATTATCAACCTGAAAGAGACCTGTCAACAAACAAGTAGGCATTTTTTTAGAGACCCTAACCACTAAAAACAGATAGATTACTAAGGTATACCATTCTGCTCCACTGCTTCCAGCTGTCTTTGCTTTCTCTCCTGTTTGGCTTTTTCCTCTTTCTCAGCATTGTGCTTAACATCTGCAGAAGCAACAAACACATTAGTCATCACTACTGTGTCAATTCCCTGGGCATAACTCTTGTCCAGAGAGGTAGGTACAGACACATTACTGGAGAGTTAGATCATCACACACACATTTTTTCTAGACATCGACAACAGCCAAAAGTTAATAGTTTGTTTCCATGGCACTTAATACCTAACTGATGACTGTAGCATGCACTTGAAAAATGTATCGCTAAAATTTGATTTATCCCTTAAAATCCCCACATACCAAAAAGGCTGGTGTACCACACTATCTACTTACAGATTTAGTGACACTCAAAAACACTATAAGTGATGGGCCAAATGTGAAGAAATAACTTGAGGAAAATTATCATGATAATGACTAAGACAGTGATAGTGATAACTGTAGTCGATATGATGAAGATTAGGTTGATAACAATAATGATGACAATGAAGGTAGTGATTATGATAATGACAAAGATAAATACAAAGACAAAGACAAGGACAATGGCAACAGCAACAGCAATGGTAATGATCAATATTGATAAGGAAAAGACAAAGGCATAGAAAAAATGCAAAGGCAATGGCGATGACTATGGTAATGGCAATGATAATGATAAGGCAAAGGCATAGACAAAAGCAAAGGCATTGGCAAAGGCATAGGCATAGGCATAGGCATAGGCATAGGCAATGGCAATGGTAATGCAATAAGGCAAAGGCATGGTAATGGCAACAGTGATGGCAATGATCACGATTATGAACATGATCATTATTATGGTAGCAACACTGATTTAAGCACCCTGGGACTACCACTAAAATACCAGACAAATGTGTCAAGAGCATTTCTTCAGTGAAAACAGTTCTCACCAGCACTTGGTCTGACAAGTAAGTAAAGTCCATCTACTTGAGCAACAACAGGTTCTGAGTACAAATTCTTCCAGGGTATCTTCAGCACCAGTTTACCTGTGTGAAAAGAACAAGTACATAACACACATACACATACACACAAAATAAAAAAAATCTGAAATCCACTCATCCAAATGGCATTAACTCTTTAACCCAAGGCTGACTAGCACTTAATTTCTCATTAAATTATTGCTGCTGAATTAAACATCAGGCTAATGAGAATTACAGAAATGATCACATTTTGAAAAGCTGTTGATTTTTTACAAAATTCTCTTTATCATTACCATAGGAAATGTATATAGAACAGTAGGGAGAATATGTATGCTAACGTTAGGGTGTATAAAAACAATTAATCAACTGTTAGAGGACAACTATTTCATTCTACTTTCCTACCTAAATGACCACGTAGAACTTTAACTGGCAAAGCAAGGTCATCCTGGTAATAAAAGAAATCCACTGTTAAATAACCCACATCATATTTTTCATTTACATCTTCACACTGAACAAATGCAAGGTTCTCATTAAGTCCTGGCTGCCAGTTAATAATCAGCTACCTCAATTCCTGAACAGCCTCCTTTTCATAAAATAACATGTGTAAGTTGTGAACAGTAAACAATAAGTAAAGGTAATAAAAGGATTTAAAGGGACATTTGTTGTACACAAGCACAAGTAAATTTTTCAGACTAAAAAAAATTGCACAAGCCTGTAGGGTAAGTGAAATATGTAGTCTTTCAAGTGTTTATTACACAAAATTGCAAAAGAAATCATGTAATTACTTGTTAATAATGTACATGGAAAAATATCACAGAAATTAAATCAAGACAGACAAAATTTTGAAAGTGTGCGCACTTGTTTTCAGCCACTCAGAATTAAGAGCGTAATTTTTTCATGTCCACTATTAAAAACATGAAAACAAGTCACCGCACAGACAACTCTCTTTTTAAATTTTCTTGTGAGTTAAACACTCTTCCAATCTCTACCTTACTAATGTTTATACCAAGCCAACCAACCACCAAATTGCTTTTGCATATACCTCCAAAAGAATGCATAATATAGCATTTCAGAGCTTCTAAATTTCAAAAATAACATGTTGTGGAAGAAGGAAGAAGCTCTTGAATTGTCAGCCAACTACCCATTGCAGCTGAACATCTACTCCCTAACTTAATGAGACCCTGCAGATGATTCAGTCATTAATAATTATTATTTTAATAATTATAATGGCCTTCTGGGGTAGGCATCTTTTTGCCATTCCCTGTCACCTTCTCCTAAGGTCCACACTAACTCTAAATCAATCAATGCCAGTTGAATAAACAATCGCAAGCTTATAAGGTTAACTTGCACCATAAGACACCTGCACTGTAGTCTAGCCTTTACTATTTCGTGACAAGATTTTTCCTTGGCTTGTTTGAAAGTAGCTTGGTTGATCGACTGAGTAGATGAGTTTGTTTATGGGTGAGACTCAATATAAACAGCACAGGGATAGCAACATTTCCCCAGTTATGGTTGATCTGCCTCTGGTTTGCCTGTAATCGGATTTTGTTCCCGCTAAGAGCAAATACAAGTAAATAACTTGTACCAATAAATATTCCAAATTGTTGCATCAGGTGGCATTTTTAAGTCAGAGAAACTGTTACTCATAATGGGCTGGACAAGTAAGTTGCTTTGGACAAGCAACAATAACTAATGGCAATAACTATTAAAAATTATATATCCTCATCATTGTTATTATAACTAATGCTTTGTGTTCCACAAATTTATAACAGTGTAAAATATTCATGACATTTAAAAAATGCGAAAAAATTACAGTTAAGGTTAATTCTACCAAAGAGAAAATTAACACTCATAGTTTTGATAAAGATGAAAACATTAAAATTATGTCTAATAGTTATAACAATGTCCAGGAGAAAAGGTGAGACCTTAAGTTTGTCTCTGAGGTTTTCACACTCCAGTGGTAATGCACTCTAAACTTTCAGAGCTGAACAGGTGACATAACAGTCACCAGGGGTGGTATTAAGATTAATTTGAATTTCTCACAAAGATGCACCCAAATACAATTTACTAAGAACAGAATTTCGTTCCAGAAACAATGCTTTATTTTTGTCCGAAGCAACAATGCATAATTAAACAAGATACCACATTGGACCAGTTTAAAACCACCGGATAGAATCAGAGCTGACAGTTCATTTACTGACATCACAATATCAGCTTTCAAAGATAATGGTTAGCCAATTTGCAATTCTGTTGATTAATAATTAAATCTTGAGATCGATGTGTTAGAATTTTTTGTTCATTTCTACTTGCATACAATGTTCTTTCGTAGTGAGAAAAATGAACATTTACAAAATTTAAGCAATTACAATTTGAAATTTGTTATCAGCTAATTACTTGTTATGAGGTCAAAATAAAAAAGGTGCAATTTTTGGACACGCGACCCGCGACACGCGACAATTAAGCACTCTGTTATGAATCCGTTACCTATCGGCTCCACTTTAAATTTCATGATGCGAGATTTTCCTTAAGTGCAATTGCGGTTGCTTTCAACGATCGCAAAAAACCAAGATAACAGATACACAGGTTATCTTTACTCAAACTAACAAGTCTGAATAAACAGACAAACCTAAACAGGTCTCGATAATATTTTATTAACACCGCAACTCATATGAATTTTCTAGCAATATCAAAAATGGCGCCACAGTACAGTTCGGAGACAAAACAAAAATCCACAAACTCCTAATTACCCAGTCGTAGTCAACATTTAAAATTACTATACAGGTAACTTACGATTTCACTCAAAATGCCAGAGCTTTGGTGCAATTTTAGGCAAAACCGGAAATGCTGTAGGCACAAGACTTAAACAAAACATAAGGCAAAACTATAACTTACTAGGGCGCTTTCCTTGAGAATCAAATTTTCCAGTTGGACATCTCCTGCAGACGTAAACAAGCCATTGTTTTCAGAAAATGTGGTTGTCGAAGGTTTGAATAGAAATCAAAGTGCAAAGAACTTGCAAAGCAATGAAAATCCAGCTACAAGTACCTCCCCAGATCCCAAGCCTCAACTGGGAAGTATCGAGATTCTCCAAGTACTGGCCGGCGAACTTGTTCAAAAGATCGACAACATACGACTCGAACACCATGATTCTTATATGAACTAATTCATTTTCGGCACGAAATAGGGACTAACCATGACTTAATTTGGTATTACACGGTCAGGCCATTGCTTTCGATAAAGACCCGTAGGACACCAGTCAAGCGACTCGAACCTGAGCCCGCGGAAAGTATGACGTCACCATACGCGCTTTATTTGAATTCATATTCACCTTTTGGGCTTCATATTTCACAAAATGTGAAAACAAACCTCGAAAGTTCGGACATTGGGTCGACCTCGCAGCAGCCGCGAGGTCAGGTTCAAAGAAAACGATCCCAGTGTTCCCATAAAACGCAGAGAAGAAAAGGTTTTTCGCCTAGAGAAAAGGTCACTCACCTTTATCAATGTCTTATCTTTTTTAGCGATGGATATTGATTCTTGTTCCTGGACAAAGCGAAAATTAAACGAGGATAGCGATGCGCGTCTTTTTATCATAAGAGATTCTATGGCTCGTTGCCTAGCAACGAGGTTTTGTTTGACCCCCAACCAATATGGCCGCTAAAACCGTGGAAGGATCTATTCGGCGGCCAAAAAGTGTCCCCGTTAAGCGCGCGGCCAAAATGATCATGTTATATAGCTGTGACGTAGAGAATTGTGAAGTCACGTCGGCAACTATGGTGGAGAAACGAGAAATCTAGAAGAAAGGACGAACGTATTACGTGGCCGGAGCGCCAAATGATGTTAGCTACAAAAACAATACACATATACCGGGTATTCCTATACACTACTTTCAAAAGGATGCAGCTGAATGGCCAAAATGGACGCGTTTCGATCGTCAACATCGAGGAGACTTTACTCTTCAACTAGACCCTGTGAGCAGGGTAACTGGGATACCTGGATGGTACTGGATCCTTGGAATTAAGTATAGTGATACTACGGGTGTCGGACTAGTATACTGAAACAGTCAACATCGAGGAGACATTTACTTTCAACATTGTGAGATCCTACATTCTGTTCTTACAAAGGGAGAAGAATAAATGGGAAACCTTACCTCACTCACAGGTATTTTGTGGTAGATTATGTGTGTTTTGCGAATAAATGTAACCAAAAATAAACTGCATTGGTGCCACGGATACCTGTTAGTACAAAATGCAGACAGCAGACTGCAGATCGGATACAAAATATAGACTGATAATTAACAGATAATAATTAACAGATTTACTAGTACAACGCTGGGAAACGACGTGGCCCTGGTGAATCTGCTATAGAGCCTACTCTCAACAGAACAGCAGACCATCGCTACAAAGCAATGACCAAGGATTTAGGCTGGTTCTTATCACGACTACCTAATCTATCTGCAGTGATGATAGACTCTCCGCAAACTTTTCCTGGTTGGAGTGGATTCAATGCCGTCGCAAGCAACCAGAAAATACCACTCAGAATGCGATTGGCTATTGCCAGCTCATAGGTGCTTCACCGACAGAGCTGTTCACAGTCTATAAGTTACTAAAGAAGTCTCTTGAAATGGAAACTCAGCTAGGCCTCGACGACACTGTTGTGGCTCTTGATCAGGCAATATATGCAAAGGCCGTAGAGGTAGTGTGGAAACACAAGGAAGAGTTTAAGACCATTGTTCTACGAATGGGAAGCTTTCACGTTACGTGCGTGTTTCTCTCGGTTATTGAAGAGCGCCTCAGGGACAATGGACTGAGAGACATCTGCTCGAGTCCGCATAGGTGGACTGTGGTTCACTCCATGGCATCCTTTAAGGAAAGCACTACAACAGGGCCCTGCGCACGCACAAGTTTACTACTATTTTTTGTTAGTAATATTATCATTTTTGCTTCTTGTTACTTTTGCTTGTGATACTACGTATTTAATTATCATATCCCTCCCTACACTTACTGTAGTTCACAATTAGGGTCGAGGCCTCGTCAGTTGGGATGATATTACCTCTTAGGTTTAGTCCTGTTACTCTCAGGGTATTTGATCTTACATGTAGAATAATCAAGGCTATTTTCCGTAGCTATTGGAAGTAAATCCCTATGCCCAAACAAAAACCCTCATAACAGGAACTCATGGTTGTTAGAGATGGTGCTAAAGGCCTTGTTTCGACTCAGCTGGCAGATGTTTGAAGATGAAACACGGGATGATCCAGAAGTATTGTTGCTTAGGCAGACAGTGATGATAGCCACAACCAAAGTGCGAAAAGAGCTCGCACGTATCACATCCAGGAACTGTATGGAACCCCTGAGCTCCAAGGGCTGCGGGTGAAGTATGAAGAATTTAACAAAACTTCAAGCAATAAGACGCGTTCCCTATTAGCAATCGTACATCGCAATGGTGTGTCTCCTTCTGTGTTTCATACGATCAGCCAGAGAAGGTGATTGGAACTTGCACCTCGCTTGTATTCGTGACATGTTTCCCTTGGATGTTCGCCTATGATCGCAGCAATTACTTACGATACCTACCAGTCTACTGGTGTGGCGTGATCTCACTCATAGATGTACACCCTTCTACGCACAAATCTTTCCAAGCTGGCAACTTTGTAGTTCAACGTTCAGGCAATGCATTCAGTCGAGTGGCCGTTGACCAGACTATCGAGCAGACTATCAACAGAGATACAAAATCGAAAGGGTAGAATTGCAGGCTCTAGCAAAGGATCCGTGCAGCGATGGTTAATTACCTCCCATGAACGTGTAGTAATCACCCAAGTTTGTCGTCAAATGGCTGGATTGTCAGCGACAAATGAAGAGTGTGTTAGAAAGGAGAAAGGAAAAATAAAGGATGTCAGTTGATGAACATGATGTCAAGAAAGTACAGTCCACTCTTAACTGGGCCAATCCAATCCAAGCGGGGTTGATTTTGTGACAGACCGGTATCCAGATATTTCCATCAAGAATCCCGAGAGGGCAAAGCATGCTACTGCAGGAGCCGTTAAAGTTAAGATGACCGGAGCTGGCCAAAAATGCCCAAAACAATGAAAGAAGTTTTTAAGCAGCGGAGAAAATAAGAGAGCATTAACAAGGTTTCTCCTTTAGCAGAGGTGAAGGGAAGTTTGTCTCAGCACGGGTTGGAGAGATCTAGAATAACTCGGACCCAAGCCAATGGAGGCACATTCCCGGTGAAGAAAACGTAGTGGATGATGTCTCGCGAGGATTGCATGTAAAGCAGCTGACGGGTAGATGGATGAACGTCCCAGAATTTCTAAAAATGCAAGGGGAACCATGGCCAGTCCAAACACCTATACTACACCAAGGAGAAATGGAGCGTCGTCACGTTAACGCCGTCACTGCAGTCTCGCCTGCAGATGTCGGAAATGCAATTGATATGAAGAATTTCTCCAGTTGGCGAGATCTGATACGAGTTACCGTGTGGATAAGGCTTGATATTATGCGGCTTGTGATGGTCATTTGAGCTAACTAGTTCCGAGTGAGGAAACACTTAACATGATTCAGGGGTGATATTGTAAGGAGAAATTAGATGCTAATCACTCACAGGGGTCACAGGGTTGACACAAACTAATCAGCCAAGCAAAAACACGCCTCCAACAGTTAACTTCCTTAACCACTTCATTATCTGATTTTATTAATTAATCTAACGAATTACAAAATTAACCCAAGCTTTCAGTTGTTATCTGAACATCTCTGAGCTCCCTTCACTTGCACGATGCTTATCGATTCTACTAGGAAAAGGGAACTGCAGGAAGTCCTGTCAATTTGTTATCAGTTACCTAAATATTGAATACCGCGCGATCGCAATCAGCGAGATTTTCCTCGCATATTTCAATGTTGTCCATCTTTTAACAGTGAGTTTCATATCAAAGTTTTTTAATATCATTTCATTATTTCTGGTTTTACCCTATTTAATTATTTTATTATTTAATCATTGGCTCGCTATGCGAACGATACTGAAAACTGAATTGAAAACACTCGCTGTGAACTTTTATCTGTGTTGTATATCACTACAGTGAAAAGCCGTGAAACATCTTCATAACAAGATTTGTTTCAGTAAATTGAATAGTAAAAATGGCGAGTTTTGAACTCGGTAGTGAAACGAAAAATACTTTTTATCTTTCACGGGCGTGAGACAAAGAAAAAGCTGCCAGACTGATGGTGTAAGACTCGATTCTTTATGGTAATTCAGAATTTCTTCCTATTTGTCCCAGACGCGTGACAAGACGAAAAACATCCTTCTTTTAGATTAGTTAAATGAAAAACCTTTCTGAACTGCTCTCTTTGCATGTATACCGGATCATAACTAACTGCTTGGAAATGTAAAAGTGCTACTAAAAATTGGTAATTTCGGAAAATCAGAATACCTAGCAACTTTAGATAAAAGAGACCATCGACGTAGGGTCTGTTGTATTTCACTTGCGTTTCGCATTATGTACCTTATTACTCAAAAAAAAAAATTGTTAAGTGCTCTCTACATTTCAAAAACCTCTCATCCTCCGGCTGCTAACAGAACTAAGCTAAGGCTAGTTTCTGTATGACCTTTTAATCCTATTATTGAAAGAATAGTTCTTTGCTGTCTTCACCACGAAATTATGAATTCTTCAATGAACTGGAAAGCGTGCATTCTCAACTGCTCATTGAAGGCACTGCAATTTAAGACCGGGCCTCTTTGATTTTTCCAACCAGCCACTATAAAATAATGGAAAGGGAAAGAGTCATTTAAAAATCCATTTCTTTACTAATAAGTACAACTGAGGTGTTATAAGCGACCGAAAAAGTTTTGCGTCATCTACGTCTTTAAGGTCGTACTTTTCAGTTTGTCGAGTTACTTCCACTCACATGTAAACGTAAAGGAGCACAGGGGCCACTCCTTAGCTATCGCCAGTGGGGATGGGGGCAGGGGAAGGGAAGGGGAAGGGAAGGGGAAGGGGAAGGGGAAGGGGAAGGGGAAGGGGAAGGGGTTATAGGATATTTTCATTTTTTTCGGAGTGGGGAATCAAATAGTTTTCAGGGAAAACGGAGAAGGGATCAGTCATTGCTAACAGAGTATATAAAAAATTGACTGCCAATGAGGGTATCATCAGAATGCTAC